CGGGATCAATCAAATTCACGACTCCGAAGCAATTGTCCTTCATGCTCGGGTTATAGGCCCGCAGCTTCAGAAATCGAGGGTGACCCTCGTCTCCGTCTCCAGGGCCCCCCTCCTCCTCCTCCTTCTTCTTCTTCTTCTTCTTACTCTCCCTCCGCTGAGCCTTCACCTCCTCGTGCGAGATCCGCAGCGTGCCGTCAAAGTGACCGCCAGGCCGGGACGAGATCTGGACGGTCGGGAAGGAGCCGTCGCCACGGTCCTCGTAATGCGTGGAGGTTTGAGGTTCGGTCTGGTTAACACTGTCGTCGGATTCACACCGTGCGATCGGTGGGAGACAAGACTCGTCATCAGAACTGTCCGTCACAGTACCGGTCTTCCGACAGCTCGCCCAATTCTGTCCCCCGCTCGGGGGAGGCCCCTTCAAGGTATTGACAGAGGTGCTGCTGTTGTTACTCGAGACCTGTGCCATGACCATCGGCTTGTACTTTCTGTACGCGCCCTTCACCTTCGCTGCTCCCTTGACCCATCGGTTCGTGACCGACTCTTCCTGACCCTCTGAGGACGTCAGCCCTGACTGGGCTAGACCACCCTCCGTGGGCAGATTTCTTGAACTGCTGTTGTTTGTCGAATACACCGGTTTCTGATCCCTCCGGTTTCTCTCCCCGGTCCTATCCTGTTGTTTCTCGGCCTCGACAATGTGCCTTCCTTGGTCTCCCTCCAATGACCTCCTCAGCAAGGCCTTATCCTCGACCGCCTCCGCCGCAGCCAAGGCACCGTCCGAGGACTTCATCTCGTCCATGAGCACATCGACCGTCTGGTCATGTGAATGAGTATCGCCCGCCAGTTCCATATGAGTTGTCTCTGCGAGACCGATACACTGGATCGTAAACCTGGCTCCTTGTGTGTTGCTGGCGAGGAACATCCCGAACCGTGACTCGAGTGTGCCATACACCTTGTTGTCCTTTGTCACGCCCGCTAATTTACGAGCCATACCTAGATCATGGGTGAACGTTCAAGAAGAAGAAGATACACATACGACGGCGTCAATAAAAAAAGAAAAAAGTAGAAAAAGATGTGAAAAAAGTGGATTATCATTCTTCCCCCTCTCCTTTGGTAAAAAAAAACGAAGATTCCATCTAGTTTCTTTCATTCATAAAACTATGGGACTTTTCACGCCAGCCAGCATCTCAGTATTCCTTACTCATAACAAGACGATTCCTCCGATTCGATCTCTTCGAGAAGGCCCATCCTCGGACCCTGATGTTCCAGTCAAGTGGGTCCTTGGTATCTAAATGAAAAAAAATTCATAAATCATCATGAGCGATAAAATTAATTTCGTTTTTTTTTTTTCTCTCCGTCCCCCGTCCCCCGTCCCCCCCCACACTTCAGCGAGTTAACTAAAGGGCTACTACTCACTAAGGCGAGGCTTCATAATGACATATGACCTATCCCACAACACCTGTCTTTTTTTTTTAATTTTTTACCTGATCGAGAATGTCTTGTCGCATAAGTCGGGAACAAGAGACAATGCTGCTCCAGATCCGCAATACTCTCTGTCGAATCCTTGCTTGATCCACTGTCCGAGCTACCGGAGGTAGTGGTCGTCCTCGTCGTCGCCCTCGCCGCTGCTGCTTGTGGATCCATTGAGGAAAAATATATCCTTACAAACAGTGTTGTAACCACTGGGTGGTTCGGTGCGTTGGTCGTGTGATGATGGCTCGGCGGTATTAGGCCACGGGTATAGAGACGCCGCGTAGCTACACAAAAAAGAAAAAAAAAAAAAAAAAAACAATTTGATCAGTTTAAAATAAATATAAAAAAATAAAAAATAAAAAAAAATGCCAGAAAGAAGCAAATTGGATAACAATCTTTCAATGAACAAAGGTCGAACGAAGGCAGCCGTGCCGATAGGGAAGAAAGGAGAAAGAGGAGGAGGAGGAGGAGGAGGAGAAAAGGCCTCTGGTTGCTTCAGTTGCCATCACATTTCTCACTCTCAAGGATAGGACCTCCGAGGGCGGACTTACATGAGAGAGGTAGCACGGTGGATGAGATAGAGGTGCTTTTGATTAAAATGAAAATAAAATATGTCACACACTTGGTTCCCAAAGGTGGACTCGTTTTGGTGCGCTTGCGGACTGGAGTGATGAGGAAGGAGAAAAAAGAGAGAAAGAGAAGAGGAGAGAAGGAAGAGAGAGAGAGAGTGGGGGGGGGAAGAGGATGAGTTCGTTCGATGGAGCAAGTGGACAAGTGGGATGAACAAAGGACGGGTACTTTGTACGCATGCCATTGGACGAGCAGTCCGAGGAGGTTGGAGGGCGAGAGATAAAGACAAAAAAGACACGCGCGGAATCGTATACCCGTCCATGCTCACTCACAAACGGGATTGGAGATGGAACACTGTTTCCCCCCCTCTCCTCTCCCCCCAAAAAGTAAACAATCCTGCTGCTCGCATGGTTACAATCCTTGTAACTTCTTTGTGTCTCCACAGGAAAAAGAGCAAAGAAGATGAAGAAGGAAAAAGGAAAGAAAGGGCGCAGCCCTGTGATGAGCAAGGATCGGCTCATGGACTGAGGGGGGCTGTCCTTGTTCAGGGTCTTGTCGTTTCCTTCCGTCGACCCTCCCCTCCCTTTAGAGTCGATCGTTCACGCCCAAAAGGTAATTTCAACGACAACAAATCTTTGCCATATAGGCACCTTCAATTTCATCTTTTATAGAAATGGACGTCTTGTCCCTTTTTTTATTTTTTTATTCGGTCTAGCAAAAACTTCGCCAGCGTAAATTATACTGTACCGGCTCATGCATGCACACTGCATTAGAAAAAAAAAAAAAAGACAGCCCCATTCCAGCAACGCAATTTCTTTTCTTTTTTTGGTAATGCTCCGCCTCCCTTCGCCCAATGCCATCGGGAGGGAGGTCGTTGTTGTTGTTGTTGGTTTTTTTTTTCTTTATGAAAACTTCCAGCGGTTACCACAATTGATACAGGTCACGAACGTCGTCATCGGCTCATCCGCCGAACGCGTCTGCATCTGGTAGTATCTAGTCTTCCGTCCCTTGCACTTGCCGCACTTGAACATATCCGTCTCCGCCTGCTGCTCCTCCGCTCCCTTGGCCAAAAACATGTTCTGCAGCTGGATCTCCCGATCACGCGCCTTTGCCTCTGCTGATGCCATATCCGCCGTCGTGTACTCACAAAAGTCCTCCACCGCCACATCGCCATCCACAACCGCCTCACGCAGCTTCGGGTTGCTCTTGTCGCGTAAATTCATAAAGAACGACCGGATCTTGGCTCTGTATGCCTGACTTGGTGACCCATCCGGCGACAACTTCCTGAACACAATCGCCTCAATGTTCGTCGCCTTTTTCAGTAAACGTTCCGATTCTAAGAATCATTCAATTGATCAAAAAACATATCCTATCGTTAGTGGGGTTTTTTTTTTTTTTTTTTTTTTTTTTTTTTTTGGAACAGCATCATCCTCAAATCAAATCAGCGTAAAACTGTTCCATGGATAAACATACCTGCATTCGAACTAGTTCCAAGCGCCTGGTACAACATCTCAATGCATTTATCCCGCACATCATTCCCAGTAGTCTTGATACGCATCCCATCCGATCGGATCGTACGATCTCTAGGTGTATCTGTCGGCGTCCTTGGCGAGCTAGCATTGGAAGATCCTTCCCTTGATGTGTTCTGAATCTGAGCGGCCGTAGGCTTTGTGTCGACAGTCGGCCTCGATGATGACAATGATGATGATAATGATGCTGATGATGTTGATGATGATGTGACAGACGAGGACGACGTCGTGGTCGAGGACTTGCTGACGACCGCCGATCCTGCCTTGACGGTGGTAGTGGTCGAAACGGTTGTCGTGGTCGAGGAGGATGAAGACGCTGCTTCGCTTGCCACCTGGTTTTTCCAGTTCTTCACAATATCCTTTGCCATCCTCGAAACCTCTGCATCCGAATGTGTCTTCATCTTGTTCACAAACAAGCCCATCTCTGTTTTCTGTTGATAAAAACGGCATGGAAAAAAAAATTGTTAGTTGATCAATATATTACTACAACGACAAACCAAAAAGGCTTTTTTTTTTTTTCTGCACAGACTCTATGAAGGAATGTGTGTTGATCTTTACCCGAAGAAGAGCGGCAGTAACTGTAAACTTCCTCAACTGCTTCAACAGATCCAGCGTTTGCTAAAGAGAAAAAAAAAAAAAAAAAGAGTTAGTCGAGAATAACATGGAACTATGTATTTCCGAAGGTTAATACATTCTAGCCCCCACTCCTCTCCCTCCTTCCAGCATCACCACGCGAGCGAAGCGCTAATAACGCCACGAGGATAAAAAAAAAAAAAACGAACAACAACTGTGCCAAAGACGATGGACGCAAAGACTTGCACAAACGTCCGCAGAGCGGGGTCGACTGGAACATACCGATGTACTTCCTTTGCTTTGGGCATCCTGCAGCGACTTTTTGAGATCGAGCATGTCCTGTTCAAGACTGGCGGCTCCCATGGTGGTTTTTTGAGATCAAATCAGAATCAAAATCAAATAATAAAAATAAAAATAAAGGACCCGCACTAATGAGGAAATAGCGATACAGAAAGTGGTGCAGAAAGCGATGCAGAAAGAGTGATCGTGATGAATACAATTGAGGACTTTGTAATTGTATGGCGTGAGTGAATGGGGGTCCTCAGCAATGTAAAAGAAAGTGTGTATTTAAAAATTGAGTGACGTAGGCAACACTTTAGAAAAGAAAAAATTTGTTTTATACCCACGGCACAGCTCAGGGACATGGATCCTCATACAACAAGCAGCTTCACTTCTTCAACGAGGACACATTTCGAGTAGAGGAAAAAAAAAAAAATAGCATTATGTATCTACATAAAGATGCAATAACTTATAGAGTGTATATGTGTACAACGTGCCAAGCCGTTTCTTTCTATCCTTCAAATCATTCCTTTCGTCCAATCCCGTCCCCCTTCCCCTTTCATCCTCCTCCATTCTTTCAGTTCTTCAGGGCGTACTTGTCCTTTCCGTACTCATTGATCACACAGATATGGTCCAGGTCACGGAAGTACTCGTTGTAATCCAGCGCATATCCGACCACGAACGCATTGGGGATCGCAAATCCAACATAATCGGGAATATATCCGTTCGACAATGGCGTCTTCTTGATCAACAGCGATGCAACCTTGACGGATTCGGGTGAGTACCGTCTCAGCTTCGCCAACAACTGGACCATGGTCTTTCCGGTATCAATGATATCCTCGACAATCAAAATGTTCTATGAGGGCCAAAAACGCGGGGGTAAAACATGGGGAGGAGGAGGCAAAAAGAGTCAGCATCGGCGGAAAATGTTACTTCCCATGTGGGCGATTGAGAGCAATTGATCGACAACAACGAAAAGACAGCCAAAGACAGCTGCCTGAAACCGACGTCCTTCCTTTTTTTTTATCTTTTTTTTTTTTACCTTTCCCGAAAACTCTTTGCACTCCTCGTCCGTCAACGACAACTTGACGTCGCCAGAGATCTCTCCGCTGTAGCTCTTGACCTTGATGAATTCGAGGCTCAAGGGAACGGACTTTCCACCGCGGGTGACGTTCTTCTTGATGTAATTCACAAGATCCGCAAAGAACTGATGACCTCCCTTGAGGACACAGCAGACCACCAAGGGTCCAGTCGACTCTTGGACGATCAACTTGGCGAGCTTCTCCACTCGGTCCATAATCACTCCATGGGGGATCAGCACACTCGACAGGGAATCCTCATAGTGGTCCGGGATCACAAAGTGATCAAGCGAGTACTGGAAGGCCTCGGTTTGAATGTCGATCCACTTCTTGGGGTCCATGGTGTTTGAGCGCAAGCGTAAGTGTGTTACGGGTGTGTGAAAGGGGAGAATGAGTGAGTGAGAGAGAAAGGATCAGGAGGAAGGTGAGTCAAAGGCAGAGTGTGAATAAATAGTGTTTTTCTTTAGCGGCCAAACTGACCTGCTTCGCTCGCCGCCGAACCAACATAGACATTTATTCCGCTCGTTAAGGGTTATTTGAACCTACAAAGCAACACTGAGCTACATATGTATAGTCATATAGTGTGGTCCTCTTTCAAAGCTCGAAACACTCAAATTCCTGCCACAGTCGCTCGAACTGGGACTTGAATGCCCGCACAGCCTTTCCAGAGTTCGTCAACGTCAGGTCCTCTCGGTTATGGAACCGTGCGCCCTTTGTCCAGTTGTAGGAACCATTGACCAGCAACCCATCATCAATCACCAAGAACTTGTGGTGCATGTGTGAAGGACTTACAGGGGAAGCAAAAATAAATAAATAAGACACGCAAATTTTCCTTAGAAACCGAAGCTTGTGTATAGCCAGTGAATATCATCAAAAAGGACTGAGGCTTCCTTAGTCCTGCATTTTTTTTTGTTTTTTCATCCTAGTCGTCCACCGTACCTGTTATCCACGCGCGTTGGGATGTTGAAATCGCTTGCCAGTCGCTTCACATCCGAACCAAGGTCGTCAGCCTAAAAAAAAAAAAAAAAAAAAAAAAAGCAAAGCATGAACGTCAGACTTATAAAAAAAAAAAGCACCCAATGCAATTGAACAATAAAAGTAATATCCACAAGGATCTAGTTCCCTCGATAGTAACGCCAGACTATTGCACAATCCTTCTTTTCTTTTTTTTTTCTCACCTAACGGGCCATATTATCCAGAACCCGTACTTTTATTATTACTATTGTTATTATTTTTTTTTTTTTTTTGGTCCGGGTGCATTAATTTTCCATTCGTATATAGATAAACTCAACATACCTTTTCGTTATCCGAAATAATACGCACTTTCACTCCTCGGTCATGGGCCCGGACCACCGCATTCACGACCTCGTCGTCCGTAATCGTAAACACGCAAATGTCCAACGACCTTTTTGCTCCATCCAGCGTATCGATCAAATGATGGAAACTGGCCTCTGACGGGAAGAACACCGGGCTGACAAATACGCCATTGCTTTTACGCTGCGGCTGTCGCTGCTGGTCCTGATCCTGGTCCTGATCCTGGTCCTGGTCTTGTTCAGAATCGTCGCAGCTTTCACGAGATGGAGGAGTCGACGGGGTGATCGCATGGTCCAAGTGGACTCCAGAAGACGTGATGACGGATTCTAACCAGGTGATCTATCACATCGCGAGAGAGAGAGAGATAGAAAGGAGATAACAACGTTCGTAGCCTTAGCATAGAGAAAGTGTTGAAAATGGGGGTCTCTCGATAAACCAAACATTTGGAGACCTACCACATCTCGATCATGCTCGCTTGAAGAGGCATCGCGTGCGGTGTCGAATAATCGTGCCAAGGATGGTGACGACCCATGTTCCTCGACATGACTCTCGTATACCTTGACAAGTCGCTGGTGCGTACCGCTCTCCTCTGTATGGGTTTCTCTGCGGATGGTCGACGAGTAGGAGCTGTGCATGGTGTCAATTCTGGATCTCTAAAAATAAAAAATAAAATGTCTCGGGCAACAAAGTGGTGGGGAGTGCAGGTTGAAGAAGAGAAGAAGGGTGTTGCGTGAGAAAGACGAGAGGAAGGAAAAGACGGAAAGAAAAAGGAGGATGGATACGAGTCGAGCGTATAAGTTGTATTCATAGTGTCTATCCACCAACCAGCGTCTTGTTCTCCTTGTGCAAGCCTTATGCAATCAAAAGAGGGTCAGCAACAGCACAGCCCTCCTTCCCAACCCGTACATGTTTGTTTGTGTACGTGTGCTTTGTTGCGCGTGAGCCTTTTTTTTTTGTACGCGACATGAAAAAATACACTCCACTTTTCTTTTCTACTCCCGCCTTCTGCCTCGGTCGCCAGCCTCCTCTCAGTGGAATAACAAGCAGCAGCCTACAATGTCCGACCAAACATCCATCGACGACAACGACGCCCTGACCATCAAGGACGTCCAGATCGACGACACCCCCCACAGCCGCCTCTCTCAAGACTCACGACTCTGCCCAACCCTCGGACCCACTGAATCTGCCGACCGCGACTCGATTCCTAATCCTGTCAACGATCGCATATCCACAGCTTATCCAATCCAACCTCAACAACATGGAATACGTACCCACACTGTGCCGACGACGCCAATGACGACCGCGATCGATATCAGTCCCCACAGTATCATGAAGGAATCTCGATTGGATGACAAGATGCCTACGATCGAAACCGACGCACAGACACTACGGTTCTCAAACATCACTGACGGCGACTTTGACAACGGCGGCAACGGCAACAAAGAGGTTGAACCCAGCCAAGCGTCCATCCTCACGACGCCCGACCCACGCAGGACCCCATTCTCAGGATTCCCTATCCCACCACCGCCGCCAGGGACTGTCGAAAGTGAGACCAGCATTGATGCCAGTCCCGGTCCCGGTCCCGGTAGCTCTTGTTCTTCTCAGGTCTCACTCCGAGCATACGTACCCTTTGACCCCCAGCCCTGGACGGACGCGATTGTGGAGCATCAAACCCAGACCATCAGGAACTTTCATGGTATGTATGATGATGGATTGATTCTAAACCTCTTGAAAAGGAAAAGAAAAGAAATAAAATAAATGCGGGATCGCGAACAAGTTTTCTTTTCTTTTTCTTTTCTTTTTTTGTTTGCTGCTTTTTCTTTTGAGAGTAAGCATGGACTTGTTAAAAAAACCCTTTTTTAATATTTCGTTTTCAAAAATCTAGCCATCGCCCAAACACTGGACACCCTCAACGCAGAACTCCAGTTCATCTTGTCCGAATATCTCACCCGCCAATACGAGCAAATCGACGACCTCCTCAAATCCACCCACGAACGGATCGCTCAACAGGAGCGGGACCAAGGTAAAAGCAAAAAGAATGGCTCTTGTTTAATTACGAGTTTGGGGTCTTTTCTTTTCTTCTTTCTTTTTATTATTATTCAAAGTCATCCAAATTCCAAAAAAAAAAAAAAATCACTTCTACTAATCGAAAAATAACTTGTTTGTTGTTCCTCTAGATCGACTGCAGACCCAGATGATCTCGTTCGTCAACGCCATGAAGGACGCGTTCCAAATCTTCAGCTAGAACTGAAAAAATCTCCCTTTGTCTCTAAAAAAAAAAAAAAAACAATGCAAAGATACTTTGCTCAAGCAAACAGTATCCTCCGATTTACAGAAAAAAAAAGATTCTCACATTTCTTCATCGGTTTGCAATCGTTTTTTTTTTTTTTTTTTTTTTTTTTTTTTTTTGGCGTCGTCCGTTTGTTTCGTCTTTCCCCGCTTTCATTTTTTTTATTTCTTAGCAAATTACGAGGGTAGGGGTATTAAATAAAATTACTGGTATAAAATCGTGTCGCTGCTCCTGTCTCCGTCTCCCACACATGTACAGAAAAAAAAAAAAAATGAAAAAAACATAGCAAGACTAAAAAAAAGCACAAGGGGGGGGGGGGGGGGGGACAACTAGCGGTGCATGGTTCCAGCTCGCTTCCTCGTCCTAAAGACCGACAGTGCCGAGAACCCTGATGACGTCGAAGGGTTACTGCTCGCTGGCATTGCGATCGGGACTGGGGTCAGGCTAGGGTGCGGTATCGGTATCGGCCGTGATGAAGGCGGCGCTCCCGCTCCCTTAATTGCGCCACTTGGAGTCGTCGTCCTCGTCGCCATCATAAAGTCACACGAGACCGAGGGCTGCGAACGCGGCCTCGGCTGCTTCTCCCCTTGCTTTTTTTCTAGCAATCGATCCGTGTCCACTCCACTATCCAGACCGCCATCAAGACCGCCGCCATTTTGGCTTTTGGCGGTGAAATCACCATTGACTCTTGCTCCTCCTCCTTGGGTATCCTCTCGTTCCTGCTCCTCCACGTCGTCATCTTCATCTCTGTCATAATTAAAATTAGTGTCATAAGTCGTTTCTGACATTTCCGTTGGTGTAGTAATAGACGTAGTCGTTGTTGTAATCGTAATGGCTGATGCCGTCGCTGTCGTTGTCGTTGGCGTTAATGCGTTGAATGTCGTGGTTGATATTGATGTTGTTGCTGAGCTCATTACAGCACTCATATGAGACAACGCCGATGCATTGTCCGATGCTCCTGCCCCTGCCCCTGCCCCTGTCTCTGCTCCTATACCTGCGCCTGCGCCAGTTCCAATCTTTCCCTCGCCGTTTTCCTCAGTGCCCTCCTCAGCTTTCTTGTTCTTCCTTGCCTTCGATTGCACACCCCCTGCCTTGGCTCCCGCAACACTCCCTGGAACACTTTTAGGCCCGCTACCGCCTCCTTCTCTTGCATCCAATTCCCCTGCTGTGAGCGCAGTCATCTTCTCAATACTCTCCCTCCTCAATCGGATCCGATACGCCGTCCTATCCAACAAGGCCTCCGGCCCCAGGATCTCGAGCGGAACATGCAGCAGGTAATCCATGCACTCGGAGCTGGATGGACAGTGTTCTAACAGATGCTGTCTACAGATCTGCATCACCGCCAGTCCGACCCTGAACAACGTCTTCACCCCATCGAAATAGAACACGTCCCAGACCCGCAGTACCGATGCCCAGGGCAGGGACATCGTGAACAGCGTCAGGAACCATTGCGTCATATACATGATCGGAAGGACATCATTCCGCTGCAAATGTTGTGCCAATCGTGGGTCCTGAACCCGGAGCAGCTGTTCAAACACCTGTGCATCAATCCGGAGCTGCCGAAGCGTCGGCGTGAAGTACTCGTTGAGGTACCCCTCGATCGTGGCAACAAGCAACCAGAACGCTTCCTCAACAGGCATCTGCATCAGCATCATTCCCACTAATCGACCCATCCCCTGACAGTATCCGACGCTGGGTTTGTAATGAGCATAGGCCTTGAGGATCGAGTGGAGGTCATCCTGTCCAGAACCGCCCATGCCGTCGCGAAAGTGGACGTGATCTGGATAGCAGCGATGGATATCCCGTGCAATGACATCGTGGATGGGGATATGGCCACGTGTAAGGAGTTCTTGGAACTTGCCGGGCTCGCGGTAATGATGGGAATTGGCGAGGAACTGCCAAACACGTCCACGAACAGACGGCGGCACACCTCTCCTGGCTAGTTTCTTGTACTGTTTTTAAAGATGGCAGAATAAGGTGCGGTTAAAAATATAGCACCATAGAATGATGGCTGCCAAAGCCAACCATTCAGAGAGTACTCAATACCACGCGTCCCTCTTCTTTACCTTGCTGGAGCGCTTGACCTGATCTGGCTGAAGATTCGTGATCGCATGGATCCACTTGGCCTCGCTCATCCGATTATATTCCTGTAGTTTCCTCATCGCCCTCTTCCGTTCATGCTCCGCCAGGAAGGACGAATCCAACTTGAGTGCCATCTCGCTCACAAGCGAACTCGACATCATTGACGTTCCACCGAGCTCTCGAGGGATCTGGTTCCCAGTCCCTGGCTCCTCCTCGAGATCGCCAAGGATAAACCCATAGTCATTGACGATGACCTGCGGCTTCTTGCGCTCCGCCTCCTTCGGTTCATTCCCATCCACACCTTCGCTGCGCTCGTCCTCATCGGCCTCCGAGTCGTCAAACATATCATATTCATCTTCTGCATCCAGCATCAACATTGCCGTCACAAGCCCACCATTGTTGGCCGACGACGACGACGGCGATGTCGGCCGAGAGTCCACTCCACCTTCGATCCCATTCCCCAGCACATGTGGTCTCTTCGCGAGCTCTTCCTGCTCTTCAGACTGGATCGATCGCCGCTTGCCCATCCCGAACCAGTTGCTCACGGACCGGTGCTGCCTCTCAGAAGGATGATGTCCCTGACTAAGGACAGAGGGCGTATAATGCTGCTGTTGATGATGATACTGATGAAGCTGCTGGACCTGGAACCGTTGCGGATACGACCCTGTAGATTGTGCGCTCTGCACCGTGAATGTGGTCGCCTCGCTCATCCTGCGCTGATGGCTCTTCTTTTTCTTTTTCACATCGCCAGCAGCACCAGCAGCACCAGCATCAGTACCAGCACCAGCAGTACCAGCACCAGCATCAGTACCAGCACCAGCAGTACCAGCACCAGCACCAACAACAGCACCAGCAGCGCCAGCAGAGGTTCCATTGCCTCCTTCAGTATTGTTGACTTTGGAGGGCAGAGATAGTGGCAGAGATGGCGGCAGAGATGGCGGCAGAGATGGCGGCAGTGACGGTAGCGGCGGTAGTGGCGGTAGTGGCGGCAAGGGGTCAGCCTGAGCACTAGTCCGACTTTCGGCTTCCTTTTGTTGAACGTAATGATCCAGCAGGCGCGAGTCCTCCAATTCCGTCACCTTTTGCAACAGACTCATGTCGGTAGTGTGTCGGGCAGGACCCGAGTTGGACCGCTGGTGACCAGTGATATTCCAATGCCGTAGTCGGTCCAGTCTGAAAGCCGCTGTAAATGTCCCTGAGGATGGCTGGTTGCTGTAAGGTGCAGAAGGGGACGGAAGAACGCCCGTTACGGACGCCGCATACGCCGGCCTGTTGGGTGGAGTGGGTCCTGACAGTGAAGGACGATGCTGCAGAGAAGAGTCTAGTAACGCCGGAGGTCTCTCCTTGACAGATCGACTCCGTGGCCGCGAGAAAAACCCTGTGTTCTTACCAGAACTCTCCTTGTTGTTGTTGTTGTTGTTGTTGTTGCTGCTCGCCGCCGTTGCTGCGGCGGTCGTGCCTGGTGCGTTAGATGTCGTAGATGAGGCAGGAAACATGCGCACGACTTTCAGGTCCGCGGGCTTGCTTGACCCTCGATCCGCAAACAATCCAGCATCCGGTGCAATCGAGAATCCTGCCTTGCGAAGAACGTTGTGGGTCTTGTACCGAAGATCGCCCAAGACTGTTGAAAAATAGCTGTCCTGCTGATCCCTTCCAAACTCGGGAGTGCCGTCCGTCAAGGGCGAGGCCAAGGATGATGAAGACGACATGGGATCCCTAATGTTACCGGTCCTCAGGCGACTGGGGAGTTTGCCGCTGCTGCTGCTGCTGTTTTTGGACACTAGTGGTGGTTGCGATGGTGGTTGCGACGGTGGCTCCTCGCGAACCGGTGTTCCTGGACGACTCGTCCTTGCGACTTCACTGGTCGATGTTGATTCTTCGTTCTTTACAAACATTGTGGGTTGTTGTTGTGGTGGAATGGACATGTTTGCAGAGTGATTCGAGTTTACGGGCGAGACGGGTCTTGACGTGGACAGCAACGAGTGTTTGGAGACTGAAGGGGTAGAGAGCTGGTAAACCAGAGCACCCTGCTGCTGCTGTTGCTGTTGCTGTTGCTGTGGCAATACCAACCTTGGCTGCTGATGGTCTTGCTGGTTGAATACATTGGATTTGGATGCGTGTGGTTTGAACACAGGCGACTTGATTCCCAAGATGTTGGTCGTAATCGTGGCCGAGGAGCTGTTGTCCAGATCTGCGGTTGATGAAGAAGTGGACTGTGTGGTCGATAGTAACCCGTGCGAGCCCTTGTGTCGAAGGACTCCCTTTTGGTATAGCGCGGAGGACAGTAGGGCTGGTGCAGTTGATGCTGGTAATGCCTGTGCTTGCGCAGCGAGATCGGGTGTACTTGGCCGCCTGAAGGACAAGGCTATGTGCCACGGGTTCAATGACGAGTGTATTGAAGGTGTTGAGATGGCTAGCCGTCTTGGCGTGTTTGGGAGTGAAACGGGTCGCCTCACATTCTCTTCGCTCACCAGTTCCCTTGGTCCTCCTGGCCTCTGCGGTATACTGTCTTGTGCTGAAAATACTGGTACTGATACTGGTGCTGGTACAGATACTTCTCCTTGTCCTGCTCCTGCTCCTACTCCTGCTCCTGCTCCTGCTCCTACTCCTGCTCCTGCTTCTACTCCTGACGCTGCAGCTGCTCCTGCTCCATTGTCCAAGGGGTGCAACAAGACCAAAGGCGACACGAGTACCTGTTTAGCCAGTACATCCGGCGCTGGCGCAGTGCCTTCATATGAGCTGATGTTTTGTAGTGGTGGGACGAATGCTTTCTTCTCCGAGGTCACTGAGGATTGGGACCTTGTCCGTGGCCGGGGTTTCATCTGTACAAGTGGCTGGTGTTCGGACAATGGAGGAAGGAGCGGCAAGGGTTTGTCTGCTGCTGTGGTAGCGGTTGTGGTCGAAAGACAAGGTGAGGGGAAGGATGAAGGCGAGGGTGGGGACGAGAGTGTTGGTGAGAGCGAAGGGGATGTTGGCATTTCAAGCCGAGGGCTGTCCTTGGACAGAGCAAAGTCCACGTCCTGCTCTCTGAATCGCCCTACGGTTCCCTCGCAGAAGCCCTGGATATGTATGGAGACAAGAAATAGCAGCCGATACAAAAAGAGGGAGACAAGGAGGAAGGGGAGGAGAGGAGAAGATGAGAGGGGTAACGACCACAATGAAGAGGAAGGAGGAAGAGATTGTGTGCAGTATGCATGTCCATGCGGTTAGCTTGGTTCGTTTTACCAGCAGCAGCAAACAGCAGCAGCCAGTTGTCAAGAATAAAAAAAAATAAAAAATAAAAAAGAGCTGTATGCGGGAACCCCAGAGAGACGCACACCCGGCATCATTTCCCGTCCCCTGAAAAGGGCTGCGAGCAACATAAACAGCAAGAACCTCCCGCATAAATGTTGGAGGTTGTACCCCCAAGATAAAAGAAGAAAATACAATAAAAAATGTGCTAATGTGGAGAGGGAGTACATGCATGCAACGTGGAATAGGTTTTTTCTTTGTTCCCTTCGCCACAAAGATATGCCAGAAAGACATAGGCGATCAGATATGAACATCGGTCCCACCAAAAGAGCTGTTGTTTTCCCTCTGCGGAGCGAAGTTGTGTTGTGGTGCAGGGGGTTCATTCATATGCTCTCGACAGACAGCCAAAAAGGTGTGTACGACCACAGCTCATCAACTCTATTCTTACCATACAAAGACCGTCCTCAAGACGTTCCAGCAACACGACCTGCTCTCCTGGAGGTATCACACAAGAAAGAAAGCGAGGTGTCAATAGTGTCAGCCCAATTCAATTGACCGAAAAAGGACACAGGAGAAAAAAAAGGTTTCTATTAGTGCACTGTCTTGGCCTTGGCAACGTGGATAGGATGAATGGACACATGTCCCTATCATTGACAGTGGGCGAAAAAAAAAGAGTCTTCTTACCAGCAAAGAACATCAGGTCGTGGGCAATGTTCCCCCGGACGCTGCAACGTGCAATGCCCTGTGCGATCCCATTTAAGACTGTACCATCTGAATATGTCATTGAAAACGAATCAATTGCAGAAGAACAGGAACACGAAAAAAAAAAAAAAGACGAACAAGAAGAAAAAAGAGGACCGGAATAGGAAGAAGAGAAGAGAAGAATATGGCAGCACGTTAGAACAGGAGCAATTGAACATGGCTACAATGTTTTTGCCTTTCTTTATTAGAATAAAAATAAGGTACAGTCTTTTTTTGAACGCATAAGAGCTCCCACGAAACGCGACAATAATAACAGTTAAAAAAAAAGAATCGTTTTTTTTTTTTTTTTTTTTTTTTCATCGTCAAGGGTGACATCGCTCCCATGGGTTCCGTGGGTCAGTAGGTTCATCATTTACCATTGGTCCGCACCTCGTAGCATTGCGATGATTCCTCATGAGCAAAGGACGTTGACAGAGACTCCATTCAAATCCCCCTGATTTCGGATATAGAAAGCAAGAAGAGGAACGCGAAGGGAAGGGGGGAGGGGACAAAAGAGCCCTACACAGTTAGGCAGGTAGACAGTCAGAGTAAAAAAGGATAAAAAAAAGTAGGAAGGCTGAAAGGAGGAAAGGGTTTCGTCGAAGGATATCTTTCTTCTTTTTCTTTCGTAGTTGTGAGTATGAGGACAAGGAGAGACAGAGAGAGAGAGAGCGAGGGATTGATGAAGAGGAAGAAGAGAGGTTCAGGGTCCACGTAAAAGGAGACACGCAGACAGACAGACAGACGGGTAGGCAGCCAAATAGCTAGGGCAAAGACAAGGAGGACAAGGAGAGGGCAAGGTATAGACAATAGTGTGAGAACCGCGACTATTGCAGAAAGGTAGCAAGTGAGAGGCAATAGGCAATAAGTGATATAAAGAAGGAGAGAGAGAGAGAGAGAGAGAGACAGAGAGTGGGGGCGGGATGGAGAGAGGGATGGGAAGAAAGCGTGGGACTGATTGCAAAGGGCGAGGAAGAAGAAAAATAATATGTATGTAAAAAAATGACCAAAGACAAAGAAAGTGGCGTATATATAAAACCAACGAAGGAAGAAATGAAGTGATGAAAGGATGAATGGATGGATGGATGGATGGATGGATGGATGGATAGACAGATGGATGAGCAAAGCCAATGAATGTCCGATGGCGAGGAAATAAGATGAGAAGGCTACACACACGCACGCACGCACACATTTACACACATACACACACCACTACCACCACCACTACTTCCACTTCCACTTCCACTACTGCTACTGCTACCGCTACCCATCTATCCAGGTAGACAAGTAGCCCAAGGCCCAATTGGTATGGCATGTCCTGGTATGTGTACAGTACATTTAGACACATACCATCCCATCGGTAACAGCAAACAAAAAGGAGCTATGCTGCCGAGCTGCATCGACTCGTATTAGACCATAACCAGCTGCTCTTACACCCTGTTCTCCTCCCGAGACCAAAATCGTCCCTCTGAGTCCCGTCTGGTTCGTACATGAACTGTATGTACATGAATAGTCTGTATAATATTTGACCCTCGGATGCATCTGTAGCAAAAATGAAGAATAATACCGTCGTTCTGGAAGGAGGGAAACTCTTTTTCTTTGCATTATTTCAGCAATCGATATGCATCAAATAACGGAGAAAAAGACGCTGTCTGTAGAAGAGAAGAAGAGAAGGACGACGCGTAACATTCATTACCTACTTTCTCCCCCCCCCCCCCCCCCCCCTCCCCAATAAACACGCGTGTTTGTATACAAATATCTCTTGTTCCTGAATAATGTTTCACGCTCGCTGTTGATTGGCAGTGTAGCACAGGAAGTGGTGTACGTACACTCCATCTTTATTTCCTATATACAAAAGACTTGATTGTGTGCATGTACATGTATGTGTGTGTGTGGACGGATCTGCTGAACATGGTCTGTTGGCTGATGGGATGATCCCCTTCCCAACGATACTAGAGGATATATATATAATGCGTATTTACAACTTCTTGCCAACAGCCTTGAGACCATCCTCGACCTTCCTGCCCCACTCCGGATCAGCTTTGTTGAACAACCCGATCTGGCGCTTGATAATCTCAACGTTCTTCACGTTCTTCATATGGGCCACAATGTTCTTGATCAAATCGTCTTGCTCCTTGCCCTTCATGAGCCTGTACAAGTTACCGGGCTGCTCAAAATCATTATCTCCCTTGCGGAATGGGTACCGACCCGTTCCTCCATTCAACTGCACAGATGATGCCTTGTAACGAACATCCTTATCCTGCTGCTTAGGACCATTAGGGTCTTTGCTCTGGGGCTCAGCGTTCGGGTAGTTCCTGAAATTCTCCGAGAATACGGAGGCGCCATCACGCTGGTAGTTGTTGACCTTGGTGCGGTAGGCCTGGTTGATCGGCAGCTGCTTGTAGTTGACTCCGAGACGGTGGCGGTGCGTATCAGAGTAGGAGAAGAGACGGCCCTGCAACATCTTGTCGTTCGTCACATCAGTACCGGGGACCAAGTGCGCGGGCGAGAACGCCGCCTGCTCAACTTCCGCATAGTAGTTGGTCGGGTTGCGGTTCAGAGTCAACTTTCCGATCTTCTGGAGAGGGTAGTCAGCATGTGGCCACACCTTTGTGACATCAAAAACGTTCCATTTGTAGTTGGCTGCATCCGCCTCCTCCATAACTCTGAAATGAGGAAGGCAAACAAATGGTAAAGGTAGCATTAATAAAGACCTCAAGTCATCGAATGATGTTTAGAACCCATCCCCATAGAACAATGACTTACTGCAGGTAGACGGTCCATGTAGGGTAATCACCCGCTTCAATAGCATTGAACAGATCCTCGACGTTACTGTCAGGGTTCGTGCCATTGAGCTCCATAGCCTCCTCGTTGCTGTGGTTCTTGATACCCTGGTCCGTCTTGAAGTGCCACTTGACCAAGCGAGCGATACCCTGATCATTGACGAGCTTGTACGTGTGGGACGAGAAGCCGTCCATGTGGCGGAACGAGTAAGGAGTACCGCGGTTCGAGAACAGGATCGTGGTCTGGTGGAGCGATTCTGGCGACAGCGACAAAAAGTCCCAGTAGGCATCAGCATCTTTCAAGTTCGTCTGAGGGTTGCGCTTCTGGCTGTGGATAAAGTCAGGGAACTTGAGAGGGTCGCGACTATCATTATCAGCATACGAAGAAAAGAAAAAAAAAAAAACAGAGCCAGATGAGCAATGCGAACAAAGTAAAGACTTGATGGGCAGCACCAGCGGCAATTGATGCTTACACGAAAAAGACAGGGGTGTTGTTGGCGACCATGTCCCAGTTACCGTCCTCGGTATAGAACTTGAGGGCGAATCCACGGGGATCACGAGCAGAGTCACTGCTACCTTTCTCGCCTGCGACCGTCGAGAAGCGCGCAAACATCGGGGTCTTGGTTCCGGGCTTGGACAGGAACTTTGCGCAGGTGATTTGAGACAAGTCCGCGGTCACCTCTGCGCAGGTACCACATCCGGTCATAAAAATCCGAAACAAGGATCAGCCAATCAGAGCGCCGGAAGGATTCCCATTCAGAAATGAGGTCATTCATTCGTTGTTCAGAGCGCGTCAGAAAAAGACCGGACGAAACAACAACCATAAAACATTATATAAAAAAATAAAATAAGTCCGTTAGTATTCTGCATTGAGCCCTGGAACCATTCAGTAATTGAGGAATGATGCGCTAATGATGATTGGCAACGGCACCCGATGCGCAGCAGGGACCATGTAGTCCTCTTTTTCTTTTTCTTTTTTTTTTTTTAAAAAAAAAAGTCTGGCTCGGTCCGCGGGTTCTTATGCAATCATTATGAAGTTCACGCATATCATTGCCACCAACTTTATCCTCTCCCCCCATAAAGTCATGTTCACTTACCAAACTCTCCATGGGCTCCACCACCCTTGGCATGGACCACGCGCTCGGGGACGCGCTCATGGTCAAAGTGTGCGAGTTTGTCGAGCAAATGGAAGTCCTGGATCAGAATGGGACCATACTCGCCAGCAGTAAGTGAGTTCTGGTTGTCATCGACGGGATCACCTATCGCGAGTAATCGATGGAGAGATAGAAAAGTCAAAGTGTTAATAACCTTGTGCAATGTAATTAATCAAGTGCGTAGTTGCGACGCAAAGCCCAACACAGCACAGCACAGCGAGAAGAGGGACTGTGTTGCTATGAAGTAGGATGTGTAACTTCAGAGATAAAGAAGCGACTGCTTACCATTGCTGGTGGTGAGGACATTGTTGTTGGGAGTAGCGAGGATGGTGGGAGCTGCAGTCATATTGTCGACGAAGGGGATATGCATAAGAAATGATGGAAAAAGAAATAAAGAAAAGAAGAGTAGAGGAGGGTTTGGGGGGGGACAGATGTCTTTTATACGCAATCTAGGAGACTTACTACCTCACTACCGCAAAAAAAAGATGTAATCCATCCTTGTATTTGTCAAGAGCGAAACTTCGGCCCCGAAGTCCGAGCAAAGTCATTCAGCGATAGGCGAGGTCGGACGCCAATCAAAACCCGATCGGTCGAAGGAGAACCGGCCTGAACGACCCCAGATGTTTTCCCACACCTATACACAGACACCCTTCTTTTTCTTTTTCATTTCGGCCATGGCCATGGGTGTTGTTATGCCATCAGGAAAGGGGAACGTGAGTGTTGGTTGCCCCATCACAAATCGCCACGAAAATGGTCTCCAGTCGCGTTATTCGTTCACAAGAAGGTGCAAAAAAAAAAAAGAAAGGAAGAAGGGCGCTAACATGTATGAGGTCACCATGGGGTCAGTTCCATGCGTTATCCTCAGCTTTTTGTGTAAAAAAAAGGGAAGCGCGCTTTTACCTCAATGGACCTGTTTTAATCGTGCGAAAAAAATAAAATAGAAATCGCACGTCGATCCATTTTCCTCTGTTCAACCTTTTTTTGTTCATTCTCTTTCTCACACACTACGTACATGTACAATACGCGTCCATGCAATAGGCCGTTCATTCAAACACAGGCAATATATAAAATATAAAAAGTAGACGTGATCTCCAATGGCTGCGCACAACTTCTGAGCGACTGGATAAAAGGGGGGATACCATTATTACGTTCTGCCAGTGGGACGCGAAACCAGCCGGATTTTTTTTTTTTTCCCGAAAAGTCGGTTTCGTAATAATATATCATCTTACCAGAAAAACCTATCCCCAGTGTATCTATCGCGAAAGTGACAATCCTCTAAGATTTCATGATTTGTGCGATAGGGTAATACATGTCGATCCATTCCAAGGATGGGGCGGAGGATACTTTAGAGAGTCCTTCCTCTCCTCTCTCCTTTCTCCTCCTCGGGTATGAGATGGTGGTTGTTCTTGATGGTCTGTCCGTGGTATTCTAAAAAAAAAAAAAAAAAAAACTAGCGAAGCAGTCCCTTCCAAGCGTTTAAGTGAATCTGAGCAGAATGGAAAAACAAATAAAAAAGCGTCCCATAAATAAGGGTCATCACTCTGGTGCTGCATTCAACAGTCCCGTTACTCAAATAAACAACGGATTTTTTTTTCATGAATTCCACCAATCGCTTCCCGTCTTCTACAGAGGAGGAGAAATCCTTCTCTGTAGGTGGCGGGAATTTGCACCGCGGGACCCTTTCACTCGCGTGTGAAACGGAAGGCGATGAGACTATGCTGGCAGTGTAAAAAAGCTTTTTGCTTCGATAGGTCCTTCATTGGGCCATTCGTGAGGCTGAAAGAAGAAATCCTGTCTACATGCTTCTTTTCTATATTTATATAAAAAAAAAAAAGGATCTATGGGGGTTTCTAGGTTTATTCGCGGTCCGAGATGGACCACATCTGGACAAGGAAGCACGCGTTCAGCAAAGGAAGGAGCACTTGCACAGTTTAAACAAGGATTTAGAAGTTGGGTGAATTATATTGTTGTATTTTTTATTTACAGAAAGAAAGTAATGATGAACTTAGATGCCCTTGCCACCAGTGACCTCGAGGGTGTGTCCAGTAATGTAGGAAGCAAAAGGACTGCACAGCAACAAGACCGAGCCAGCTGCCTCCTCGACCTGACCAGCGCGCTTCAAGGGCGTGTCAGCAAAGACAACAGCTGGAGGAGGAGCCTCCTTCTTGGCGCCCATGGGGATTCCAAGAGCGATCTTCTGTCCATTCACAACCATCGTCTCGCCGTTCTCCTTCGCACGGGTCAAACGGGTGTCGACATAACCAAAGGCCACAGTGTTGCAGCGGACTCCGAGGGGACCCCACTCCTTGGCCACAGTCTTGGTCAGACCAATGATACCGGCCTTGGCAGTCGCGTAGTTGGCCTGGCCGACGTTTCCGTGGAGACCAGAGGTCGAGGACACCTATAGGTCAAATATACACGTGCCAAATCGTCATTAGAAAAAAAAGAGCCCTCAATGTCGAGCAGCAAAGGGAATGAAGAAATACAAAAAAAAAAAATAGGATTTACGTTGACGATGGAGCGGGGCTCGCCATCCTTGACGCGCATGTACTTGGCAGCAGCGCGGATGATGCGGAAAGGAGCGGCGTTGTGGACCTCGAGCATCAACTGGAACTGCTTATCGGTCGTCTTGTGGAGCATACCGTCAAAGGTGAAGCCGGCGTTGTTGACGAGAATGTTGATCTTGCCGAAAGCCCTACAAAGACAGAAGTACCAACATAGTGGTGACACTGGTTAGATGACTTGAAATAAAAATAAAACAAAGAGATGCATGGGATACAGGCAAAGAGGAGATAAAAACCACATACTTGATGGTCTCCTCAATGAGACGCTCAGGGAAGGCCAAGTCGGTGACATCGCCAGAGACGGCGATGGCCTTTCCACCGGCATCGGTGATCTGCTTGGCAATATCCTTGCCCTTGACTATTGAGAATCAGGTGAATTAAAGATCCTGTTAGGTTTCCATTGCACACTGTCGATCTAATGAAAAATGGCCTCCGATCCGTGTCAGCTATGCTAGTATCCTGCGGTTGCTCACCATCATCGAGATCGCTGACAACGACGGAGGCACCCTCCTTGGCGAAGAGCAGAGCAGTGGCACCACCGATACCCTGGCTATTTTTTTTTTTCAATGAACAAACAAAAGCAATCTAATTGTCAGGGCGCGTGTTATGGGTAATAATACAATTGGCGGCAAAAAACAAAAAGATATCTATTTTACCCAGCACCGGTGACGATGGCGACCTGACCGGCCAAGAGACCGGCGGGATGGGAGGCACTGCTCGAGAGGTGGTTCATGATAACCGAGACGCGGTTAGCGGCGACAGAGGACATTGTGAATGAGGAGAGGAATGAGGATGAGTGGAGAATGAGGGAGGGAGATGAATGAAAGACGAGGAATGAGGAGGAGGAGGAGGCGGGGAGGATAGGGCCGTTCTTTTATGATCGATCCACCAAAGGGGATTCACCCCGGGATAGTCCAATAACCTTTCTTACCTTTCTTGCTCTATGATCGGCACCCGCCATACATTTCCCCCTTCATCCTCCTTCTTCACGGATGAAATTTTTCCTTCGATCCCTTCGTGTCTCCCTCCACCCTTCGTGGCCCTGTCCAGCCCTAGTCCACGCTGATGCGGTGGCGACCGGACGATCCTCATATGAGGGGGGAAATAAGATTTGCAACCGTTCCCGCGGTCCACTGGCAGCCAAGCCCGAGTGGTCCGGGGTAATCATTCTGGCTGCAATCGAAGCAAGCCCGTGGGACAACTAAAAAAAAAATAACCCCTCCCCCCCCTCCTCCCTCTTCATCATCGGTCTTGTCTCCTGCAGGGCATTCCCTTTTTAAATTAATGGGCGCACCGGTTGTCCCACCGTGTCCCACAAACGCTACTCGTACGTGTGTGTGGGGGTTATTTTAAACACTTCACAGCTCAATAAGGGTGGATGAAAAACAACAAACTGCACCTGTAATTGCCAATGTGGAGTCGATCCTTAACCATACAAGCATGCCGACAACAAATGGAAAAAAAAAAAGACATAGTCATAGTCAATTCGGCCCCATGCAGGCAGACTGCTCTTATATATTGCAAAGATGTATAGTATAGTACATGGACTAGAACATAAGACCTATCCTCATATCGGTTCACCGGTCTTGTCTTCTTCTCTCGTCTCCATCATTCGCCCTGAACGTGTTTTTCCATCCGAGTCCGACACGATTTGTGGTCCTCTGTCTCGTCTTTATGCCTGAGCGGCGGCGGCATCACGCTCGTTCAAGAGCTCTTGGATGTGGTTGGTGGTAAAGTACCGAGACATGACCTCCTTTGACAGGAACTTGGCACCCTGGATGCTCTTGACGCACTTCTCAGCACCGCACCAGCAAGGGAAGGGCTGGGTCATCTCCCATTCACTCGAAGGGTAGAAGAAGGTCATGTTGTCGCCTGAGGAAGTATCGATGAGTACAAGAACATGATGGGAGAGGGGAGGGGGTGTTAATTATTGGGACACAAACGATAGAGCAGTTTGACGCGCTTAATATCGCAGTGAGACTCGAAACTTACCCTCCTTCAAATCAACAACAGCGACCACGGTCATGGTGTCGGTGTCGAGGGAGACAGAGGGGTTGCAGGAGTGGTTCATGAAGACGACTAGTAAGCGTAAAACGCGTCCACATTAGGCAAATGAATTAGTTATCGGAATAAAGGGCTCAATTGATCTCTCTTCACTTCCCAGTTGAATGCTTCCGAGCTCATTAATTTTTGGGTTTGACAAGAACTGGCTGCAATGATGTCGATGAAGGTCTTTGGTACTGTTCAGCCTTATGTAGAGATCTGATAAAGTGATACAAAATAAAAATAAAAAAACAATCCTCAATGGACACCGATCCGTATGGGGAATGAGTACTGTACGCCCCTTCGGAATAGCACATGCCGATGCGAAGGGCATCCGCGTTGGAGAGACCACTAGGCTAGTACTGTGCCGTGGATTCGGGCCTAGCATTCCTGTGTGTCCGGATGCGTTGGTCCAACGGGTTGTTTGTTCCTTTGCTCGACCGTTCCTTTTTTTTTTTGTTTGTTCTGAGGCAACCCTTCCATCTTTGTCTGATCCGAGAGGGGAAAAAAGTAATCTTCGCTTCCGCGAGATGGTCTGTATTTGGCCGTCATCCTGGCGCATCCTGTAGTCCTCCTTTTCCTCTTTTTGTATTTGCAAAGCAAAAAAACGAAGGTAGACTATTCCTCCGATAGAGCTCGCATTTTTTTTTTTTTTTTTGCCCTGGGTGTTACTTCCTGTTCCTGGATCTGTCGTACGAGAAATAACTCGATCTCTATCGGTCTCTCTTCTTCGTCCCCCCCGTGGTGCATCATCCATATCAGCATTCCCTTTCTCCTCGTGCTGCCAAGAAACAAGGACTTACGGTCAGAGTTCAGCTCGATGTGCTCATCCTTTCCGACCTGGACACTGGTGTATCTCTTGGGTCCTGGTGTGATGCCCTCGACCTTACAGATGATCTCGCCCTTGGCATAGGATCGGCTGGCGACCAACTTGGAATTGTAGTCGCCCTCAGCATAGAAGACCTCGAACAAGCCAGGGTGTGTGGGCTTGTAGGCGCTCTTGACAGCGGCGGCGTCGGTGATCTTTTCGACCTTGGTGTATGTAACAGGCATGATGTGTAACTGAGAGAGAGAAGGAGAATAGTTCAAAGAATCGACTTGAGAAATCCTGGTCGGGGTGCTGAATACGGTAGTGGGTATGGTATCTGTTAAAGAAGAAGAGGAAGAAGAAGAAGAGAGAAAAGAAAGCGGAAGAAAGATCGAGAAGCGATCAGCTTTATAGAGAATGGGTCCAATATGTTTTGAATGAGGTCCACAACTTTAACTGTCGTCACTTTGCAGGGGAAAATAAGATCCACAGCGCCTTCCGTATCGGCCCAGCAACACCCTCTTCTTTGCTTTTGTATTTCTTTTGCACTTGCACATGTGTATTTGTAGCGATCCCTTGCTGCTGCGTTTCGACCGGTGGATCTGTCCTTGTTACCCTTCTTTGCTCGGTATACACATACATGATACAACTCTGTCCCTGGGCCCCTGAAATCCAGGGTACTCTTAAGAAATAAAGTGCGCATGAAGTCATTTTCGTCAGGCGGGCAAATCGCAGCCCGTCTTTGCTATTCAAATGGGCTTAACTTGTTTGTAAGCTCAATAGGAACTCCCCCCCAACAACGCCCCCTACAGCTGTACCCTCCATTCCGTTATTCTCCATCATGTTGCTGTCGATACCCTGGTTTCGCTTTTAAATTTTCCGCAACCTGTTTCTTTCTCAGGCACTGCGTATAAATCGCACATGGCTCGTTTGTCTGTCTGTGCGCTGCTCATTCACGATTTTCAGGAACCAATTTTTCATAAAATAATTTGTATCGGTGTGTGTCAGGCACAATGGCACACCGTAAACTAGCACGTACGCTAAAAATGATACCAAGGTAAGCAAGCAGCCTTGTTAAGACGTGGGCTGTGGTGCGCAGGCGAATGATATACGCATGCCCTTTACTGAAATCCCTATATCGTTTTGGGGGTTCTTTGCGTTGCTCGCATTATTAATAGCCTCAATGAAGCAAGCAATTGATGAGGGATATTCGGCCTGTACTTCACGATGCGTTTGCCTAGCCGTGTTTTCGGCACGCGCCATACTCACACTTCATTAAATAATAATAATATAACACCACACATCCTCCTTGTTCAAGCCAGACAATGACAGTCGTTGAGTGCCTCCGTGTTACGAACTTGCCATCTTTATGAAGCGGTCTCAAATATTGCAATGGTCTGTCGACTCCAATACAGAGCCTGCGGATTAGTACATAGATGCTTATCAAAATGAGACTCTTCAACACTACTGCATTCATCTTTACACTAATACAGATGCAGTAACATATGGGCTTTAGCCATTTAGTCTGTCCGTTCTCGTGTCCTTGACACAAAACAATGCTCCATGCGATAGTGATAGTAATAATGATAATAATAATAAAGATAATAATAACAATAGTAATAATAGTAATAATAGTAATAATACTGACGCCCGTAATTGATATTTATATCGATTTCAAAGTTTCCAATGAATCGAATCTGAGTGGCTTTCAGCTACTGGAAAGAAAATCCCAGGGTCCCTCCCAATTCACATATCATACTTCTCACTTCTTTTCCCCCAGAACACCCAAATCTTTTTTGTTAAGAAACTCAACAGGTAAAGAAAGCAAGAAACATTAACATTTCCGCTGTTATTCGACCATGACAATGATATAAGAACTGACAGTCTCGAGTCTTAAACACATCACATCACCCGTTCTCCTCCAAAAAGAACTTCCCCCCCAGATGGATACAACCAAAATGGCTGACGAAAAGGAAAAGAGGAAATACACGACCATGAGCAGACAGATCCGCCTCGAGCTCTGTCAGAAGAAGCGGGACCATCCCGAGATGACCCAGTGGGCGCTCATCAAGTGGCTCCAGGATAGCTACGGTCTCCGAGTCACCCAGGCAACGGTCTCGAACACCCTGAAGAGATCCGACAAGTGGCTCGACGCATCCAGCAATCTCAACCCGCTCATGAAGCATGAGCGGCCCGTCAAGTATCCAGAGATGGAGAAGGCCCTGGCTAGGTGGTTGAGGGATAACGAGGAGCAGCCGTTCGCTCGTGGTCCCAATGAGTTCAGCCGTGGCCCCAATGGTCTCGATATCAAGAACAAGGCACTCGCGCTACTGGACCAGCTCTATCCGGAGCACGACCCCTTCATGTTCTCCAACGGTTGGCTGGACGGATTCAAGACCCGGCATGGTTTCCGCCTGAAGCGTGGGACGGGTGGGGTTATTCCGGTTAAGCAGCCGACGCTTCAGATACCGGCACACGACAAGGCTGCGAGCGATGTGATCCAGGCGGTGCAGGCGAGCAGCGGCATTGGGGGTAGCAGCTATGGCTTGGGTGATGATAGCCATGACCTCGATATGGAACTGGACGAAGTGGACGAGATGGACGAGATGGATGAAATGGACGACCGCAGCATTGGAATCGGCACTAGCAGCAGTGCCATCCCTATCAGCATCAACAGCAGCAGCCTCACAAGCGGCGCCAGCGGCGGTAGCAGGAGTGCTATTCCAAACATCAGCAGTAGCGTCGGCAGTGGCGTCGGCAGTGGCGGTGGTGGCATCAGCACCAACAGCGGCAGTGGTATCAGCATCAGCCATTCTGGGCCCAAGGCTGAGGAGGACGATATAATCAAGGCAGGTGAGGCGATCGACCTACTGTGGAAACTGGAATGCTTCTTCATGAAGAACCAGGATGAGAACCACGAATTGCTGGAGGCTCTTGACAAGATGAGGGAAAGGGCGTGGAAGATTCGCAAAGTCGAGATGAAGGAGAAGCTGAGGGGCGCGGCACCTTAGTCAAATGTGCTTCAGACGCCCTTTGCTGTTGACCATTGACCGTTGACCGTTGACCGTTGACCGTTGGTGCCTACTATTACATATAACTTTTTTCTTTTTGGTGTCGCTGGCCATGGTCCGACCATAGACTAGCCAAAACACTAGGCAGTCTACCATCGAATAAAGATATGAAGGTCAAACAAAACTAAATGCATATGACGCTCTCATTTGAATAACTTGCGCCCAAGTTATTTGTTCCGTTCGTGTTCGGGCACTCCTTTTTTCTTCATTCCCTTCCTCGCCATGAACAACAACACTCATTCAGCAGCAGCAACAACAACACCACCACCTCAAATGGCAGAAACAGCCTCCTTTACAAACCAGGACTCGACAAGTTCCTATGACGAACAAGCGACCGTCTGTGCAATTGAGACCTTTGCGGAGCACTGGACCGAGGCACAGGCATTCTCAGTCGCGACCCTGGCTGCCTGCGCCATCACAGCACTCGAAAACTCACGTATCGATACCCTGCCATGGAAGCATACCTTCTTAAGAACGCTCTTCCGACAGCTCGGGATCCATTCTAGGGAAGAGCAGGAAATGCTATTACTCCTTCAGGAGAATGGCTCATATCAGGATTGCAATCTCCAGGTCTTGGCTGAGCCGCTCCTGCCAAGAACGTACCACCGACACCATCAGCAGCAAGGTTCCCGGGCCCATTCCCATGAGAGCTCCAGAGTCACCTCGCCGATCTCGTCCCCACCGGCTTCGCCATCGAGGACTCGGAGGAGCATTCAAAAGCAGCGAACGTATGGACCTAATTCAGTTTCCTCATCACCTGTTCAGGGACCGTTCCTGGGCCAGGACCCATATGTCTTGGAGCCGGAGCTGGATATCCGGACAGAGATCATCAATGATCTGCTGTACATCGGTCTCGGATTCGAGCCTTCGAGCAGGTCCCGGAAGAACGTACCGATTCAGGAACTGAGCAACGATCTAGCAGGACTCGACCTGGACGTACCACCAACGTACTCGGAACTGGACGACAGATACACGATCGCTGCGACGGATTCAAAGCAAGGATATGGTTATGAAACTAATAAGAATGACTCGGCCTTGTTGTCACCAGTGAGGCTGCGACCGCCATCATTACCGCCTCGACAGGACCAACAGGAGTACCAAGAACAGCAGTTTGGAATGCCGCCTCAACTCCCGCCACGAATGCTGAGTAGCGCTAGCGCTTCAACGTCCGTGTCATCATCGTCATTGTCTTCTTCGTCATCCTCGCAACGGAGCAAGAAGGGACGGGTTCAACCTCTGGAGTACGATGCGCGTGCCAGGGCCGTGATCTTTACGATGTGCAACTACCTCTTGCTCTCGTACGAATCGTTCCTGGTGATCGAGAAACAAATCGCGCAACATCTTTATTTCTACCAGCAGGAGCTGATCGAGGCCGAAAGGGCGGAACTCGAGCGTGAGAGGCGACTCAAAGAGGAGCAACAGCGACTACAGCAATATCAACAACAGGGAAGTGGACCAGGCGCTAAAGTCGGCGCCTTCTTCAGCGGGCTCCGAAGCAACCGCAGCAACGGTCATAGCAGCGTACCACTTAACCAGCACGGAGTCGCAATGCAGACACAGGCCCAGTCGTCGATGCATGAACTCGAAAAGAAGAAAAAGACCTGGAAGTATCTGGCGACTGGACTCTCCATTGCTGCGGGTGCAACCGTCATCGGATTGACCGGTGGACTTGCAGCGCCGTTAGTGGCAGTCGGCGCAGGGGTGTTGCTCGGCTCTGGAGCAGCGGTTTTGGGAACGACAGCGGGCATCGCGGTCATGGCCTCGTTGTTCGGGCTGGCTGGAGGCGGTCTGGCCGGTTACAAGATGCATAGAAGGACTAAAGGTATATATATGAAGAAAAACTCCATCTCTCCGTTATGCAGTCTGCTTACATTTTTTTTTTTCGTATGGCTCTTTCAACCGAATTCAAGATGCAAAAAGTGCTGATTGCCCTTTACATATTTGTGGTATACTATAGACCTGAAGACGCTATCATTCGTCCCTATCGTCAAGGACCCAACCCTCCCACAGATTCCTTCTCTTCATGTAAGGTTTTCTATGCGCTGTCCATCAACAATACCCGGGCGGACGAAACTATCTTCGCCCCATTTCTAACCCGTTGGAACGGTTGATAACTGTCCTTTTATGTCCTTTTAGCTGGCGATTGTGATCTCGGGTTATTTGTTTGAAGAGTCCGAGGTGGTCGAAACCTGGCAAGGAACTGCAGAACATGCTTTGGAAGGGATCGATGTCTTTCATTTGACGTTTGAACCGGCCGAATTGGTGACGTTGGGCAACGCATTCAAGGTGTTTGTCGCGACAGAGGCGGTGCGGATGGTATCGACGCAGGTGATTCAGCAGACCGTGTTCGCAGCCTTGGCGAGTGCACTGGTTTTGCCATTCGGACTCATGCGTGCAGGAGACTTGATTGATAACCCATGGTATGTGGGTCAGCCATGTTTATATATATGTATAACAAAGAGTGAATGTACTTGGCAGAGAAAAAGTCTAGTGCTTGGAGCAGTATTGCTAACAACAGATACGATGTTCTTGGTTGTGATATAGGGCGGTTGCGATGGATCGTGCGCGCAAGTCTGGGTTTGTGCTTGCGGATATTCTGATGGAGCGCGTTCAGGGCAACAGACCAACGACGTTGATCGGGTACTCGACTGGCGCGGTCGTTATCTGGGAATGTCTGCTTGAATTGGCGAAACGGAAGGAACATGGTCTGATCAACACTGGTGAGTGATCTTCAACGGGAATAAACCTCGACGTTCACGCATTCAAAGAGATTTCCTATGCTTATCGCCATGTACTTTGGTTATTTCTCAATTCTTTTTTTTTTAGTGGTGCTGCTGGGCGCACCGATCAAGACGGACGAGACAGAAAAGTGGAAGGCAGCATCGTCAGTGGTAGCCCACCGGTTCATCAACGGGTACTCCAAGAAGGATGTGGTACTGGGCTCCATCTTCCGGTTGCATGCGCTTGGTCTGGACGTGGCAGGACTACAGCCTGTTAAGGCAGTGCCGCACATTGAGAACGTGGATCTGTCGGACATTGTCGGTGGCCACCTTGAGTACCATGAGAACCTGAACATGGTGATCTCGCTCCTTGGTGTACTGTAGATTATAGACTGTAAGCGGAGGACTGAATAAATAGACAAAGATCTACAAGACTACACACTACGCATGCATGTCTTTCGTTGGCTTTCCACGGATCTTTGTACTGTGTTTGTGCAACGTGTAATTGAGTTCAAGATGAAGGTTGCACGTACAGGTTATGCGGGGTAAGTTTGTGTATACTCCACTCCACCTTCTCTTTCACGTGTGTTTCCCCTGCCCCTGCCTGCGAGGGCGCGAGACGCGCGCCCATTCATAATCATTCCCATTCCCTTTTTTCTTTCTTTCTTTTCTTTTCCTTCCTTTCTCTTGAACACACGCTCTCCTCCTCTCCTCTCCTCTCCTCTCCTCTCCTCTCCTCTCCTCTCATCCTCTCCCCCCTTACACTCTTTTTGCCACCAAGACACATCTGACAGCCATGCTTCGCTCTGCCACCTCCACGCTCCGCCGCGTTGCCGTGACCAAGGCCCCCGCCCAGATGGCCGTCCGCTCCTTCTCGAGCTCGATGGCCCAGCACAACGTCTCGTTCGGACTGAACGAAGAGCAGCTCGCGATCCAGGAGCTCGCCCGCAAGTTCACAGAGGACGAGATCATCCCCATTGCTGCCCACCACGACCGCACAGGCGAATACCCCACAGAGCTGATCCGCAAGGCTTGGGAGCTCGGCCTCGTCAACACCCATATCCCCCAGGCCTATGGTGGTCTTGGATTGGGAGTGTTTGATGCTTCGTTGGTCTCGGAGGAGTTGGCGTACGGATGCTCGGGAATTCAGACGGCCATTGAGGCCAATGGCTTGGCAGAGGCCCCCCTGATGGTCGCTGCCAGTGATGAGCAGAAGAAGAAGTACTTTGGACGTATGACGGAGGAGCCCCTGATGGCCGCGTACTGTGTGACAGAGCCCGGTGCGGGATCGGACGTTGCGGGTTTGCAGACCAAGGCGGTGAAGAAGGGAGACAAGTGGGTCATTAATGGACAGAAGATGTGGATCACGAACGGAGGCAAGGCCAACTGGTACTTTGTTCTCGCCAAGGTAAGAAAAAGAAAAAGAAAAAAAAAGAAACGAATCAGCTTTGTCTTTTTGGGCCATATTCTCTCCACCAAACCCTCGTCAAACAAATCGCAACAAGCATGCAGGCAGTTGCTCAACTGCCATGTGTGCATACACACATGTACAGATACAGATACATGCTGTGGGTTGCATGATCGCTTGACAGGCAAGGGTATTTCGAGAGATGAAGATGACCAAAAAAAAAAAAAAAAGAAGGGGAGCCTATAACAGGTTGTGTGGAACCAGTCGTACCAGGGACCCAGTCATATCCAAGAACGATCGACCCTGCTTCCTTTATGAATTTTATTTTCCTCAAAACGCTACCGCGATCTCCCCCTCCCCCCCGGATAATTTTTTAATCGACTTTTTTTTTTTTTTTTTTTTTTTTTTCTCTTTGGTCCTCTGCTTTTCCTCTATAGACCGATGCCAATGCCAGGACTGGCTCTGCCTTCACCGGCTTCATCGTCGACGGCGACTCCAAGGGAATCATCGTCGGCCGCAAGGAGCAGAACATGGGCCAGCGCGCCAGCGATACCCGTGGAATCACCTTTGAGGACGTCGAGGTCCCTCACGAGAACGTGTAAGTTTTTCTTTTTTTGCATGTGATCCATTGGGAAGATGTGGAGAGAGAGAGAGAGAGAGGGGGGAGTGACCCAATCCTTCCGCAACTCTAAATCAACTCTTTCTTATTTTTAATTATCTTTCGATGGGCTATATAGCTTGGGATCAGTCGGTCAGGGATTCAAGATCGCCATGGGCGCCTTTGATATCACCCGCCCCTTGGTCGCCGCCGGCGCTGTCGGTCTCGCACGCCGAGCGATGGTCGAGGCGACCAGGTACGCGATGGATCGCAAGACGATGGGCAAGGCCATCATTGAGCACCAGGCTGTCCAGTTTATGATTGCGGACATGGCGATCGGTATCGAGTCTGCACGCAACATGGTCTGGAAGGCTGGTTGGCTCAAGGACAATGGCCACCGCAACACCTGGGAGGCCTCGATCGCCAAGGCCCTGGCCTCGGATGTGGCAGTCAAGTCTGCGTGCGATGCGGTCCAGGTCTTTGGAGGAGCTGGATTCAACACTGAATACCCTGTTGAGAAGTTGTACAGGGACTCGAAGATCTTCCAGATTTACGAGGGCACATCCCAGGTCCAGAGATTGATTATCGGCAAGGGCGTCGTTGACCGCGTTGCCAAGTAAAAAAGAAAAAGGACAACCGGTTGTACAGTTGAGGAATGAAAAAAAATACAAACAATACTACTGCAAATAAAAAATATAACATGATATCTTAGACAAAAAAAAAAAAAAAAAAAAAAAAAAGACTCTTTCAGAAAGGAGGAACCCCGCGAACCGACCCATGGTTTCAATGGGATATTACGGAACCCCATCTTGGTGTGTATATGTAGTATATGTAGCATATGCTTATGTATTTCTCTTTCTTGAAACCAACGTGTGCTTAAATGGCATCAAATGGCGCTAAAGGACGGTGGAATTTTTTAATTTCTGGGTTGTAGAAGCAGCAAGGGGAAGGAAATGAAGTTTGTTGATATTTGATAGCACAAGCCACCCAAAGGGAAGGCACACTTTTTTTTTTTTTTTTTTTTTTGCGGCAAACACACATTCGAAAGCACACAAACTCGCACCAAACGGTCTCATCACCTTTTTCCACATCCCCTTGACTCTCCCTTTCCTACCCTCTTCACACCTTTCTCTCTCTTTCACGTTCCCCTGCCGTCTACTTTTTTTTCTCCCCTTTCAACGCATATTTAAAACCACGCCGAAAAAAGAAAGACACCAAAAAAAAAAAAAAAGCAAGAAGCTCGAAAAAAAAAAAGAAAAGAAAAGAATGTCCACCGCTGTTGAAAAGCCCGCGCAGACGCAGACGCAGTCGGGCAACGGACTGAACCGCAAGTCCTCGCGCAAGGGCAAGAAAGCCTGGCGCAAGAACGTCGATATCAGAGATGTGGAGCAGAACCTGGAGGAGCTCCGAGCTGAAGAACGTACCACTGGGTAAGCAGATCATCCCCCCTTCGCTCCCTTTCCTTAAAAAAGAGATGAAAGAAAAGAAAAAAAGAAAAGAAAAGAAAAGGAAAAAAGAACGAAAGAACGAGAAGGAGAGAGAGAAGAAACAGCATGAATATATGGAAGGAAGAGTAGTTGGGAGTTAGTGGAGGAAAAAAAAAGTTGAAGAAAAGGCGTATGCTAAACTCGATAGAAAAACAACAACAACAAACACGGTTGTACTTTTTTTTTATTATGATCAAGCATCACCATTATCATTATTAACACAATTGTTTCTTTTTTCTTTTACCTCCCCCCATTCTACGATATCCCCAGTGGCAAGGTGCATCAACAATCGAACGATGCCCTCTTCACGCTCGACACCGCGGGCGATGGCAAAGTCCAAAAAGAACTCCGCAAAAACCGACCCCTCAAGATGGATGAGATCTTAGCGGGGCGTAGCAAAGTCCCCGCGGTCTCTGGACGGAAGAAACCCGCCTCGACGACCACTGCAGCGGGATTCATGTCCCAGAAAAAGGATGCCAAGATCTCCAAGGCCGAAAAGGCCAAGCTCCTGGATTTGATCCGACGCAGGACCTCGAATTCGCTCTTTGCGCCCGTTACTAAACCTCTGGGACGCACCGGTCTCACAGATGCTGTGAAGCAGGCGGGACGGTTTGATGTCTGGGGTGCGGATGCAGATGCGGATGCAGAGAAGGACGACAGTGAGAATAACAACAACAAAGACGATAAGAACGACCAGGATGATAACGACAACAGCGGCGACGAGGACGAGGACCAGGAGATGAAGGACGTGGACGATTTCGTCTCGGAGATCGTGACCAAGCGAGCCGTCAAGGCTCCCAGATCCTTCCGTCAGAAACAAAAGGTCGTCCTCCCGGCCGTGAAGGCAGCCCACCCGGGAGCATCGTACAACCCGACCATGCAGGATCATCAGGGATTGTTGCTCTTGGCCCATAACGAGGAATTGAGGTTCATTCGGGAACGTGAGAAGGTCGAGGCCAGATTGGCCTATCCCAAGGAACTCGATGCCATGGTCCCGTTTGATGACCAGACCGGGGGTCTGTTGGAGAACTCTGAGGACGAAGAAGAAGAAGATGAAGAAGATGAAGAAGATGAAGGAGAGGAAGGACAGGAGGGAGTCGTGAAGGGCAAGAGACAAAAGGGCAAAAAGTCGATCACGGAGAGGAACAGGCTCGCCAGAGCGGCGGAGACGGCCAAGAAGGAGGCACGGATCAGGCGGGAGAAGGAGCTTATGAAGCAGACGAACAAAGTCAAGGAGATCATGAAGACCGTGGAGGAGGAGGAGGCCGAGGCCGAGGAGAGACGGTTGGAGAACGAGAGGAAGAAGGAGGAGAGGGAGAAGGCGGGCATGAAGCGTGTGGGGCGATTCAAGTATGTTGTTGTTGTTGTTGCTAGTGTTGTTGGTGTTGGTGTTACTGGTGTTGCTGTGGTCGGCTGAAGGAGGCTGTGTGCTAACGCTTGCGTTCTTTTTTTTTTCTTCATAGTATCCCCAAGGAGAGGATACACGTCCAACTGCAGGACGAGCTGCCCGAGTCCCTGCGCCAGCTCAAGCCGGAAGGAAGTCTCATGAAGGATCGTTTCCAGAGCTTTGTCGAGCGTAACCTCATCGAGCCCAGAGTCCCTGTTGCGTACGTTTTCTGTTCTTGTTATTTTCTTTCTTTCTTCTCTTCCCCTCTCCTCTCCCCTGTTTCCTTGATTTCTTCGTGGCCCATGTCCATTTGGTCCGACCTCTATTCCTTGTACTAATATAACCTTCGTTTTCTTTTTTCCTTTAAAAAAAAAATAGCAAGCGCCGCAGATATCGTCTCAAGACATACGAGAAGCACTCGTACAAGCGTTTTGATAACCCTAACCATGCTTAAGAGCCCATCATTATCATCACCATCACCATCATCCTCATCATCGTCGTCGTCGCTTTCTTTTTCTTCATTTCCTCTCCCTCGGTTCCTTTTTTTTCTTCTTTTCTTTACTTTTCTTTACTTTCACTCTCTCTTCAATCTCATTCCTGGCATTGGCATAGAAACAAAACAAAAACAAATCGTTCGATTTGTATTGTACAATAAATAAATAATTCAATGATGAACACCAAAAAAAAACTCCCTTCCTCTCCCCCCAAGCAACAACAACCTCGGTCGGATATAGCGTTTGTTAATATTGGTCACAAAAGACGGTTAGTGAAGAGACGAAACTCAAAAAAGACAACGAGTACTCCCAAGGCCAAAAAAAAAAAAAAAAAAAGCTCGCCAAAAAAAAGAAAAGCTCATTTAGAACAGATATGGATTTGGCAAAAGAGTGCTGTGAATGTATTTGGTCTATGATGCTGCAAATATGAATACAATTGAAGACTAATAATGAAGGGGGAATAATAATAAAATGCAAAAAATGAAACAAATGTGGGATGTTGGATGTGGGATGCGGATGTGAGTATGGGGGGGGGGGGGGGGAGATAGGGGAATTGAGAAAACCGCAAAATAAAAAGGTATCTATCTATCTATCTATCAACAAAAGTAAACGGCTTCCCTCCACAAGAAAAGTAACCGATGGAGACGGATCTTTGTTCTACGTTACGCGCTCTCCCCTCCTCCTTAGTCAGAGTCCGTGTCCGCAGGCTTGGGAGTACCCTTGTCCGAGGCGAGCCACTCCAAATGACGGAGACGACGACGAACCTCCTGGGCCTTGACATCGTTTCTCGACTTCTTCTTCTTCTTGTTGACCACCACAATCGGCTTCTCCGCATCCTCGAAATTGCTCTCCTGCACAGCGGTCTTTCCGTGGATGGTCAAGCGACCGGCGTTGACCGACCAGGTCTCGGGGCAGAGCGCGCCCAAGAACTCTTCATTATGGGAAATCATAATCACGGATCCTCCCCAGTTGCGGATCGCAACCGCTAAACCTCCAAGAGACTCACGATCCAAGTAATTGGTAGGCTCGTCCAAAACCAACATATGAGGGTTGTTCCACATCGCGGCCGCAATCACCACCTTGACCTTCTGGCCTCCAGACAATCCGCTGATCATGTTGTGATCCGCAATATCTCCGTCCAAGCCAACGTCCTCCAGATGCTTACGGATCGACGCCGGCGACAGCTCACGGTATCCGAGTCCCTCTCTCGAGGCCTCACGGTCATCGAATTGACGGATGAGCTTATCGAATCCGAGCTCGAGCAACTTCTCGCGGGGCATCCAGGTGTTGAACTTGTGGACGTGGTTCTTCCACTTGATCTCGTACTGGTACGACTTCTTCAGCTTCTGACGACCCATAATCTGTTCCACCTGACGCTTGCTGCCATCGTTTCCAATGACCCAGGTCTCCATCTGCGCCGCCTCCTCGGGCGTCATCGCCACCGTGGGCTTCTCCAGCACCTCACGATCCGCACCTCCCTGGTAACGCCATTGGATGTAGGCGTTGGGGGTCTTTTCCAAATGTTGCTCCAAATGGTGGAACGCGTGCTGGGCGACATATCCGATACGGAGGTTAGGGTGCTTCCAGACGGTACCCTCCTGAGCCTGGGCCTCTCCGGTCAAGAGCTTGATCATGGTCGACTTTCCGGCACCGTTGGGTCCGATGACACCGACGCGGGATGAGAGCGAGAGCTGGATAGAGACCTTGTGCAGCGAGGGCTTGGAGGCTCCGGGGTAGGTGTAGGTGCAGTCTGTCATCTTCATGATCGCCTTCGTGCCGGACTTGACACCGACCAAGAACGAGGGCTTGGGGAACTCAAACTTGACGGTCGTGGCAGCCAAGGTGTAGTAGGACTTGGCCTCGGGCTTGACCTTGACGAATTCAGAGAGGTTACCCTTGTACATCTTCAGCTTCTTGCGCTCGTAATGCAAAATGTTGGTGCAGACATTGTCGAGGAATCCAGAGTCGTGAGAGACGATGATCGAGGTGACATTGGTCTGGCTGATCAGGTAATCCTCCAACCACTTGATGTTGGCCACATCCAAGTGATTGGTGGGTTCGTCCAGCAAGAGGATATCGGCGTTCATCAACATTGCACGGGCCAATTCCAGCTTCATCTTCCAGCCTCCAGACAGGGACGAAACCGTGTTCTTCTGCATCTCCTCAGTGAATCCGACGGTCAACAATGCGCTGACGACATCCTGACGGGCAGTGCTGGCGAGCTTCACATCCGAGGCAACAAAGTCGACAATGGCCATCTCTCCCTGGTCTCCCTGAAGCGAGTGCTCCACAAAGACGGTGCGGAGGACATCGGACGAGGGGAAGCCGTCCAGCTTGCCGAGCGAGATGGCTCGCATGAGGGTCGACTTTCCAGCTCCGTTGGGGCCGCAGAGACCATAACGGCGACCACGGTGCAGCTTCAGCTTGGTGTGGTTCAGCAACATCATTCCTCCGTAGGCGAGCGAAAAATCAATGTTGCACAGCTCCTCGCCCTCGTCCGTCTCCTCCACGCTCTTGTCGCCGTTCAGCTTGCGGTCCAGTTCGACATAGTGCTCCACGACAGTGTTGACAACAGCGTTGGCGTCCGCGAGGGGCATGAAGGCGGTGAGGAAAGGTGCAAGGATTGAAACCCATCCACGGGGCGACAGGTTGTCCTCCTTGATCAGGACGATGGTCAAGAGAGAGATGTGGGCCTTGACGACATCAAAGAATGTAGGGAAGAATCCAAACTTGCTCACAGCCTTGTTGACAACGTTGCGGGCCTCGGTCTCGGAGGGAACAATCGAGTCGGTCTGGGCAGCAGGGTCGACCTTGGTGGCTCCTCCGGCCTTGATCAAGGTGTTCTTGGCAGCAGTGGCCAAGGCACGAATCTCGGGAACGGCAGCGATATCGATGATGCGCTCGAGACCGGGCAAGAGGTCGGGAAGGAACTGACCGGCCTCGGCAGGGTCCTTGACCAGCTTACAGAGGTTGTCGACAATGATGGTGGTCTGACGCTGGATATGGGACGAGCGCTCGTTCATGGCGCGGACCAAGAGAGGGACCATGATGGCGAGAGCGGGGCCGTTCATGTCGGCGACAAAGGTGGTGGCGGACAGCTTCTCCATGACCATGGGGACCTTCTCGGGGTGGGCCATGCACTCGCAAAGGTCCTTGAGGTGGCGAGCGATATCGGGGTTTCCACCGACGTTGCAGACACGGAGCATGGTCTTCATGGCCTGATCTGCGACCTATTATTACATTGTTACATTGCCGTGCATACATATGATTAGTAAAAATCTTCTTATCTCAAATACGAACAAGAATCCAAAGTCAGCTGCAGACAGCTGCCTGTGGCGAGGAGGGCAAAAGTAAAAAAGACCGAAAGACTGAAAGTGAGGGGCTATTTTTTTTTTTCTTCTTCTTTTTCTTCTTCTTCTGCAGTGTATCGTCGCTATCTCATTCAATCATTCAAGGGGAGGGAATCGGCCACCGACAGCTGTAACCAGAGGGCGCAGATTACGGGCAATAAAAGTAAAAAGCGCAGGCAGTGCCGGTTTCTTCCAATTGAATTGCCCGACACTTCACATGGGTGTGTAACACCACAATAACAGGGCCACACCAGAAATTATACAAACCATAACAAAAAGAAAAAAAAAAAGATACAGGTACAGGGGGACAAACAGATCTGCAGCACCAAAATAGAAGTGATATCAAATACAAGTCATTCATTCTTCTTACCTCCTGCTTAGTGTCCGACATGCAGTCCTTGACGATAGGGATAATCTCGGGCAGGGTAATGCCGACCTGGATGGGCGAGGCATTCGACAGATCCGCCAGCAGCTGCAGCGCACCGACCTTGGTCTGCCACTTCTTTCCAGGTCCGCCAATGCTCTGGAAGAGGATCGGCAGAGCGATGGCAGCAGACTGTGAGGGCATGTTGGCCATGATGGCCATGGCAGCTCTTGAGGCCGCATCCTGGACGACGGGGCCCTTATCGGCATAGAGATCGAGGATCAGGGGCAGGAGAGGGATGAGGAAGGGCTCGGAGGGACGGCCGAGGACGTCAGCGAGGGCGCAGATACCGATGAGGGCACCCTCACGAGCGAGACCGGACTTTTTATTCTTGGCCTCGGACTCGAGGTTGAGGAGGATGTTGCTGGTCTTGAGGGAGATGAGGCCGTCGTTGTTGACGGCGGCGGCCATCTCACGGGCGATGGTGTCGCACTCTTCGGAGGTGGGGGCGGTGTAGAGCTGGGCGAGCATCTTGGAGAGCTCGTTCACGTCGGCGGAGGGGGCCGTTTGCATCTCGAGCGAAGGCATTATATGAGGTGAGGATATGGGCAGAGAGGGGGGGGGGGAGGATGAGTGGGGAGGGCTGGTCTGTCTTGAGGAGTGACCAGGGAGAGAGGGCGATAAAGAGAGAAAAGAGGGATGGATATCTAGCGAGAGTGAGTGGAGTGGAGAGTACAGAGAGTGGAGAGAGTGAAGAGAGGGAGGGGAGTGCGGGCGATAGTGGGCAATGGAGATGGGAGGAGAGGAGGGGGGAGAGGGGTGAAGGAGGAAAGGGAGAGAGAGAGAGGCAGGAAAGAGACTGAGGATCGCTATAAGAAACACACGGCTGAGATTCAACTTTGAAGAAGAGAGAAAAAAAAAAACCGCTGTTTACTCTTCAATGACGATTGGGACTGTCCTTTTCTTCTTTTGCACTTTTCACTCCCAGCGGGGACTGAAACGGGCGCGCACCACTGCAGGCGGTCCCATCATCCATCTCCATGTACAGTACAGAATCTGCAGCGGACATGTGTCTGTCTGTGTGGTGTACAAGTAGTCTAGTGTAGTTGCTGCATAAGCCTACATAGCCTACGGTCTACATAGTCTACATACACGCAGTGTGTGTGCAGCCTACTGTAGCCCGTCCTTGGATGGCTGCAGTCGATTGCATATGCCAATGGCCACTGCCACATATGATGGAGGAACAGGAGATACGGATTCAGGAACAGCACACCAAGGGCGCACGGACTGCTGCACTCAACAAATTGCACACAAGCACGCGCGGAAAAGGAGAGGGAGGAAGATAGGATATGTGAACATGCAGGGACACACATCCTCGCTCGCTTCATTACACACCCATTACCCACTCGCACTCGCCCTCACACCCGCACCTGCACTTGCACTCACACCCGCACTAGCATCGTATAAAAACGAACCCCCTCCCCTCCCCTCCCCTCCCCTCTCCTTAACATCCGCCGCACAGTTCCCCTCTAAAAAGACCCTGCCTCATGCCCTCCCTCCAAATGGAGGCATACATCACCCTCCTCACAAGCAACTCCTATGCCAGCGGTGCCCTCGTCCTCGCCCACTCCCTCCGCGCTACAAACACCTCAAAGCACCTTGCGGTCCTCGTCACCACCTCCGTCTCTCGCCCCATCCGCGACCGACTCGCCGCCGTCTTTGACGCGCTCATCGAAATCGGCGAAATCAACTCCCATGCTACCAAAAACCTCCAGCTCCTTGGCAGGCCCGAACTCGGCGTCACCCTGACCAAGATCCATGTCTTCAACCAGACCCAGTATTCCAAGGTCGTCTTCCTCGACGCAGACACCCTCGTCCTTAAGAATCTCGATCATCTCTTCGACACGGCCGCCAATGGGTCCATCGAGGATCAGGACCGCAACAAGAGGTTTGCGGCTGCGCCCGATGCTGGCTGGCCCGATTGTTTCAACTCTGGTGTCTTTGTCTGCCGCCCCTCTTACAAGGACTACACTGGCTTAATCGAGATGGCAGGCCAGCAAGGCACATTCGATGGTGAATATTCTCCCCCTGTGTCCATTAAACGACGTCAATGCCTAATCTATTTCTTGTATCAAAAAAGATTAACCACCGGTTTTTTTTTTCATGGCCATTGAATCAAATAGGGGGCGACCAAGGTCTACTCAACAGCTACTTTAGCGGATGGTCTACAGGAGATTCCAGCAATCGACTTCCCTTCCTGTACAACACCACGCCCACCTCTGTTTACAGGTAACGTCTTCTTTGAGCTGTCATTCAAGCGTAGGGAGTGCGCAACGACTTTAACCCTGAGGAAAAAGACATCGACGATTACCCTAATGTTTGGATTTTGACGGCGTGTGCCTGAACGCCAATTTTTTTGTGTTTACACTTTGTGCTTTGATGAAGCAAGGAAGGAGTTTATGTTTACTAACCTCATTTTTCCCAACCTTTGACCGCGATACCTGCTACGTTAAAACTACAGCTACGCTCCTGCATTCCAACAGTACGGGGACAAGCTGGCCATTGTCCATTTCATCGGGTCTTTCAAGCCCTGGCAGTGGCTCCGCTTCGCAGACGGAACCGTGTTTCCTCGGAATACGTCATCTACGGATTCGATTACCCTTGTGCAGAAATGGTGGGGTGTCTTCGATCACTATGTTGGCGGCAAGGTAAAAAAAAAAAACGGCTGGTACTTTACATCACCTTTTTTCTTTTTTTTGGTGGTCGGGGAGCGCTTTTTGATGGTACTGACCATTTAGCATTTTTTTTTCATTACACTATATAGCCTTCGGATATTCATGAGGTCTCACACGGCTACGACCTGCCTCCGCAGAGTCAGTGGGATAACGTTGGCTTGGATGGTCAGTCTAAAAAGCCCGAGTCAGAGAAAAAGCTCCATTACGACGGATGGTTCCAGCCATATGAGCAGCAACAACCCAAACTGGCTCCCGCTGGGAACCATTTTCAGAACCATCAGGAACATAATGGATCGCTTCAACACGAGACTGCTGAAAAGAAGAACCAGCAGCAGCATGAGAAGGAACAGGAGCGTCAGGGATCAACACACGAGGCCCGGTATTCGCATAACCCACACCATCTCACTGACTACCACTACCAGCCGGAACTCGAGTCCGAAACTGCGCCCCATCATCGGTATCATCACAACCGACATGATAGCGGGTTCGGCGTCCCTGCGGGCTATCAAAACGCGTGGGATCTCGATGAAGATCCTCGAATGCTGCATCCGCCCTTGTACTACGAAAAAGCGATCGACATTGAGGAATCCAATTTCCCAGAGGCAACTTCTTCCTTTCCCTCCGGAAAGGGTCGCCCCGTCTTTCCCTGGGAGCACGACCATTCTTCCACAGCGAGGATTAGGAGCCGCAATTCTTTTACCGACAGTAGCACCGGTACGAGAACACCTTCGAGAGTATACTACAACTACACAGCCAGCGCACAGGAGCGACAGGAATACTTTGAATGGGAAGCAGCGAGACAGCTCGCGTATGAAAAGTTCATGCGGGAACAGCATCGCATGCAGTTCGACGCTCAATACGAGCGCGATAGGATCATAGCAGAGGCTCAAGCTCGGGTACAGGACCACAAGGCCATGGAGAACATCAGATTGGTCAACGCCTGGGATGTCGACCTAGGCGTCCAGATTTCGATCCTGCAGCGGAGCGAACGATCGAAACCGTCCCGACCTGGCACAAGGAACCCGAGTCGTAGGAACAGTGTGGTACTCGCGAGGGGTAAGCAACTGCAGGAACAGTACGAAGCAGAGCTGGTGCAGCAACAACGCGAGGAGGAGGTCCGATGGCATAGGGAGCAGGGAGAGGCGCGACTCAAAGAGGAGGAGGAACGGATCGAAAAGTTGAAACAGCAGACCTTGAGTCGTTCAAGAAGAGTGACGGCCACAGTAGCAGAGTCGGGATATGTGTTCAGGAACGCTTGGGACCCACCAGAGGTGACTCTGCACAAGAAAAAGATCAGCATCCAGGATGAAGAAGTGGCCCTGGCCCTGCCTCTTCGTCAGCATCGACAACGTCTCTCGATCGGGGCCCAGGACACAAGCGGATCGGATGTCACGGCAATAGCCCTGGATGGGTCTAGTGCTGTTGATATGAATGGATCAGAATCGACCCAAGAGAGGCGCATCAATGTGCGCTCGTCAGTGGCCGTCAAGGACCACCAAGTCAGGGCCACGTCGTCGTCATCCTCCCAAAGAATGACACTTTCGGGGTCTCATCGCATCAGCACCACTGTTACTTCCACCACCACCCACAGAAGATTCAAGAACGGGGTCGAGGTCGAGTCCACGACTAACAGCGGCTCCACTACTGGAGAAATCATGTCCGAAACCCCTGCTGGAATGCACTCTCTACCTTTCTTTGCGCACGGCCATCAGTCCATGTCCCAGAGCACAGTTCAGGAACCAAGCCGTCTAGTAATCGGGTTCCACACACACACTGGTCCAGCTCCAGCTTCAAATCCAGAGGGAGGATACCAGAGCGCACTATCCTCGTCTGAGGACACCCAGCCCGACAATGGCAAGGACCCCAAGAACAAAGGTGGTGCTGGTCCATTGTCCGTTGATATCCGAGCCGCTACCAGTACCTGGGACATCATCGAGACACCAACGGGAACCGATTATGAATTCTCTGAAGAGAGATACACCCACGCCGCACTACCCCTCGGATCCCCTTACATGCCTTCGACACCCTTGGTCTCAATGGCCACTCATCGTTACGGTGTAGGAATGGCTTCTGGATCCTTGAGCAGGCCCGGAAGCCAACCGACCACGCCTGGGTCCTCAAACTCATCACAACGGCTACCTAGTCCACACAGGGATACGACGCATTTTAGGGATGTGGGGGAGACTAGTCCTCAATCGCGAGCAACAGCTGCATCGTATGGTTATCAGCAGCAGCAGCAGAGACAGTCGCATCGGGGGAGTCATGCAGAGGACGGGTTTTCGAATTACAAGGTCGAGTGGAATTGGAAGGAGCTCACGGGTAAGAAGCCGAGAGACTGGAGCTCGGAGGAAGGTCAAGAGCGGTATGACCCTTATAGCGCAGTAAGTCCGAGAGGAGGTTTTGTTGTTTTTGTTGTATTTTATTTACAACAACTATGGATAGCTGGTGGGCAGTATTGTTACTAATATGCGGTTTTTTTTTTTTTTTTTTTTTTTTTTTTGCTTTGAAAAAAACAATCCAGCTCTCGAACCATGGATCGTCTGCTGGTTCGGACGACGACGAGCTACAAGATAATACAGATCTGCCGATGGACGACGAAGACTCGGACGAGGAGGAAGTAACTCTCCAGGACCGTGGGGTGGTGCATGTGAGAAAAGAAGTGTCGTTGTCGTCATTGTCGATCGGAGAGGCTTCGGAATTCGCACAAGAGTCGGGTTTCGTGATCCGGGGAGGCAAGATCGCAAGGAGGAGGAGTAGTGCTGCCATGGACCTGCGTGAATTGAACATAGTAAGGAGCTAACGCGTAGGACTTGCTTGCGATTAAGGTTTTAGGCGCCCAAGGCCTCCAAAAAATAAAATATATAAAAAAAGGCTAACCAATGTCAGGATTCACATATAACAAAAAGAATCGAGTGCAGTACAAATTTGTATAATTGTAGATATATTTGTATAGACAATTAGCCTCCTCGCTCAGTCTTTTAAAAAATCGTCGCTGTGCTCGATGTTGAGTTCGATCTTAAAGAAGCGTTTTGTGTAACCTGCCACTGAACTCGCAGGGGTCAAAATCATGTTTTTCTTTTGGCTCTCTCTACTCATTCCCACTCCCTCACCATCATCACTGCATCCATCATCTCCCCCAATGGCACAGCAAACTACAGCACAACCCACAGGCATCACCGAGGAGGTCCATTCCAGTCCCCCTCCTTTTGCTCCTCGCGTTACTCCGCTTGTTTCTGTGGACGGTACAATAGAAGCAGCATCAAAATCAGACTCTGAACTGGACAGTCCATTGAGCCATACGCGGATGCCATCTCAGCGCTATGCTCCTCAGAGTCAGCCAGTAGGTCGGGGGGTTTTCCGACTAGATAAACCAGGTCAACAGCAGCAGCCGCAGGAGCAACTACAACAACAGCGGCAGCAGCGGCATCAGTTACAGCACCAACAATACCAGCAGTACCAATACCAACAGCACCAGCACCAGCGGCCGTCCACTCAGGACCTTCATCAGCACCATATCCAGGCAATTCTGCCTCAAGTAGATAATACTTTGAATCTCTCTCCGGCTCATCGCTTCTCGTCATAACCTGTCGCGCGTACTAAAATGCATTACTTGTGTAGTTCCGCGATAGCCCTGAGGAATCCTTTCATTCAATGCCAGCGAGAACACCCCATGGACCGCGCCAAACGAACACTACCCTCACTAGCACTCAAACACCTCCTCCTTCGGGTCTTCAAGCACAGCCCATCCGGTCTTCCCTGCCTCCAACCGACACTCATCTGCTATCCCCAGCCCCATCCACCATACCTTCCCCTGCTCAACCTTTGGCAACCAACGGCGCGTCATCCAGCTCCACAGTCGAGTCAAGGAATCAATCTCGAAAGACGTCTACGCTCACTCCATTAGACATGAAGAGTCGTTCGAGAGGATACGTCTTTACGATGAAACAGGAGACATATCTTGCCGAGTTGCTTGCAGACCCTTATACTTGGTCTCTTTTGGACGGACCCGGCGATAAAAACAGTCGCTTCAAGCCCAAGACCGAGGTCCGCGGGTGTATCGCTGAGAAGATCAACTTCAAGTTCTCGACGGACGAGAAGCCGTTGAGCCTTGAAGCCTTCCAGATCAAGAACAAGGTCGAGACTATGAAGAGGGTCTGGAAGAGAGCCAACCTGCTCCTCAAGGAGACCGGCAACGGAGACTTGCCAGACAAGACGTTGAAGAACAAGATCCTCCAAACCTGTCATTTTTACTACATTACCGCAGAGGTGTGGTCTGCGTCGTTGTTCATGAACCCAAAGGAACCCTGCCAGCTTACCGGTACCGGCATCCCGACCCGAGAATTTCCCAACACAGGTGATGAGACGAGTGAAGAGGGCGACGAGCATGACGCCGTCGTTGGACAGCTGGGCATCATCGAGGAGCAACAGGGTACCAGCACTACAAAGAAACAGCACAGGTCAATACATCCAAGTAGGACATTGAGGAAGCGTGGAACTGTCGGAACTCACTATGTGAGCATGCGAAAGGGCCTATCCGACGTAATCGAAACAAAGCGCGAGCTCAAACGTCGAAAGCTGGAGATGGAGGAAAAGGTGATCGAGAGCAATTGTCGACTTCAGGACGCGCAAATACGTTTCATGGAGATACAGGGTAAGAAGCTTCAGGCAGAGATACAGAGTACGGTGAAGCCTCAAGCGGAGATACAGAATGAAAATAGAATCGATGCAGAAATGGGGATAAGGTTGCTAGAGTTTGACCTTGAACGCGCCAGGATACAGGTGGAGCTGGTGAGAGCACAAGCTGAACTTCTTCGACAAGAAACAGAACTGGAGCACGTCAAAAGGAAAAGTCCATAGCTACACAAAAGCCCCACATAAAAAAAAAAATCTCTTTTTAGTCAGTGATAGGATCTCCGTAAAATAATAAAACCATCTTTTTAGTATCGCTGTAATTGTAAAGCTGAGGCCATGATTATGAGTCGTTTTTGCTCAATACCTGTTCGCGCTAGTTGTCTGTGCTGAGCAGAGGGGGGTCAAGTCTTCATCTTCATCACCATCATTGTCATCGATATCGCTATTTACTTTTCTGCATCTCCGTTCCTTGTTTTGTTGTGTTTCACGCGACTTTCATATTGCAATCCACCCATTCTCGCTCGCTCCTGCTCCTTCCAAAATGGGGTCTTCTTCTATCCCACAGGAGCATGCAGGGCATAGTGATGAAATAGTGGAGCTGAAGATTGTTTTATTTCAGCGCACTTCTAATCACGACGGCGGCATATCACTTTGATTGTTACTTCAGGCAACCTTTCGTGTTTCGGCCTTCGTGTCAAGCCCATATTCGAACTCTGTCACTATCGGAGTTTTTCTCTGACGCTTCACTCCTTTATGGGGCATGGATTGATACTACCGGCCGTTAGAAACCGTTTTCTATTCCATGGAGCTTTTCAATATTCAAGCTATGCGTCAGAGTTTTACGCTGCTCAGCTAGCTATTAGGGATGTCGCACCATTGAACAATCATATTCGTCTCCGTTGCGATCATCAGAGCGTGTACCTTGCCTTGATCAACCGCTGTATAGCACACCCTGTTAGGCACTCACATATCAATTAGCTCCTTACTAGCCTGTTATCTTTCATTGATGATAACCACATTCAGCTTTCCGTCTCACATACTCCGTCGGACCTTAATCCTGCAGATCCTATATCACACCACCACCAAATGATACTGAACGCTTGCATGCTGCTATCCTAGCATGTATTCTGCTCTACAAATAAAGATATATAACCATGAGCATTAGAGATAATCACCCTATACTCAACACAACTTGCTACCTAGCCATACTGTGTGCTGGGCATCAAACTGTATCAAATGCCATGCCACCCTTGCCTCGATCAATTGATCCTCTTCTGCATGGAGCTCGGGTAGAGGTTTCGACACCTTGCGCTTTTTTTCCTTCTTCTCATTTTCGCGATAGCGCCGTCAATCTTATCTCTGTTATCCAACTGTGGGATCCGGCAGCGAGAGGCAACTGAAGAACTTGAAATCCGCTGCAGGAACGAGGTAACGATTGTAGAGTCCAGCCTGAGGTCTGAAGGGATCAAAAGTGTCGAAAACGCTATTGTTGTTACATTCATCGTAGAATCCATCCCACAGTGTACGCGCAATAAGGCTCTTTTAGGTAGTTGACCCGTAATATTGCCAGGACAAACTCCGGAGAGACGTGAGCATATGGGAAAGACAGGTGGTTCTCCTCAGGTGTGGGCACCACCTAGACGCGCTTTCTTTGACAGCTTGAGAAGGAAAATACTGATGGCAAGCAGTCATCGAATGTAGACCACTTTTTCAAATTCAGAAACTGGACGAGCAAAGGCGGGGCACCAAGTTCGACGACATCGATTCCAAAAGCGTGGAGAAACATCACGTCCACTACATTGGAAGTCATCAAAGAATCGACCAGGGATCAAAGTCAAACCCCATTTGTCGATACTGACCAGGGCAGGGCAACATCAAAGGGCAGACAAGTCTTTCGTCACTTATATTTGTCTAGACTACTAGACTATTGTCGCGTACAGTATCGCCCTCAGCATGGAAGAATGAAAAATCCTTTCTCTTATATTCAGTTACATGGTCCAGTCAACTGACGCTTAATCCACTGCAAATCCTTGTTGTGTAATCTCGTCGGTTTTTTGTCTCCATGCCAAGCAAGACCCGTCAAAGGCTCCAAGTTCGGCCAGGATTTGACCATCCACTCCAACTCCTCCCGAGTGACATTGTGCCGCCACAACCGTTCAAGATCTACGCGTCGGAGCCTTCGGAGTAAGTAGAGATGGCCCAGTCCATGTCCAAACGTCCAATTTAACGAGACCTCGATCCTATAAGCGCCCGAATGCCTTTTATAACCCACAGGCTTGTGATTGCACCCGACTGACAGGTCCTCCAAGACCTTGAACTGTCCTAGTCGTTGAAAGACCCTCTCGGCAGTCTGCAACGAATCCTCTTCCGACACCATTGTAGAACCAACCTTAAGGAAGATGGAGAGCACAGTCAGTGTTTCAGCGCATGGCCACGTCGTGTTCAGCAGCTGAGAGTCCGATGGTAGGTTGGCTTCCGTGGGTCGACCTCGAACGAAATTGCGCCAACATACTTTAGTCCCTCCACCAGAGTATTTGCTGTTGGCCACCATGGTTTTCAGTCGTGGACAGGTCTTCAACATAACCACAACTTGGCGTCCGGTAATGGTTTCCGTAAATCCTCGAGCGAGGAAGCCTTCCAAAGTCGGGAGATACAATGCCCATGCGGATTGAAAACTCAATGAAAATTTCACTTCCTCAGGCATTCTAAATGACCGTACCCTTGCTACTTTTGATGGCGAAAAGTCTCGAGCTTGGACGCGATCGATCGCCATTGACTCGGTCGATAGCTGCTTCTGTTGCTGTTGCTGTTGCTGTGTTTGTCGGTTATGTTGTCCTACAGGCGCAAGCTGTTAAAGGAGTCGCGTGTATGCCTCAATGGAATAGAGCTGCATTCGACTCATATCCAGGTGGTGAAGATCTTGAAGCCGCAAAAGCTGGTTCAAAAACGCATCCCAATCGCCCTCTTTAATATCGGTCATGGTTGGGAGACCGAGTGAGGTTAGGTTGGGTGAGTGTCGTAACATCTCTAAAAGGACCCAGGGAATACCAGAAGGGAACCATCCAAAGAGCTTCAACGTCCTCAAACGCGTCCTGTCCGACATTGTGGCCATCAACCGTCCAAGCACGTAGGGTGGACGGTCATCTCTTTTTGGGCCTTGACGCAAGCGTTGAGGCGGCCCGGCGGTGTCATCAGAACCGTCAAAGCCGGCTCCTTTACAGTATGATCGTACCCATGCCTCATAAAGATCATAGTTGCACCCAAATGGGTGTCCTTTGTATTGTCGATCGTTCCCCCAACCATCATCCGAGCCATCTCCATACCACGAATGGCCTCCGTCCTCCGAGTAGTTTTCATCCTCTGAGTAGTTTTCATCCTCTGAGTAGTCTCCATCCTCCGAGTGGTCTCCGTCCTCTGAATCGTCTCTGTCCTCCGAAGCATCTTCTCGCTCGTATTCATAGTCGGCTTCCAAGGAAAGGTCCTCGACTTGATCTGGTAGATGAATAAACACCTCCACGACAAAGTGCAACGGCATCGACCCAATCTTTAAAGCGCGTAGTCTGTCCAGCGTGGGCAAGAGGTTGAGAAATCGAAACAAAAATCCATGAAAGCATTCATCCCTCCTCTCCCCGTCAAGATCCTTCAACTCGAGGCGTTGCAAGCTATGATGGTTTCTCTGGGCGAGTAGCACGACCATGAATCTTGAATCGTAGTCGAGCATGTTGGTTATGAATCCCATGAAGCAATTTTGAAGAGCGTGAGTGTCTTCGTGGGGTCTGTTCTTGATCTCGTCATAGTCTCGCCAGAGATGATGAAGACCAAAAGACCCATTCAAGGATCCTGTACACAGCTTTTGGTGCGAGAGCGTCTGAGGTTGGTGACAACCTGCTTCGTCCCGTAAAAGGAGGTAGTAGAGCCGTACACAGAACTCATGCAAGGTGACCTCTCGAGCAAAACGGGCACCCTATCGGAGCAGAGCGGCCGTGACCTCTGGACTGGGATTGCTAGGGAAACATGTAAAATCGTCTTGTCCCTGTCTTCGGGCGGTCGTATCGAGGATTTGCCAGCGGTAAGGTAAAAACGCCTTGTGGAAGACCTTGGAGACTTGGACCGCGCAGACGAGATGTTGAGGATGGAGATGGACACTAATGAGGTGGATGATTTCTGGAATGCAAGTGACTCGAAGGACTGGCGATTCGTCCATGATGCGAGGTGAGTGGAGATGGGAATAAATGAGAAGTGTGGAGGAATGTCAAGTGTGAAAGAGACGATTCAGATGATATGTCAACGGTGAATGGCATGTGAATTAGATGGAGAGATGAGAGACGACGAGTCAGTAGAAGAGAGCGAAACCGCCTCGCCCACCTGCGCCCGCAGATATTCTTTCTTTCTCTCCTGAACGCTCTCATCACCGTGTCAGTGGAGAACAAAGTCTATTTAAGGTTTTAGGAGTTTAGAGTGTGGATATGCTGGCTGTGCTGGACGTGCACAGCCCACTTTTAATGAAGTACATATTGGACTCTGGTGAAATATGCGACATTGTGTGCGCCTGCACAGCACACGATATTCGTTCCATGTTACCCTCGTGTCAGCTCCAGTGAGATGGGTGGTGCATCTGGACAATATGTATGCATCGCAGAGTATCTCTCTTATAGACAACAAATGATTGTAACCCGCCAACGGCGCTCTGACTTGACCGCGTCCTCCGGAAACAGCCATACTCGCCAATTCAGAGAGGTCGGTCTTCTCAGCTAAAGCGTCATTATCTTTGCACAAAGGTATCGGTTTATTATGCTATCTAGGACTGGGAAGAGCCAGGGCTACCCACGCTTGACCCATGCAATAGCCCAGAGAGCACCAATCCTTTGGCTAGCGAGCTCCAAGGCCTATTCAGAGATGCTTCAACACCTATTCTTCCTTTGCATCTGTGCTCTCCCGCAGCTTATCCAATTTCTCTAGGATGCCGCTGCAACATTTCACCGCGCGTTTGAGCGCGTTGGTGCCTCCTGTTTCGCAGAACTCCCGCCCTGCCTCTGTCTTTGCCCAAGACTCGGCTTCATCGACCGCTTTGCGGGCCCATTTCTCTGCATCGGAGCCGACCTTGCTGACAACGAACCCGTTGAAGTATGCGTCAGCCAGCAGATGATATGCTGGGAGAAACCCATCCGCAGATGCCTTCATAGACCACTCGACAGCCATCGCATGGGTCCGTTCGTCGTCCTCATCGAACTCGACGCCATCATCATCCTGACCCTCCTGACATGCCCTCTGATAGCACTCGATGGCCATCAGCAAATCTTTCTTCATTCCCAGTCCGTTGGCGTACATGTTGCCAAGGGGGTACAGGGCCTGGATATGTCCGCCTTCGTCTGCCTTGAGGAACCATTTCTTCGCCCTACCGTAGTCCTGGTCTATCCCGAGGCCATTGTAGTAAATGATGCCGACGCTGTATATGGCATCCGTGTCTTCTTCGTCGGCTGCCAAGAGGTACCACTCCATAGCTTCGCCATAGTCTTGTTTGACGCCAATGCCATGATGGTGCATTCTGCCGATGCTAAACTTGGCACCCGCCGCACCACCACCACTTGCCTTTGCGTACCACTCCATAGCCTTGATGTAGTCCTGTTTCACACCGATGCCTTGTTCGTACATGAGACCGACTTTGTTCATGGCTGCTGCCACACCACTGTTGCTTGCCTTGACGTACCACTCCATAGCCTCAGTATAATCCTGCTCCGCGCCGAGGCCATGATAATACAGGTTACCGACGTGAAATTTGGCCATCGGCACTCCACCATTGCCAGCCTTAAGGAACCACTTCATAGCTTCAGCACAATCTTGCTCAATACCGAGGCCATGGTAATACATGAGGCCAACATTGTACTTTGCCTCTATATTTCCGCCCTCGCTTGCCTTGAGATACCACTCCATGGCTTTGCCAAAGTCCTGCTTGACACCGAGGCCATTGAAATACATGAGGCCGACCTTGTTCCTGGCAATCGCCGACCCATCATCGCTTGCCTTGACGTACCACTCCATAGCCTTAGTATAGTCCTGCTCAACGCCGCGGCCACGGGAATACATGAGGCCGATGTTGCACCCGGCTTCTGGGTCTCCAGCAGTGCTCGCCTCGCGATACCACTCCATAGCCTTATCATAGTCCTGCTGCACGCCATGGCCGTGGAAGTACATATAACCGATATTGTTCGTAGCTCTCGCCAACTTGCCTTTCCTTGCTTTAAGATACCATTCCATAGCCTTGGCGTAGTCCTGTTTCGCCCCAAGGCCACGGTGGTACATACGTCCAATGTTGTACCTGGCGTCTATATCCCCTCCTTCACTTGCTTTGAGAAACCACTCCATAGCCTTGGTGTAGTTTTGCTCCACCCCGAGACCATTGCGGTACATGTGACCGATGGTGCCGTTGGCTGCTAGTACCCCACCGTCGCTTGCTTTGAGGTACCACTCCATTGCTTTAGAGTAGTCCTGTTGGACGCCGACCCCATGATGATACATACGACCGATATCATACTTGACATCTGCCGATCCACTGCCGCTGGCTTTGAGGTACCATTCCATGGCCTTGCTATAGTCCGGTTCCACACCATGGCCATAGTAGTACAAATGGCCGAGATTGACCTGGGCTGGTGCATAGTTCTTCTCATTGGCCTTTAGAAAGAAGTCTCTGGCGGTGGCGTAGTTTTGAGTCACATTTTTGCCGCTTAAATATACGAATCCTACACTGTAGCATGCCTCTGCTTCGCCTCGCCTCACACCTCTCATCAGATACCGCAAATTCTTGTCCTTGTCCACGTCCTCTTGCGGGATTTTAAGATCACCGACGGCGTTATCCTGGGGTGTGTCAGGCACATCCGGAAGCACATCCTTGGCTGCTGGTCTCTCCTCCGGGTCTTGCTTCCAGCAATCACGGATGCAGTCCGCATATTCCTTGAGCGTTCCGTCTGGAATGACCTCTGTGCAGCCCTTCGTAATGCAAACGATCATGGTGTCGGGCATGTGTCCTTTGTACGGCTTTGTGCATTTAGCAGCCATCTCCCACATGACCATCCCTAGAGCGTAGACATCGGACTTGGACGAGTACTGGGGCGGGTCCTGGAACAACTCGGGTGCCATCCATGCGAGTGTGCCGCCCCCACCGCCCTCACCGCCCTCACCGCCCTGGCCGATCATCCGTGCCTTTCCAAAGTCGCATATCTTGGCATCTCCGTACTGGTCGAGGAGGATATTGGCGCTCTTGATGTCGCAGTGGATGATCTCCAAGCTGTGGAGATACGCCAGACCAAGTGAGACTTGCTTCGCGATCCGATTTTTGGCTTCCCACCCCAAGCCGCTTGAGATGGCGTGTGACAGACTGCCGCCTTCGAGGTACTCCATGACGAGCATGTCTCCCTTCGCATGGTAGAACTGGACAATGTGTCGGTTGAAAACCTGCTTGAAGATGGCCACCTCACGCCTGCAGTCCTCATGCTCGGGGTCCAGGAACCTCTTGACCACCATATCCTGTATCCCATACTTGGCCCTGAATGTCTCTGCCTGTCCTCCATGGCCTATCTTCTCTCCCAATATGATGTCCTCCATCTTGTGGAGAGAGATTTGGTGGTCTGACAAGGGAGATGGTATATAATGAGTTAGGATTGGGGAACGTAGGTGGGTAGACAAGGGGTGTTGGACAGATGTTAAGCCAAGGAGTTCCCTGCTCAGCGATATCTCCAGCAAGTCATCAAATTACCAAACTTACGTTGTCGGCAAGAGTTATTTACTGTGGGTAATGCAGATGAAAGTGCTTAGGGAGGTGGTGTGCAAAGTGCCAAAAAAAGATGGGGAAAAAGAAAAAAGAGAGAGTAACAGATGAAGGGAAAAGACGGAACTCGTGCCTATTCCTGAAACCCAAACCCATCCCTGGAAAACTTCATCTCTGACTTCGCCCTCGGCAATGAGAAAAAAAAAAATCATTTGAAAATAGGCTCATCTCAATTTTAATGTTGTGCTTGGATATGCTGTGCAATACCATGAGGGTATTTTTATAAAGATACGCCGTAGGCCCCCAGTGCAGTTTGCGCCTCCGCAGAACCCTGCTCGGCAGCTTTATGAAGCAGCCTAAGGCCCTTTGACGCGTTTCTTCTGAGAACGCCCTTTCCGCGGATATACATTGCACCCAACCGGCACTGCGCAGCCGGGTTCCCTTGATCAGCGGCCTTCTCAAACCATCCCGCGGCCACAGAGTCGTTCTTAGTAACGCCTTGACCTCGATGATAGAGAGTACCCATGTTGCATTGTGCAGGTGCATATCCCTTTTCTGTAGCCTTTGACAACCATTCTATAGCCTTGGCATAATTTTCTTCCTCCATATATAATGATCCAAGTATCGTTTGTGCTTCCGCATCTCCTAGTTCTGCCGCCATGAGGTAAAATCTCCTAGCGCTTTCATGGTCCTGGCACCCACCAAGTCCCGTTTCCAACATAAAGCCTAGGTCTACCAAAGCAGCGGCATGCGATTGACTAGCTGCTGCCATAATAAGCTCAGAGCCCTGCTTGGAATCACCCTTTCCACCAAAAAGATACAAAAAGCCAAGGTCCGACTGAGCTGGGGCGTATTCTTGTTTAGCTGCCTTCTGGAACCATCCTATGGCTTTGGCCATGTCCCGCAGCACGCCGTCCCCATTGCTGTACATCGTGGCCAGCTGGTGCTGGGCTTTCGCGAGCCCCATATTCGCTGCCCTCCGGAATCGCTCTGCGGCCTCGGCTCGATTGACATCGACTCCGTCTCCGTCGTAGAACTTTATCCCCAGATCGTATTCGTCGTTCGCCGATAGGCTATGTGCTGTCTCAGCCGCACTATCTCCACCAGCGTCGCTGCGAACTGTGGCCACAACCTGCAACCCATCCACGATGTCGCTTGCGGTCGGCCTCTTTTCTGGATCGTTGTCGAGACACCTTTTCATGAGCGTTGTGAAGTCCGAAGGTGCATCTTTCTCCACCATTTTTCCCATAATGATGCCGAGTGCAAAGATATCGGACTTGGTCGAGTATTTGGGGTTGGTATTAATCAACTCTGGTGCAATATACCCTGGGGTCCCTTTTGCTTTGAATGAAGACACCTGAGTAGCCGAGGCCATGACATTGGCCAGACCAAAGTCGCACAGCTTGACCTGCCAGTGCTTCGTCAGCAAGATGTTCTCCTCCTTGATGTCTCTGTGCACGATACCCTTGCTGTGAAGGTACGCCAGACCTTGGGCAACTTCGGCCACGATTCTCCGCTTGCTTTCCCAGTCCAGCTTTGGCAAGGCCTCCGTGAGGTTGCCGCCTTCAGCATAGTCCGTGATGATGTACACATAGTTGTTATCCCGCTCCACGCCATAGCACTGGATGATATGCCTGTGTGTGAGCTGAGATACAATATCTGTCTCTCTCTTGATGTCGGCGGCATCGCCAGCTGCGACCCGCATCCTCTTCACGGCCATCTTGGTCCCATGCCTGTTGCACCAGTAGACCTCGCCAAATGCCCCATTCCCGATGTGGGTCTCGGGTGTAGGAAGCGGGATCTCGCCTAGTCTGCCCCACGACTCGGGAGGGTGGGTTGCTGGAGTCTCGGGCATTTCTGCTTAGCCCGGTCTAGTCGTCCTAAAAGTGGATGTAAATGTGCCAGTTAGCAGGCCACTCGAGAGTATTCATGTGCGGTCCATGGGATAAATCCTTAGAAGATAAGGAACGGGTCTGGCAGCAGAATAGAGAGCACCTACTGATGTAGTTTGTTCAGGAGCAGCAAGTTGGGCAGGGGTGCTGAAGGTGGCACGAGCAGGGTATGGAAACCTAGTGACATCATAGATAGACACATAGCTTGCGTTAGCGGACGCGCAGTGCCAGCGGTGGGTCACAGAGCAGATGTTTTTACCTTGTCCAGCGACTTACTTTGTGGAAAAGAAGCGTGGGTGAATAAGAATGCTCGACCAAAAGTGTGCAGTACGAGAGCGCTATGTGTGTGTGAATGCGCTTTTGGGTGAAAGTACAGAGTGGGTATGTGTTCGGGAGGAATTGGTGGGGTGCAAGAGAACTTGGGAAGGGGGAGGGGGAAACAAGAAAGAAAGATCCATTTCGTGCAGCCCTTTGTCTATTATCAAACCCGAGCAATAGTGGGAAAGATGATGGCGAAGCCGTCTTCTTTTTACATGAGCAGCAGATGCATGAATGTCGCATGTTTTGTCTAGCCAAAGGGAAGATTACATTCTATTGTGTAAAATTGTTAACCGATGGTGGGCAGGGACTACATGATCTTGCGTTGCTGTCTGCCTTGAGTCGGAGTCCCCTCCAGTCTTTGCTCACGTTGGATCTTCCATGGTGTCGTGGGGCCGGTGAAAAGCGTACGCCGAGATGTCCTGTGCAGACAATAAGAGCAAATGGCCGAAAATACGGCTCTGTTCACCACTGCCTATAAAGAGTTCATGCATCCTTTTCGTCCTTTCATGTTGAGCGTAAGGCAGCTGAATTTGGAGTGATTTTCACCGGTGAACGGTTAACCGCGGTGAACAATTTTTTTGAGATCTTTTCACCGGTGAAGAAATATTCACCGGATTTCACTACAGTTCACCGAACTCTAACAGCAATGCTCCTTGCTCATCCTTCCTCGCCGCTTCAGCATCATTCTGACTTTGAGACGTTCAGCCATAATCTAACGGATGATAGCTGCGGGCCATTGCCTGCTCAGGCAGGCCCAAACACCAGTTATCCGAATGAACGGTTCCTCTCGTACTAAATTCAATCACCTAACCTGTCCCACGGCGGTCTAAACCCAGCCCACGCTCCCTATTTGTGAGTGCACAATCCAACGCTTACTGAATCCTGCTTCAGTATGGCGAGTGCGTTGTTGGCTGTAGATCTGGTGTTGGTCGCAGCGGTGGTGCTGGTGATATTGGCTAAGGTCGGTGAAGGGAGTTGGGACGATACTCCGCGAAGGGATTGTTTAGAATCGAAAGAGTTATGTTTCTCTTACGCGTATTACTTGAGACAGCGGGCTGCCATGGTCAACATTTACGGGCGCACAATACCCCATACCCTGGCTTTAATCTCTTCAATGTTCACCGCTTTCGCTCCCGCTCTTTGGTTTTTCAAACCCATTGAGTGCTTCAATTTGTGATCTTGACTACCGCTTTTAATTTGTGAACTTGTCATGGACAAAGACTGCTCTGTATATTGTCTCCAAAAAGCGCAATCCATGCGCTAAAAGATTGGCAATGCCGAGTCGACCGGCTCTGCTGACTGTACAGTGAGAGAATCGGCCGTGGCAGCGATATCCATCATACTGTGATTTGACGGCACCTTGAGTTTATGCGCCACGGATACCATGGTAATTAGCTTTTTGCTTGCCTCGCGGAAGCCCAAAGGTGGAATCGGCTTGCCCACAGTACCGCGTTGCTCTAATAGCCGCATATTTATCCTGCTTAAGCCTTGGACGTCTTGGATAGAGGTATTTGATACGGTAAGTCTGTCATGCATCGAACTCCAATGCAGGCCTACCTGACAGCGACCCTCCTCTTCAATGACCTGCCATATGCGGACAGACTTATCCCAACAGCCGGTTGCGAAATAGGTGCCGTTTGGAGTAGGGCTCCAGGCTATGCTTGTGATGTATCCATGGAAATCAACAACTGCCAAACATTGACCCGAATTTACATCCCACAGCCGCACTGTGTTGTCGCCACTGCCCGAGGCGATCTGCTGGCCGCTGGGCGAATACACCACTCTGATTATATAGCGGGTATGGCTGCTTAAGATGGGACCGGGTGCACCGGTTTGCGCATCCCACAGTCGCACCGTGTTGTCGTAACTGCCTGTGGCGATCTGCTGGCCGCTGGGTGAATACACCACGCTCCAAACATTGTCGGTATGGCCGCTTAAGATGGGACCGGGTGCACCGGTTTGCACGTCCCACAGTCGCACTGTCTCGTCCCGACTTCCCGAGGCGAGCTGCTGGCCGCTGGGCGAATACACCACGCTGTTTACATAGTGGGTATGGCCGTTTAAGATGGGACCGGGTGCACCGGTTTGCACGTCCCACAGTCGAACCGTGTTGTCGTGACTTCCCGAGGCGACTTGCTGGCCACTGGGTGAATACGCCGCGCTCCAAACATTGTCGGTATGGCCACTTAAGATGGGACCGGGTGCACCGGTTTGTGCATCCCACAGTCGCACCGTCCTGTCGTCACTGCACGAGGCGATTTGCTGGCCATTGGGCGAATATACCACGCTCATGACCTGGCTTGTATGGCCGCTTAAGATGGGACCTGGCGCACTGGTTTGCGCGTCCCACAGTCGAACCGTGTTGTCGTGACTTCCCGAGGCGATCTGCTGGCCACTGGGCGAATACACCACGCTAGTGACAAAGGAGGTATGACCGCTTAAGATGGGACCAGGTGCGCCGGTTTGCGCATCCCACAGTCGCACCGTCTCGTCCCGACTTCCCGAGGCGATTTGCTGGCCATTGGGCGAATACACCACGCTCATAACAATGGATATATGGCCGCTTAAAATGGGACCGGGTGCACCGGTTTGCGCATCCCACAGTCGTACCATATAATCCCGACTTCCCGAGGCGATCTGCTGGCCGCTGGGCGAATACACCACGCTAGTAACAAAGGAGGTATGGCCGCTTAAAATGGGACCAGGTGCACCGGTCTGCATGTCCCACAGTCGCACCGTCCTATCCCGACTTCCCGAGGCGAGCTGCTGGCCGCTGGGCGAATACACCACGCTGTTTACATAGTGGGTATGGCCGCTTAAGATGGGACCAGGTGCACCGGTTTGCACGTCCCACAGTCGAACCGTGTTGTCGTGACTTCCCGAGGCGATCTGCTGGCCGCTCGGCGAATACACCACACTCGTAACAAAGTGGGTATGACCGCTTAAGATGGGACCAGGTGCACCGGTTTGCGCATCCCACAGTCGCACCGTGCAATCCATACTGCCCGAGGCGATCTGCTGACCACTGGGCGAATACACCACACTCGTAACATAAAAGTTATGGCCGCTTAAGATGGGACCGGGTGCACCGGTTCGCGCATCCCACAGTCGCACCGTGCAATCCCAACCTCCCGAAGCGATCTGCTGGCCGCTGGGCGAATACGCCACGCCCATAACGCAGTCAGTATGACCGCTTAAGATGGGACCGGGTGCACCGGTTTGCGCATCCCACAGTCGCACCGTCCTGTCGCCACTGCACGAGACGATCTGCTGGCCGCTGGGCGAATACATCACGCTCTCAACTGAGTCGGTATGACCAAGCAAGGTGTGGGCTTTTGCCCAAGTCGAAGTGTCATACACGCTGATCGCCCCGCCTCTGAGACCTACAGCACAGAACTTCCCATCTGGCGAATAAGCGCAAGAATTCACCTCACTATCTTCTAAGAGGTACGGCCATTCGCCAAATTGCACGCCCGACATCTGTGCGTTGCTCAAATTGGCCTGTCGCAGCCAAATATTCCGAAGATTGACTTTTCTCAAATCTGCCCCCTGCAGCTGAGCAGAATCGAATTGGCCCCCGCTCAGGTCCGCTCCTGGAATCCGGATGCCTTTCAGATCTGCGCCGTTAAACAGGATCCCGGCTCTGACCAATATCGTGATCGCATTGGCAGCCGCCTTGCGTGCCTCTTTGTTGATTTTGGAGTATTCGATCGTTGCAAGCAGCTGCTGCTTGAAGAGAGGTTCCTGTTGGACACGCTCTGCCAAGAATTGCAGGATCGACGGTTCGCCCACAAAGCTTCTCCGTGCCAGGGGCGAATCGAGCACGGCCTGTGCAGTGGATGCCACGGGTTCCTCTACAGTAGCCTGGTCTTCGAAGCTCATGACGGAATGGACGCTCCCCCGACGTGGCAGGGCTTGAGGTAAGGCCGCGCGACTCGCGTTCTCTCCATCTCGCGGCTCAAACACCGCACGGGCCAAGCAGTATTCCAACAGCGATTTATGGATAAACCGGTACTGATTGCCACTGCGCGTTAGAGGACATGCCTCACGCAAGAGCTGCTGCTTCTCGTTCTCCCGGCTAAAGAAGCTTTCTTTCCATGTCCCTTGATCACGAAAGGGCGAGTACTCGACCACCGGATTGCCCGCTTGCTCTCTGTACATCGCTGCCGCTAACGCTTTCAGAAAGGCAACTCCGTTCTGCGCAAAACCATCATCGGACAAGTTCTCGAACACCTTCTTCTCTTGATAGCTCAAGTCCTTCTTCTCAACGAGCCGCTTCTTGCCTCGTTCCAACCATTGCTCCACAAACTGGTCATACAACGCGACTCTAGTGACCCGGACAGCCGAGAGGTCTTGTCCTAGGTCCACTATGCGCGGCAGTACCTCCAGGGACAGCGTCAACATAAAGGGGTTCTTGACCAGGTCTTGCAAGCTGGGAATCAGATTAAGAGCATTCAAGTAGTCCGTCACCTGCCAGAGCGGCCTCGTCGCGGACACATATTTCCTTATGTATTCTTGAATTTGATCCATAGAGAATGGCGCAATGACCGCCTCTTGAAATGCTGGCTCTGCTTGATGGTTATGATCTGCTGGCTGGAATCGATCCCGATAATCAAGGCCAAGGTACTCGCTGCGGCAGCTAATGACCATCTGAGCGCTCCATCCTCCCACCTGGTTCAGTCTGTTGCTCCTGTACAGGTTGTGTGTCTGCTGGCTCTCATCATACCCGTCACAAATCAAGATGAATTTGCGGTGGTCTTTCAGCTCTCGGATCTGGGGCTCGGTAAACTCTGCTTTCCGTAGATGTTTGGCGATCAGATCCTGTTCTGGCTTGTCAATTGCAGGCAAGCTGATAAAGAGCGGAATTCTGCCGTCCTTTTTCTTATAGGTATCCCACAAGTCGCACTCGAGCTGCCGGTTAAAGGTCGACTTGCCCCCACCCGAATCGCCCAGCAGGAGCATCACCTTATGGTCGCTTCTCAGGAAGCCTTCAACTTCTTTTGTCAAGTCGAACAGCTTGTCATCGGACGCTTGCAGGTTAGCCTTGGCTTGAGGGGGGATGTACACGGCTTCGCCTCGTTCCTTCAATCGTTGCTTTCTTAGTCGTCTCAGGTCGGCTTCAACATCGGGCTTGTTCTGAACAAGATCAAGCAATGATCGAGACGCGACGGTTGGCAAGGCGGCCTGCAGCGGGTGTAAGCTTCGATTTCCCTTTCGGCATTTCTGATAAAGGATCCTTCTCGTCTCATCGCCAATGGATTCCAACTCCTGCAACAAAGATTCGACACCTACACCATGTATCGCGTAGATCACAATAGAATACAGTACAGCTATTAGTACCTGCTAGGCCGTGAACTCCATACTTCATAACAAGCCGACAGCCTCTCGCGTATCCGTTCATCATACATACATGGCATAGCTGAGCCAAATGTCGAAGCCAACTGCATAAGAATGTGAAGGATCCATTGCTTGACGAGGGCTTGCTGGCCCCACTCCACATCGTTTCGGTACATCTCGCCCAGAAACGCAACAGCGCCTTGGCGAGACTCGATATCCCACAGTGGGCTGGCAGCAAGGTCCCCCAGCCGCCGGCATACTCCTAGTTGAAAGGCTAGGTCACGCCGGCAAGGCGCTTCACAGACCAGGGTTTTGAACTTGGCAAGTTGGCCGTCCCGAAGCAGCGTGTCTGTCCCGCGCAGTGCTGTATACCAGGCGCGTTTCCGGTTGAAGCTGAGACCGACTTTGAGAGATTCCAAAAGTCCTTGTCCACTCTCGACCAGTGCGCTCACACCTTCATAACCGATTTTCGCTGTCTGGATCACCTCTCCCAGTCCCTCCTGAAGATGTCCGAGTCCTGTGATGAAGCCGTTGACGTCCAGACCTTTCACAGCGCTAACTAGCCCCGAGACGCCCTTCAAAACAATTCCTGTGCGCCGCACCGTTGCTTGCCAGGGTGACTCGTTGTCTGGGACGCACTGCAGCGCTTGGAAGGCGTAGGCAGCCTGATACGCCAAGTAAGGGTCACTGCTGCCTTGCAGCTCATTCAAATAGGCAGAGAGTGGCTCGTGCAGCTCTACACGCTTTAAATCTGAGACCTTGGTGTCGGCCATAGCATCCAGGACATTGGACACCGAGAGTGTCAAATGGTAAATATGGGCCGGAGACTGATTATGAGTGTCTTGTAGGCGGATGTTGAGGATACGTAAGATCGCAACTAGGTCATCAGTATCGAGGTAACCCGGGGAAGCGCCTTGAATCAGTTGCGCCAGCCCTTCGAGGGACTGCACATCCAGTAGGCTGGACTGTTCGATACCATTGACAAAGAGCATGAGTAAGCGTTGAAAATCATCCTTCTCGAGAACCGAGCCCAGGCATACGACTTCTGCAACGGCCTTGGCATCCTTGAGCTCATCGCGAGTGAATGCCCGGACCACATCTGTCGCCAGCGTCCTGAGTCTCTCCTTCTCCTCTGCATTCTTTTCTGTGGATTTCACCCAATTTCCTGCGGCTGGTTCAAAGACCTCTTCGGGTGACGGCATCACTTGCAGAAGGCCAAGACAGTAGGCGAGCTGGGAAGTATCGCTGAGTCGCTCATCTGCGTCTGGTAACGCGATCTTGACGGTGGGCTGACGCATGTCATCGGGAAAGATATCCTCAGGAACCCGTGCCATGTCGCGGCAGGCGCTATCGGTGGCAGAGGAAATTACAGGACCTGGGTCTTTTGTAGGACGCACATGACTGTTGAAGTCAGAGGACAGTCAACACATTGAGAGATGCATTAGGTACGACATACGATATAACCGGCTAATGCGAACAAGTAGAGAGCAGGTACTTGTCACTTACCCCCACTTTTCTGCCCTCTTGTAGCTGACCTGTGCCATTTCGCTATATCCTAAGCTCTCCAATAGGTTGGCGTGCTCGAGACAGGCGCCGGCGAATCCATCGCACAGGGTTTGATCCTCGACGGATAGAGGAGCTGTAAGAGTCCTTTTCACAGCTCTTTTCATCCGAGATAACGCGGCCTCCGCATCTTCGCACAACACTAAAGCAATTTCCTGATCCTTGGCTTTGCGCGCATTCTCCACGTAAACCTTGGTAAGCTCCAACTCCTTTTGTGGCGAGAGAGCCTTTCGTGGCGGCGAAAAAGTTCTGTCAAACATGTCGCTTCTCTGAGGGAGTTTCTCCTATTGTCATAGAGCAGATGACGGCGATATTAGTGACCTTGTGGTCGATTAATATACCTGTGCGAGTAGCCAGTATACGTACTTATACTTGACAAACACTTCAATAACGCAATGGAGGACCAATAAGTCGCAATGGGTTGGTATACTACGGACGCAGTGGGAGCAGAATGAGCTATGGTAAAAATAAACATTAATATCCATAGCAGCTGCATGAACAATATCATATGTGGCTGTTCTACCAAGTTTTGGCGCCCCACCTCGGAAGCGTCTATTCGACTCTTGTTTCCTTTGATTAGATGCAGAGGTAGTCCTGACGATTTGTCCTCTTCGCGCCTTCTAGCAGCCTAGCAGCGGTACCAACTGCCCATCGTGAAGCATGCAGGATTAATGACCTTAAAACATACCTGTAGGCTACTATTGAGTGACAAGAAACAGTGCCTCACCTCAACAGGAGTCTGTTTCTCGAGTCCTTTCACCAGCCGAGGAGGTGGTCTGTCCCTGTGCAATGTTCTCTACTCCAATTCTTTGTTCAAGACGGTCTGCACACGAATAAGGTAGTCGAATGGAATGATATTCGCTTCTCTCGTCACTTCTAGCAGAGATTCCTGTGACCACGAGAGAAGGGATTACTATCTATTGCACATGCATTAGCACTTTTGACTCGACTGTGGTTGTTCAGGCACACTCAAGGGTGGGGCTTTGGCAGATAAACTCTGTCTTTGTTACCGATGAGTCGCCACTGGACTATGCTTATTGAGATGGAACAGAGACGTACTTGAGACAGACGGAAGAGCGAGAAAAGATGAGAGAGATATGAGACAGTTTTTGATGGACTGAAGGAAGGTGAATGTGGGAAGAAGGGAAAGTGGGAAAGTGGGAAAGTGGGAGAAGAGGGGAAAAGAGTGCAACGACACACATCCATCGTCGCAGCATTCGCCAAACTTGCAGTCAGATTACTCCCTCGCCCTCGCGTAACATGTAATGGGCTCTCGGATGCAAAGAAGAGGAAAACAAAGATCATCGGTGAATTCGAATCTCCTATATTTTCTACATCAACTTTCGGTTCACTGGATTTCACCAGTGAGAATCACTAGCCTGAATCGCCCTAGACATCATCCTTCTGCACTGCAGATCGACCCACCTTTCTGTGGTACAAGATTGGGAGTATGGCGGTAGACGTGCTCTTGCTGTCTCAGCAGCCTCTGCAGCTGTGTTATCGCGAGCTCGCCACTCTGGGGTTGGAATGCATGTGTGCCAACGGCTGGTGTCAGGTATTATGCATGGGACGCATTGAAGGGCAGTGGCATGCGATGGAAAAAGAGTAAACAATTCGCGCCAAATATACCGCCGTGTTCAGGATGTGCCTAGCGAGACGAGAAGAGACGCGAGTACTCTCCCCAGCTCTCTTTCTCTTCTTTCTGATGTAAGCCTATACACATCAACCAAGGAGAGAAGGATGCGGCCGCTCGCCTCTCGTCGTCTCTAAAGTGTCTGCTGGTAGAGGAGATACAGGGTGCTCCGTACAGCAAGTCATGGATGTCATTGTATATCGGCACCAATTGGAAAAGTTTGGAGGTATTTAAGGTTTTAGGAGTTTAGAATGTGGATCCACACACCACATCGATTAGGTACGAATTTTGATATGCTGTGCTGGACGTGCACATCTCACTTTTAATGAAGTACATTTTGGACTCTGGTGAAGTATGCGACATAGTGTGCGCCTGCACAACACATGGTATTCGCTCCATGTTATCCTCTTGTCGGCTCCAGTGAGATGGGCTCAGCAGCCTCAGTCTCTATTATTCTCTTGACTCTGACTGGCGAAGAGGCTCCCTCGTCTCCGCCAGCATCCTCAGCGTCAATTTCTTCCATGGGGAGATGGGTGGTGCACCTGCACAATATGTATGCATCGCAGAGCATCTCTCTTATGGACAACAAATGATTGTAGCGGCCATGTCCGCTAACTGGCTCCTGAGTGGGTGCCGAGCGATTTGACCGCGTTCTCCAAAGAAAGGCCAGTCTTTTTAAGTCAGTGTCTGTATCTAGGATATCTGTTTACGATGCGTCATTTGAGCCCAAAGATCCGTAATGCCAAGGGTCTTGGTCTGCTTGCTTGTTCAACAAAAGTAATCATACCAATCAATCGTCTCTGTGCCTGGTGCCTGAAAGCTGTTTTGGCTAGACTAGCTCGTTCTGGTCGACTTGATTTATTGAGACGTCCTCTTAACCTTGATCTCGCTGAGTCATCCAAGCCACCCGCCAGAAAAAACATTCCACCTGTATGATAAAAAGAGGTCCTGTTGGCCGTAAGTTTGCTTCTTCACCCCACACTCTTTCGTACCCTTTTTCATCATGGCTGACGGTAAGGGGTCGCAATCCATCACTGCGTCGAACAGGATGTTCTCAACTACCCTTCACGGGGCGTACTTGCTCATTACATTGGACAGCTAAAGATACATTCACTCCTAGCATCAGCAGCCCTTTTTTCAAAGCACATTCATGAGTCATGACCTAACCTGTATGACTAATACCGTCACCTGCCTTTCACTTATGGATAATCGTAGGATCCGCTCAGTTCAACTTTCCCAAGGAGGAGGAGAAGATCCTCCAGTTCTGGCGCGAGATTGATGCCGTAAGTGGTCGACCCAGGATAAGTACAGGATTGCATATACCATACCATGCTACAGCCTATTGACCACAACCTGTCTCTCTGTTCGCCAATAGTTCAAGCGATCGCAGGAGCTCAACAAGGATAAGGAGCCCTTCGCCTTTTTTGACGGACCCCCATTCGCCACCGGGCTTCCTCACTATGGACACTTGCTCGCCGGTACCATCAAGGTATGTTTCTAATTGAAGGCATCAACACACCCTTCTTATTCGTTTCGATGCCATGTCCTCACTCTCTCTGGTTTTCCTCCGGTCTTTTCCTATTTTTTGCAGGATATTGTCACCCGTTTCGCTCACAGTACTGGCCACAGCGTCGAACGTCGTTTCGGTTGGGACTGCCACGGTTTGCCCGTCGAGTACGAGGTTGACAAGGCCTTGGGCATCACCGGAAAGGCCGATGTCATGGCCATGGGTATCGACAAGTATAACGAGGAGTGCCGCAGCATCGTCATGAGATATGCCAAGGAATGGCGCCAGACTGTTGAGCGTGCTGGACGCTGGATCGATTTCGACAACGACTACAAGACCTTGAATGTCGAGTTTATGGAGTCGGTCTGGTGGGTTTTCAAGACCCTTTTCGAGAAGGGTCAGGTCTACCGTGGAGTTCGTGTCATGCCCTTCTCAACCGCCTGCAACACCCCTGTCTCCAACTTTGAGGCTCAGCAGAACTACAAGGATGTCAGCGATCCCTCTGTTGTTGTTTCCTTCCCTCTTCTGAACGACCCCTCGGTCGCCTTCCTTGCTTGGACGACCACCCCCTGGACACTTCCCTCCAACTTGGCCCTGTGCGTCAATCCCAACCACGAGTTCATCAAGTTCTTGGACGAGGCGTCCGGAAACACCTACATCATGATCGAGAAGAGCCTCACGATGCTCTACAAGGACCCTGCCAAGGCCAAGTTCAAGATCCTTGGCAGAATGAAGGGTTCCGATCTTTTGGGTACCCAGTACGTCCCTCTGTTTGAATACTACTACAAGGAGTTCGAGAACACTGGATTCCGCATCTTGAACGACGAGTACGTTGATGAGTCTGCCGGTACCGGAATTGTTCACCAGGCCCCAGCGTTTGGTGAGGACGATTACCGCGTCTGTATCAACCACGGTGTCATCACAGCCGATGGTCATATCCCCTGCCCCGTTGACGAGTCTGGAAAGTATTTTGAGGAGATTACCGATTTCAAGGGTATTCACGTCAAGGAGGCCGACAAGTTGATCCAGAAGCACCTCAAGCAGGCGGGTCGCTTGATTGTCCAGACCCAGATCAACCATAGTTACCCCTTCTGCTGGCGTTCCGACACACCCTTGATCTACAAGGCTGTCCCATCGTGGTTTGTTCGCGTCCAGCCGATTGTCGACAAGATGTTGAAGAACAATGCGCAGTCCCGCTGGGTTCCCGGATTCGTTCAGGAGAAGCGTTTTGCCAACTGGATCGGCAACGCCCGCGACTGGAACATTTCTCGCTCCCGCTACTGGGGCACTCCCATCCCCATCTGGACGACCGAGGACTTTTCGGAGATGCACTGCGTTGGATCTCTACAGGAGTTGGAGGAACTCACTGGATGCGGCAAATTGACAGACATTCATCGCCACTTTATCGATCACCTCACCTTCAAATCGCCAAAGTCCGGAAAGGTCATGCGCCGTATCGAGGATGTATTTGACTGCTGGTTTGAGTCTGGATCTATGCCCTATGCCCAGCAGCACTACCCCTTCGAGAACAAGGAGACATTCGCGAACGGATTCCCTGCGGACTTTATCTCTGAGGGACTGGACCAGACCCGTGGCTGGTTCTACACTCTGCTGGTTCTTTCGACCCATCTCTTTGATACTCCCCCCGCTAAGAACCAGATTGTCAGCGGTCTTGTTCTCGCCTCGGACGGCAAGAAGATGTCGAAGCGCCTGAAGAACTATCCCGAGGCCAACATCATTCTGGATGCCTATGGTGCTGATGCGCTCCGTCTCTACCTCATCAACTCGCCCGTCGTCCGTGCTGAAACGCTGAAGTTCAAGGAGGAGGGTGTCAAGGAGGTGGTCACGAAGGTCTTCTTGCCCTGGTACAATGCCTACAAGTTCTTTGTCAACCAGACGGTTTTGCTGAAGAAGGAGTTCAGTCACGATTTTATGTACAACGCCTCGTTGAAGAAGAGTGACAACGTCATGGACCGCTGGATGTTGGCGTCGTGCCAGAGTTTGATCAAGTATGTCCGCGAGGAGATGACGAACTACCGCCTCTACACGGTCGTCCCTCGTTTGCTGCGCCTGATTGAGGAGTTGACGAACTGGTACGTCCGCTTCAACCGTCGCCGTCTGAAGGGAGAGAACGGTCTCGAGGACGCTATCCAGGCGATGAACACTCTGTTCGATGTTTTGTACACTCTTGTCCGCTGCATGTCGCCCTTCACACCCTTCTTGACTGAGAACATGTACCAGACGCTCAAGAACTTTTTGCCGGAGGACAAGAGCATCGTCGACAACCGCTCTGTGCACTTTTTGTCGTTCCCAGAGGTGAAGGAGGAGTACTTTGATGATGAGATTGAGCGGGCGATGTCGAGGATGCAGGCAGTCATTGAGTTGGGACGCACCATTCGTGAGCGCAAGACTATTAGCTTGAAGACGCCATTGAAGGAATTGGTTGTGATCCACCCTGATCCCCAGTACCACGCCGATGTCAAGGCCCTGGAGAGCTATATTGTGGACGAACTCAACGTTCGCACGTTGGTTGTTACATCGGATGAGGCCCAGTATGGAGTCAAGTACACTATCGAGGCGGACTTCCGATCGTTGGGTGCGAGGCTGAAGAAGGATGCTGTCAAGGTCAAGAACGCGCTTCCCAAGTTGAGCGAGGAGCAGATCAAGGACTTTATCAGGTCGAAGCAGATTACATTGGAGGGGCATGATCTGGGCGAGGAGGACCTGACGGTGGTGCGGTATTTCGAGTCGTCAGAGAACAGCATGGAGACGAACACGGACAAAGATGTGCTGATCTTGTTGGACGTGAAGCGGTACCCAGAGCTGGAGCAAGAGGGCCTTGCACGCGAGGTGATCAACCGTGTACAGCGTCTTCGCAAGAAGGCGAATTTGGAGCCGACGGATATGATCCACATGTACTACGAGTTCACCCAGGACATGAACAATGCATTGGAGCAGGTGATCAAGTCGCAGGAGGAGACGCTGGTGAAGGTATTGAAGCGCACGCTGTGCCCGATCGGGGACAAGAAGGGAGCGGCTGTGGTGATCATTGAGGAGGCGCAGGAGGTCAATGGATCGACCTTCAATCTGACTCTTGTGCGCGACTAGAGGGCCGGACAGGTGGAGGTAGTCGACATAGACAAGGAAGAAGAAAAAGAAAAGGAAATAAAACATTTATTCGGTAATGCATATGAGCACATGGGGATGGGGATGGGGATGGGGATATGGTTGGAGCACCGCCAGGAGGGGCTGTTCCTGAGAAGAAAAGGATGACCGAAGCGGAAACGAAACAGAGGTATGATATCATTGCGGCATCAACTAAAAAATAAGAAAAATAAGAAAAATACGTATAAAGGGAACAGAGGCACGGGAGAGAGGGATCGGCTGCATGCCACGCAGCAACATCGCTTCTTACTTCCTGCACTCCCCCATTCGCCTTTGACTTCCATCCTCATCCTCCCATCCCGCTCTCTCCCTATACCCTCACCCACACTCTTCCCTTTCCTTCTCTCCTTCCCACTCCTTTCCTGCAGCTCGACCCAAAGCCTGCCATGGAGTCCGCCCCGGACAACGGCCTCTCGGCCCCCTCCCCCCTCGCCACCCTCCTCTCCTCCGCAACACACTCCCTCGTTACAAAGGCGCTCGAAACAGCCGTCGCCACCGCCACCACAGCCGCAACCCACACCCTCCACCAACAGCACCACAACCACGACCACAACCACGACCACAACGCGTTCGAGGCCAGTCCAGAGGACCCTGTCTCGCCTTACGGGACCTTGCCCCTGCTGCGGTCGCTCTTCTCCTTCTCGGTCTCCGTCCTCGGCTTCATGACCATGACCCTGCCCACTGCCCTCTACCGCCTCCTATCCTGGTCCTTCACCCTGCACCTAACCTTCACCACCCTCCTAATCGCCGTCGCCCTTCTGTGTCTCCTCGCCTGGACCGTGATCCGCTACCGCGTCCTCACAAAGTACTCGCGTCTGCCGCATACCAGCCTGGGAAAGCACGGGTCCTCCTTTGATCTGCACCCCGACAACCCCTTCAAAAGTCCACAGGAGGAGAAGGAAGGCTTGAGCTACCCGGACGAGTTCCTGAGCGCCTTCCTCTCCAGCATCAAAATCTTTGGCTACCTCGAACAGCCCGTCTTCCACGAGCTGGCCAGACATCTGCAGACCCGTCGCCTACCCGCTGGAGATACCATCATGCAGAGCCCGGATATGGAGCGTTCCTTCTACATTGTTGTCGATGGATGTGTGCAGGTCTACGAGAAGGTCGTCAAGGACGAGGAGGATGAACACTATCAGGAGGAGGAGGAGGAGGACGGCGACACTTCTTCCTGGGACGACCCCCACCACGGATACCAACTCCTGAACGAGGTCAAGAACGGAGGCACGCTCAGCAGTCTGTTCACCATCTTGACGCTATTTACGGAAAACGTTAAATTGCGCCACGAGGATGAGCCCTTGAAGGAGTTCAAGCGATCTAGGTCCACCTTAGGAGAGGACGACGTCTCTGTTAATAGCTCAGCCCTTGGCAGCGATCACGACCAACGCAGAAAACAGGAGGGAAACAACAAGTGGAAGCATTCGCCTGCTCACGGCTCCGGTCTCCGGACCAAAGGCACCATCCACACTCCGACCAGCCCACTCTCTAACCCGGACCACATGGCAGTCTTTGAGGACGACGGCGCCGAGATTCAGGAGAGATCAGCAGGAGAGGGCATGGACCGAACGCCGCGACAGGTGCATATCCAAGGATTCGAGGATGCAGACCCAGACCGCCAACAACGGCGGCCACAGGCGCCAACGAAATCCGGCGTTGAGACCAAGGATTATCAGGCATCCAAGATGAAGCGTCGGGTCATTGTGGCAAAAGCGATGGTGGACACGACCCTGGCTGTCATCCCTGCAGAGGCATTCCACCGTCTGACCCAAAAGTTCCCTCAGGCAGCTGCTCATATTGTGCAGGTGATCTTGATCCGCTTTCAACGCGTGACCCTCTTGACTGGACACAAATATCTGGGCCTGACTAAGGAGCTGCTACGCATGGAGAGGAGCATCAACGAGATTGGAAGCTATGGTCTACCGCCCAACTTTTTCCGACCCAAAACAATGGAGTATCTCAAGGCCAAGTTCAGCACCGTCCGGGAAGAGAGCGACGACGACGACGATCGGCCGATTGCTATCAGGATGAAGAACGCGCGCAGGGCTGCCAGCCCTTTGGTAAAGGTTCATCCTGTGGGGGGGGGGGGGGGGGGGTTTGTGTCGTACTCGCCCTACTATTGAAGATGGTGCTAACATCTAGCCTCTGCGGTGTATTCTTGCTGAATGAAACTGACTGCAGACTAGCACACGTCCTACGGAAAGAACGTCTGGGTACGAAAGCCCTAATCCTATGTCTCCAATCGATGAGAGCGGCGACCATATTCGTCACGGATCAGGATTCAGCGCCTTGCTGGGGGACCAAAGCGAGGAAGAGGACAGCTATCTGCGGGATCAGGTCATGGAGTGTCTTTCTCGAAGTATCGGCCTTGTTCAGACATCACCTCCGAAACCCAACGCCAGTCTACGCCCGGATCTGAAACCGATAGGCAGCTCGGATTATTTCGCTGCCATGTTCCAGGCAAGTCTGAACGGTGGCCCAGGTGGACCTCCTAGCGGACTAGGAGGGTTACCAATGCGAAAGACTGGATCGTCAAACTCGGACAATATCACCATTGGAACGGACGACCTAAACACCTCCAACTCGTCCTCGACGGTCCCCTCAGTGATGAGTGAGATGGAGAACGATGTCGAGATCATGTACTTCCCCGCTGGGGCCAACCTGGTCGAGGAAGGCGAGCGCAACGCAGGGTTGTTCTTCGTTATCGACGGCGTGCTGGATGTCTCTATCCTGCGCAGGCAGGACATCAAGTCGCAGACGACGGATACACCGACCGAGCAACCAAAGAACGCCTTTGGTCACCATTTGTCATCGTTGGATCTGAAGGCAAATCTCACGTCGCCTACTGTCACCAAATCACCGCCGGCAAAGTCCAGCAGTTCGTCTATCCGCAAGAAACAGAGCCATGCGTTGTTCTCGATCCAGGCAGGTGGATTGGCCGGCTATCTCTCTGCGTTGTCTGGATACCCTTCGTTCGTCACAATCAGTGCCCGCACGAACGCCTTTGTGGGATACCTGTCCAAGGCCGCGCTGGACCGCGTCATGGAGCGTAACCCCACCGTCCTTCTCACGCTCGCCAAGCGTCTCATCACCTTGGTGTCTCCTATCGGTATGTATCGTTCCAGCCTTCTCAATGTTGGCGTTATTCTTTGTGCAGACAACTGTTCACTCACCGTATGGCTTCTTTCTCTTTCTCTTTCTCTCTATCTCTCTCTCTCTCTCTTTCTTTCTCACTCTCTCTGCTGATGGCTATCGGTTATAGTGCTTCACTTGGATTACGCGATGGAGTGGATGCAGGTCTCTGCCAGTCAGGTACTACATCGCCAGGGGGACGAATGCGACTCGATTTACATTGTCCTGAACGGTCGACTTCGAACGATCATCGAAAAGGAACCGGGCAAGATTGAGATCTTGAGCGAGTACAGTCAGGGCGAGTCCGTCGGAGAGATGGAGGTGCTCATGGGCACAGCCTTCCCCTCAACCCTGCATGCTATTCGTGACACAGAGGTGGCCAGGATGCCCAAGACACTGTTTAATGCGCTCGCACTGCGGCACCCGGAGATCACCATCAGGATTTCGAGACTGATTGCTCAACGTGCGAGTGATGCCATGGGCAGTGGAGCCAACCCCAAGGCTGTTGGGGTAACACCCGACTCGGCGATCAATAACTCGAATTTGAGGACCATTGGTATCATACCTGTCTCGTCGAATGTGGCCGTCAGCGAGTTTGCCGATCGACTGAAGACAGCGTTACTGGGGATCGGATCGACCTGCACACTGCTGAACCATAGCACGGTTATGAATCTGTTGGGCAAGCATGCGTTCACCAAGATCGGCAAGCTGAAACTGGACAGTTGGTTGAACGAGCAAGAAGAGATGTCGCAGATTGTACTCTACCTCGCGGACGGCGGGTTGACCTCGCCCTGGACTCAGACCTGCATCCGACAGGCGGACTGTATCCTGTTGGTCGGCCACGGAGATGAGGATCCGACGGTGGGAGATTATGAGAGACTCTTGATCAGCATGAAGACGACGGCCCGCAAGGAGCTGGTGCTCCTGCATGCGAACCGACATTGTGCACCCGGATCGACGGCTGCGTGGCTGAAATCGAGAGTCTGGGTGCATGCACATCATCATGTCCAGATGCCTTTCAGGGGGCCGACGATGCTCGGTGCGACTTCCAGGAAGAAGACGATCATGAATTTGAAGGATCATCTGGAAAAGTTCTACACCAACATTCGGCACAACAACCCGAACAAGAGTCCGGCTTTCCATGGAAACAGGAGTGATTTTGCCAGACTGGCAAGGCGCTTGACAGGTCGTACCGTCGGACTGGTCCTCGGCGGAGGAGGTGCCCGTGGTATCTCGCATATTGGAGTGATCAGAGCGTTGGAAGAGGCTGGGATTCCGATCGATATCGTCGGGGGCACGAGCATGGGCGCGTTCATCGGAGGACTGTACGCACGTGAGTCGGATAACGTGGCTATTTTTGGAAGGGCCAAGATGTTTGCGGGTCGCATGGCGGCCAAGTGGAGGATGGTTGCAGATTTCACCTATCCGGTGACATCGTGGACGACAGGACATGCCTTCAACCGCGGCATCTGGAAGTGCTTCAGCGACACGCAGATCCAAGATTTCTGGCTGTCGTATTATTGCAACACCACCAACATCACGTTCTCGAGGATGGAGATCCACCAGGCAGGATACGCATGGCGCTATATCCGAGCATCGATGTCGCTCTCTGGATTCTTGCCCCCGCTGTGCGATAACGGCCACATGCTGGTGGATGGAGGGTACATGGACAACTTGCCGGTCGAGTTTATGAAGTCCCTGGGCGCGAATACGGTCTTTGCGGTGGATGTGGGCAGCGATGATGACACGACGTTGCAGTACTATGGTGACAGTCTGTCGGGATGGCTGGTGTTGTTGAACCGCTGGAACCCGTTCTCGAACGTGTACCGCAACATCCCCAATTTGGCGGATCTGCAGTCGAGGCTGGCGTACGTGTCGAGCGTGAAGCAGCTGGAGGAGGCGAAGAGGACACCGGGGATGTTCTACCTGAAGCCGCCGGTGCAGGATTTCGGGACGTTGGAGTTCGGGAGGTTCCTGGAGATTTGTGATGTCGGGTATGAGTACGGTAAGGAGATGTTGGAGAAGTGGAAGGCCGAGGGTAAGCTGAGCCATTTGTTCTTGGAGAACGAGATGATGAAGAGTCGGCGCGTCAAGCGTGTCCGTCGCAACTCCATTTAAAAAGCAGAAAAAAACGGCACAAGAAAAAAATAAAATAAACTTTTGGCTTTGGTTACACATTTCTGTAGCCAATAGAATGAGTGAGAGATAATTCGTGAGCGCATTTTTTTTTTTTTTTGTAACTTGTTATTTTACAGACAATGTCTACACAAGAGAGTCTAGAAGACACCTCGCTACCGCAAGATGAGAACGAGTGCCACACCAGCCAGATACGAGAGACCCTGCATGCTCAACTCGGACAGGAACCATGGCCTCGCCTCCAAGGTCTTTGCCGCATGCGAATGGGCCGGCTTGTGTTTCTTCTTCTTGTTCTCGTTACTCTCAGCCTCCTTCGCGTTCTTCTCAGTCCCCTCCTTACCCTCCTCATCCTCCAATCTCTGGTTACTGCCCTGAGGTGCCTTCTTCTTCTTCTTCTTACGCTCCTTTTCCGCAGCCTCGAATTCCTCATCCTCGGCCCTCCGTCTCAACAGGATCTCCTCCAGCCCCGGTTGGTTGGCTCCCACGTCCATCGCAAAGGATCCGACACTCATATGTTGACCGATATGGGCACCCGGGTCCGCGACCGAATCTGGGGAGATGGGACTAGGTGAGTAAGCCCAACAGAAATCCTGCTCCTCGCCCGGTGTGAGCTTGTAGTCCAGATTCCTGGTCCGCACAGGACGTGTGAACTGGACGACGAAACGGTCTTGGTCTGGGAAGACAGCCATGGCAGCAGTGGCGGTAGTAGCAGCATCAGTATCTGAATTGGGATTGTGGAGCACGTACTCGCCCTCCGGGTACAGGTTCGCCTCCCCGGACTTGTCCCCGTTATGGTGACGGCCCACGAGCTGAGGCTCGACGTAGGCATGGCTCATCCGACGGGAGAGCACCGCCCCACGGGGCCCACCGCCGTGCTCGGGAGTGAGGTTCGGCCAGAAGATCAGGAGATCGGCCATGGTCATCGCGTAGCCGATCCCGAGCGAGATCCAGCCCGTGGCCGCTAGAGATCGTTCGAGATGGAAGGTGGCAAAGTGGCCATCGGACGACAGAGAGACGTTCACACAGAATTGTGGGGTGCAGTGGTGTGCACCGAGGACTTGAGGGATCAGTCCGCGCTTGCGGAAGGAGTCAGGCACCTTGGGGAATCCAGGGACTGCAGATGCTTCCGCGAGATTGAGAGATGCTGGGGTTGCTTCTGGAGACGGCGCTAGGGCTGATTCGGGAGATGACGCTGGGGTTGGTTCCGGAGACGGCTCTGTGTCGTCTTCTTCGTCTTCTTCGTCTTCTTCGTCTTCCTCTTCAATGTCTTGATCGTCTTCCTCGTCATATTCCTTGCCGTCTTCGGGGATGCTCACGTCCTGGGCTTCATCCTCTGGATCGAATGCGAGGACCCTTTGATCCGATGGAGGCGAAGATATATCGGGAGTCGAGCGAGCCAGTTTAATTCCATGGTGGGCATCGAAAGCAGCGAACACCCCTGGGGTTTTGGTTTCATCCACGACGACCAACATGTCTTTGAGCGAGGGGTTCTCGATACGACTGTTATCCAGAATGAATGTATTCTGGTGGTTCTCTTGCTGCTGCTGCTGCTGTCTGGTTGCCGGGTTAGGGCTGACATGGTGATGATGATGATGTCCCAGGACACGGTTTCGTGTTCGATCTCCTCGACTACCCGAAGACCTCGCGGACCCTTCTGCTACTCCAGCAGTGAGGACAGATGCGTCCGAGACACTGAAGAATCCTTGTGCGTCCACGTCGAGGTTCTCATAGTTCTTGTTCAGTTTGTTGACGACAAGCATCTCGCCAGTCTGTTTCTCGATCACCTTCTTGGCCGCTTCTTCGCTGTCGATCATTGAAATCACCTTGACATCCCCTCCTCCCTGTGGGGCCTTGGTCCTTGGCTGATCATCAGGTTGCGGTAGTTGAGTTTGCTCTTCCTTGTATGCCTCCAACCCGGCCTGTGCATCCGTTCGGTACTGGTCCACAAGCAGCGCGGCTGTTTCCTCTGGAAAGGCCTCTCCCTGACCAGAGGGCGCGTCCATGCCGCTGTCGAGCTCTACGTCCTGCACCAATCCCGCTTCACCGCCCTCCTTAGCTTCCTCCCTCTTGCTCCCATCCTGGATCTCTGCATCCTTGGGCTCCGCATCGTCCTCCACCACACCTTCCGGCCCAGTCTCTTGATCTCTCAACAGCGGAGATGATTCCTCTGCAGGATTGATCCCAATAGCATTAGATGCTGATGCCCACACAGCCTTCAGCAACTCGAGTCCATGCTGATATAACGTATTCGACGTCTCTTGATTCTCATGCTCCCCAGAATGCCCCTCGCGCTTCCGATCCGCGCCCTCTTCCAGTCCTTGGCCCTGACGCTCGTGCTGTTGCTGCTGCTGTCCAAGTTGCTGAGGACCACCATCGACACCATCCTCCCCATCCCCCCCAAGGCTCCCCCGGTCTGCAAAATTGCTCCTCCCCTCGTTCGGGTACATCGCCTCCAGCACCTCGACCGGCGGCACCTGATGATCCATTTCGAACCGCATCTCCGTCCGTGGCTGTCCCAGCTCATCTCCCTCTTGACTCAACTCGGTTCCTTGTGGTGCTTGAACGGGTTTGGCGACCCCGTTGATGACAGGAATCATGACCATTGGAGGTCGATCCATCGACGCCATCGTTGACCAGTGTCCCTTTTCGTCGTTCGCGTTCGCTTGCAAGGACGATGAGGTGCCATCGCTGTTTCCTGAGTAACCCGACGACACTTTTACGAATTAAAAAAAAAAAGAAAGAAAGAAAGAAAGAAAAAAAACCCGTTAATTTCCAGATACTCATCGATCAAACCCATAGGCCATTATCATCCATTCTTTATCTACCGCTTTTTTTTTTCTTTTCTTTTTTCTTTTTTCTTTTTTCTTCTTAGTACCTTGGTTCCGCGAACCGATTTGACTTGTTTCTACAGACACCAGCAGATGCGCCTGAGAACCGACCACCAGAACTGCGACTCCCAGCAGGAGTACTCGTTTGGTAGACATGGAGAATTCGGATGTCATTGCAGTCGTCGTCGTCCTTTCTTTGTGGATAGCCATTGTGCACTAGAGAATATTATTTTGGTCGCGTTCAATTCATAGAATGATGATACTGCTGCTGTTGCTACTGCTGCTGCTACTGCTGCTGCTATTGTTGTAGGTGGGCAAATCGAAGGCCTACACGACTGTGGGAAGTAATCAGGCAAAAGAGGTGATAAGGAATATAGAAATGGATATCTTGAATATGTTCGACATAGGTCTTCAGGAAAAAGGGGGGAATAGAGAGATGCCATCGTCAACATTCCATCCCCAACCTGCCTTCCAAGTGCCTGAAAAAAGGGGAGGGGTTATGGCGAAAGGAGGAGGCAATTGTGGTCATGATCGCTACCAACACCTCTGATTGTCCCCTCAGCCTGTGAGCTCGGGTATTATATTTTCTTCGGATTTATTTTGTGCTTTAATCTCTATGTAGTCTTCGCTGCGCCCTTTGTTCTTTTTTTTTCTGCACAACTAAAACAGATCCAACAAGTCGTTCACCGCCGATGATTGCGTGCTCGCTGGCTTTGGTTGTTGTGCCTGCTGCTGTTGGCCTGCTGGCGAACCAAAGCTCATTCCGGCCAATCCACCCAAATCGCCAAAGTGATTCGTCGGGCTCTGTTGTTGGCGCTGTTGCTGTCCATTCATGTCGCCCATGCCCGTCATACCACCGAATACGCTACTTGATGATCCCATGTCCGACGACATGTCAAAGAGGTCTGCGCTGTAATTAGATCCGCCATTGCTGGCCGGTTTGCTACCAGAAACAGGCGGCGATGTGTATGCTGGCTCCGATGAACTGAAGTCCAAATCCAGCAAATCCGCCATCGCGTTCTTAGGCGCCTCTGTTCCTGCTCCGGCAGCAACAGGGGAGTCCTCGCCCGTAATTTGTTCCTCATCTCGTGCACTATAAGACATCGAGGGAAATAAAAACATTAGCACACATTCATGTTCCATAGTCCATCCTCTAAAATGAAGCAGCGACGAAAGACATACTCAGCAACGGCTGCTTTGCGAACGGCATCTGCACCATAGGCCTTATTGCCCATGAACGCCGTGGGAGGCTTGTGATATACTGAGGCCAACGTCGAAATGTTATTGATCAACTCGTCCATCAAAGCAGGCGAGATCTTGTTGGCACTCGATTCGGCCGAAATTGGCGGCTTATCGGAAAGGACCACGGCCTTGGCAGCCTGGGGATCTGTCGAAAGCAATCTCCAGTAGACGTAGGCTCTATCTCTCGTGTCGGGATTGTCAATCTCCTGAGTAGCCGTCTGAAGGACTCTGTGGACAATTTCCTGTGATTGCGCGGGCTTCTTCAAGAACAGCTTAACTGTTGCTGTGAGGAGCTGCAGTTGAACTTGAGAATTTTCCTCGAGGAATGTCTCCAAAAAGTTTTCAATTAGCTCATCCGCATTTTCGATTCGTTCTGCGTACTCTCCAATGATCCAGATAAGCGATCCTTTTGCTTCGGGCTCGTCAAGTGAGTCGAGGCTCTGACAGAGTGTGGGAATAATAGCCTCGTAGCGCTTAGGATACTTGCGGAAAATGTCCTGTTATATGTCACCCAGTGGTACCACCACAACGTCCTATTAGTACTATGCCAGAATACAGTGCTTCGTGCCCAGTCGTCTTGTTATCATGAATGGTACGTACCTTGATGACAATAATGGCTTCCTGGACAACATAGTTGACCTTGGTATTGATGAGATCCAGGAGCACATTGACACATCTCTCTGAAGCCTCGTCAATGATAATCGCACAACGTCCGATAGCATGAACTGCTTTGCGCACGAAATCGACATCGACCTCCGAGGCATATCTATAATTAGCAGACATCGAGCGCAGAATAGTCAGTACCGCGACCCTGAAATGTGTCTTTTGTCTGCAGCCCAATCCAATAGGAGGTTCCATATGAATCAACTACGTACTCCTTGAGCTCAGAGAGAATCTGATCGATGTTCCTGTCGTTGCACAGCTTGATCATAATCTCCAGTTTCTCGCGCTTGACGTATGGTGGGTCGTTGTACTTGCAGAAGAAGACGCGGACATCATTTTGGAGGATGTCCGGACGCTTTTGCAAGATCAAGTTGATGTTCCTGAGAGAGACATATTGAACTTCGGGCGCAGATGCCAGCAGCGATACTAAAATGCAGAAAAGAAAAATAATTGTTGGGCGTGAGCGCATGAACCAAACAACGTGCGGGCATAGATACCCAATGGAGTAAATCGGCATCGACTCGCAGACTTACCAAGAGGTGGCGACATCTTTTTGATCAAAGCCTTCACAAAGTCATCGTTCTTGATGTATCTCAAGAAGATCATGAGGACTCGAATAGCGGACAAGACCACAGATCCATTGGCGTGCTGTAACCTGGGGACGACTCTCTCGCAAACGTTCTCTGCCTCCTTGGAATCCAATGGCCTGTAATCGGCGAGAGAAGTCAAGATTGCGATCTGACCCCATTCCGTGCACTCGTTCAATGCCGCCAACATTTTGTTCATGATCGCAACGTTCACCACAAAGATATCCTTGCTGGCGGAAGACTCCTGCATCTCTGCCAGGGCCGTCACAGCGTTTGCAACGACCATGGGGGTCGAATCCGAGATGAGATCCTGCAACGTGGCGACAAATCCGTTTTCAATGGCACGTTCCTGATCCAGATCCCACAACTTGGCGACACAAATGGCGGCCGTTTTGCGAACGTATGGGTTGTCGTCCTGGAGACACTTCCTCAGAGGCTCGCACAAGTGATCCAGAATCTTGTCCACACGAATACATCCCATTGTACGGATAGCCAAGGCGCGGATCAGTGGATTGACGTGATCAGTGTCCTGAAGACGTGAGAGAAAAGAAATTGAGCCGGTGAGAACGAGGGTGAACATCGCCAGGCCCCATAATAGTGCAGGTGCGTCATTATTCGGCGCTTACCTTGACAAAAGTATTGACAGCCAAGATGACTAGATCCGGGTTCGACTTGGCATAGTTCATCAAGTACAGGTAGACCAGTTTTTTCTATGCGAATCGTACGCGGCACCATTCAGAATGTAAAATGTCGTGTCAGCCTAAAGCACCTCTAGCTCCTTCTCGCTTCAGATGTGAGGCATACCATTGCATGCTTTCCGTACCATCTCCAAGTCTTCGGTCTGCATGTTCTTGACGACCTGCGGGAACAACGAACTGACATCCTTTCCAACTGTCATATTCGCGATAACCCGCTTGACTGCATCCTTGCGTCTCTCGCGGTATTCGCTGTTCAGGTCCACCAGCAGCTCAGCATTCTCGCCTGGATAAAAGAGGAGGGGGGGAGGGGCGTTTCAATCGAGCCAGTTGAGGGTGTTAGAGACTTCTGTCGTAAGGACGTGCGAAGAAGAGGCAGCACAGGGTGATGAATGGCTACCTTTTGTGCTGGTGGCGAAGAACTTTGGTTTGAAGGCGTCGATATTCATAGGAGGATGTGGGTTGGGCGGATGAGAAGGGAGGATGGCGGGGGGTGTGTGTTTGATGAAAGAAAGGACGATGAGACACCAGCAGCAGAGAGATGAGAATCGATGATGAGAACGAGAGGCGAGGTCCCTCGCGTAGAGTGCACCCCGAGAGCATCCACGTGACATAGTCGAGGGCGGCCTTGTGAGTCGTCCTTCATGCTCAATGGACATGCTGCTATTCGCCTTGAATCTACGAAGCCAAAGAGAGGACGCGATTGTAGCGACTTCACAACACTAACCATCCGGTACGTCTGTTTAAAAAGGCGAGTGCGAGACGCAATACATACCCTATATCCGCAGGCTGATGCGCCTCTCGGGCGGTATCATTTCACTCGACATTGATGTCGCCCCTGAGGATCGCCTATATTCCTGAAAGTCTCAGCATGCACGTCCCTATCCCCCCCCCCCCCAAAAAAAAAAAAGATCCAGCGACAGCGGTGCCTTCCTAGGAGCACGTGTCATATGAAAAAACTGATAGGCGACGTGTTTGCCTTCGAACAGTATTCTCAGGTTGAACGCGCTACCTTTGCCCTCACCCTCATGCACTCCTCCAGGCAGTACTACGCGTGTATTTGTGTATTAAGATGCTATAATGATACGTCTACAAATTGAACGTTCGCTGCTGCTGCTTCTCAGCTTTCACAGCTCCTGCTACGTTCTTACCCTCTTTTACGCCTTCAGGGTTGATCTTGGTCTTCAATTTGCCTTTTCTCTCTCTACCCCGCCATCTCCTCCTGCCACGGTCGTGCGCAACTCATGCCACACTTCATCACTACTAATCCCTGTGTCTCCAGTCTCACTGCTAAGTCCCAGTGTCAACCCCACAGAGTAGCCAACGCTCATCTCGCCGATCCCAGAAATAGTATTAATTCCGGAGATTGACGCCCTGAATGGGCGCTGACGTCCCAGTGCCATCGGTTTTGCGTCCTAGGAGTCCAACGGACTTTCGTGCAATGACCCCGCGTTACTGGCCGTATATGTGCTCAAGGGCCGAGCATGTACAGAAGCCTGGTACTGCTGTTTCTCCTGTTGTGCCTGTGCGTTCAGTTCAAACGCACGTCCGCCCTTGATGTTCTGCGATAGCTGTCGGTCCCTCAAAGCCCTTGTGCGCATAGAGATTGGTGTAGGGATCGAGGCTGAATCCATCAGCAGAGCCGCTTCTGAGCCGACGTTGGCCATACTCGAAAGTGACATTCCCGAGTCGGGAGTTGAATAAAGTGATTGACCAAGGATTCTAGATTTTTGTGCAGCTGGAGAGTTGTTATAGGTCGTCGGCGACGTTGATGTGGTCGAGTACCCGGAGGAGATAGACGGAGATGTGGGAGTAGGCGAATCCACATACTCTGAAAGCACACCGCTGGCGAAATGGTCCCGTGAGCTTTGCTGCTCTAGTGGTCCTGCTATAGTCATACTATTCAACGGGAGCGAAACTACCGAGTCGCCATCTTGCTGTGGTTGCTGGTCTCGCTGTTGCAAGGCCTCCTTTTCGACTTCAGCTAAGGGGAATTGATACTCTTGCTCTTTTATCTGCACTTGTTGTACTGCACTGTTGATATTGATATTTGATGCCTCGCTCATACTGATCAACGAGATTTGGTCCTCGTCCGGATTGAACCTTTTCTGTCCAACGAGGTCGCTGGGACTCTCAGGGCAGTAGGCCTTCGTAGGAGCACTAGATATGTTCTCGACTCGAACGGAACTGTTCCAGGTCGATAATACACCATCCGGAGTTGTGCTGCTCGCATTATTCTTGCGCTCACGGGCATTGCCTGCAGACCCGGCGCGGAGCAGAGACTTGCCGCCGGAGGCAGGTTGGCTGAGCGAATGTGAACGTTTGACCTTTGTGAAATCATAGACAGTGAACTTGTCTTCCATCATCTGCACCTCTGCCGAGAGCTCCCTCTCTGGGCTCGTCTGAGCTCGCTTCTTAGCCTTTAAGGGATTGTCCTCCATCAGAAGTTCTTCCAATTCATGAGTCGCGTCAAAATTGGCGCGTTTGGACTATAGGGTGAACAGTGCAGGACGTTTAGGCATCGTATTTGACTGGGGAAGGTTCCATAAAATCCATTATCGCCTACAACACTAAACTTACATCAGGCTCAAATGGAGGAATGGCCTCTTTTGATACGAGTTTGCCCCACTCGATGCCTTGGAACCATGGGTGACTCTTGATCTCATCAAGCCCTCCCGACGTGCATCCGAGTCGCTTGTTGATGTCTCGCTCGCATAGCTGAGATAATATGGTTAACATTCGTGCTAAACGTGTGTACACAAAGCTACTTGATACTGAAGCGGATTATCGAGAGTATTACCCTTGAGAGTACATCGAGACACGGAGCGCTGACTATAGTCTCCACGTTCTTGGGGAAAGGAAGAGGATCGTACAATATTGAGTTCGTCAACAAGTCATTGCTCTTTCCTCTAAATGGACGCTGTTCAATGAACGCAAAAAGCAGTGTATGTCAGATAACTCTGTACAAATCCGCAGGTCAGGCACGCGAACGGGAAAAGAATCATACCCTCCCAAAGAGCAGCTCAAACATGACCACGCCCAGGCTCCACCAATCCACTGACTCGAGATAGCCCATCCTGAGTAGAACTTCTGGGGCCATATAAGCCATGCTTCCGGCTATTGACATCAACGGCTTTGCTGGATTGAAGTAGACTGCAATGTTAAAGTCCGTCAGATGGACATGCCCATGCTCGTCCAGCAGGACATTGTCTGGCTTCAAATCCCTTTGTTCGTATAAAAAAAAATAAAAAATAAGAAAATGAATGTTATATTTACAGTACAAGGTGCTGGTTGGTATCTTGTTATCTTACTAGTCGTTTAACCGCTCACTCACCTATGAATAATCCTCCGTGCATGCAACGCATCCAGTGCCAGGGCCAACTCTGCGACATAAAACCGAACAACATCTTCCTTCATTGGTCCAGCTCTCTCCAAATGGAACCGAAGATCTCCACCCAGCATCAAGTCCAGTACCATAAACATATTTTCGTCGTCCTGGAATGCGTACCGAAGATTACAGATCAACGAGAACTCGACCTCTTCCAGTAGCCGCCGTTCCTGGATAATGTTCTCGACCGCACGCATGCGGATGCATTTTGCCTTGTTAATGTACTTGAGAGCATAAATCTCCTTGCTCTTTTTGTGCTGCACAACACGGACCTTGCCAAAGGCGCCCTTCCCCACAGAGCGAAGCAGATGGAAGTGCGAAAGCTCGACTAGTCCACATTTTTCATCCACAAAACCACCCGTGTTAGATTGCAAGCCAGAGAGGGTTTAAAAGGAGGCGCGTGTACAGCAAACCCGCGGCCGCTAATAGGTCGTTCTCAACCGTGCACACTTACTCTCAGAGTTGAAGTCAATTGCTTCTTCTTTACAACAGCTTGCTCCCATTGCTAGTTTCGTGAAACGGGTGTAGATGACGATGCTAACTGTGTTTGCTTCCTGTTCAGGGATGGACGGCTCAATATGATCTGTGTGGATGTGTAATTGTGCTCTCTAATCACAAAAGCCCGATGGGGTCTTGCTACGTTCCTACGAGTTCACGTTTGCAGGCGAGTTCGGTCAATCAACTGTTGGACGTAATTACAGGTCAAACGAGAGGATCCCAGAGAATGCATGCATCAAAAAAAAAATTGAAAGGGGGCGGATTGCTATAGATGGAGTTATCAAGGGGGTGCGTAAAAAACATTGGGTCGGGCAGAGTCAGAGTTCATAGTGAGACGAGAGATAGGTCCCAGAGGTGCATGATGAACACGAGTATATTTCCATGATAGGAGTTAGGAAGGGGGAAAGGATCTTTGGTGAACTGTATATAGAGAGGACGAAATGGATAACACTATATCAAAGTTGTCCTGTCTCTGCCTGACAGTAGCGGAACTATGGTGTTCAATGTGGCAATAGTTGAATGAGTTGATAAGAGTCTTTGTCGTAGTTGTGGTCGTGAAGCCGAGCGTTGCTGTGGTGCTCCAGAGGGAACGTTGTCCAGATGCGGCATTCTTCGCCTGAACACAAATATGGAAAAGTAAACTGAGAGGGACCAAATTTCATGTGGAGGGATAATGATGAACTTTGCGGTGCAGGGCAGGGCAGGGCAGGGCAGAGCAGTGGGGTTTTTATGGAAGATAACATGCAGAAGAATGATTACACACAGGGCAGATGCGGTATACACAGGGGAAAAATTTCTTAGAAAGCGTGAAAAAAGGTGCAGGTGGAAGAAAGAGAGAAAATTGTGTACGGGCGAGAATGTTCAAGGATGAAGAGACCAAGGAGGTACGACTAAAAGAGAGGAGGAGTGAGAGCGTGCGAGGAGTTCTACAAAATGGATAAAGAGACGAGTGTATGGAAATGAATGTGATGATTAATGGATGGACGACTTCGGGCTGTCCCAGACGTCCAAGGTGGCCACCGAGAGCAGCCTTCCCAATACGCTAGATTGGACTGGCCAGGACTGGACGGCCATGGCAAAAGGGTCGCAGAGGCATGTGTATCGTAGCAACGCCCCAAGCAAATAAAGGGGGATGGGGGCGTCTACAGTAAAGTGTCGCAGATTCCAACTACATGTATCGTGCAAAAAAAAAAGTGTCCTCTGCACCGTAAACGGAGCCGCAAGAGGACTTGTTGCAACGGACACTCAACTAATTTAATTTGAAGTTGCAAACACACGTTAAAGATATGCTGAAACTATGAATGTAATGTAAACTATTACGTTTGCTATTCTAGTTTGACAAGAATTAGTGCATCCTGGTATTTTCGATCTCGTCAATCATTTGCTCGTACTCCTTCAGCCGAGACGGGCTTCTATCGTTAAAGGTGTGGGTATCCATAGCATGTTGCTGGTGCTGATGCTGTTGTTGCTTCTGCTGTCGAATGTGTGAGAGGTACTCTTCCTCATTGTCGCCCTCGCTGCTGTCGCTATAGTCATAAAACTGGTTCTGATGGTTGTTGAGGCTCTTGGAGTACTGATACGTTTGTTGATTCTGCACTGGGGCAGAAGCTGCCTGCTGCTGAGTAGACACTGAGGCATTGGCCATGTACGGAGCCGGATTCTTGTTCCACGGTACCTTCAACATCTCCAGCTCACGCGTAATAGAGTCGACCGAGTCGCGGTTGGATGTACCTTGATGAACATCGTCATATTGGTAATGATGGTTGGATTCATGACCATATTGGTAATCATTGTCGCCATACTCATCCCTCTGTTGTACTTGTTGATGCTCATCACCTCCGTGACCATAAGACTGCATGTAGTTGTTGCCCTTTGAAGCGGGCTTGGCTGTTTGCTGGACGCTTGATAACAAAGGCGATACTGCTGCACCTCCAACAGGGCTGTCGCTCTTGCTGTTACCACTACCGTTCCTGATGCTGTTGATCAATCGGTGCGCGTTCGTAGCAGGAGAAGTTTGGTGTGAGTTCCGGTTCGAAGAAGACGTAGGCGTTGATCCAGATGCGGTTTTGCTGAGCTGGCTGTTCAGCTGCTGATGGACCCCAGCGAGGTTGGCGGAGTTAAGAGGCGAGTTGGGATTCGAGGCGTCGGTCATGCCACTCTGCATGTTGTCGAGCAAAAGGCTCACCTTCTTCTCTGTCTCAGAGAGCCGGGCCTCGAGCACAGAGTTGTCGCCCTCCAAGATCTGGATCGTCTCCTGCGCCTTCTTCAGTCGTTGCTCCAGATCTTGGCGCTGCTTCTCCACTTGTTGCAGTGCCTCAGAATTCTGGTCCGATTTATTGGCAGACGCCGTGACGGCAGCCGCCTGGGCCTGCAAAGTATGGTCAAGCTGACTTTCGAGCTGCTCGTTCAAATCAAAAGCTTCGTCCAGTTCCGTCTGCTTCGTATGAAGTTTTTCCTGGACCTGGTGGATCTCGCTCACGAGTCGCTCCACATCCGCCTTGAGTTGATCCTCCTGTTTGGCAGCCTTGCTCTTGAATTCCTCCGATTGATCCTGGAGCGCCTCAAGTTCATCCGCGATGGCCTCATTAAGACTCTCGACCTCTTGCAGGCGCTCTGTAATCGAGATGACCTTCTGGGAGAGCTCTGCCGAATGCATCTCAGACTCCATCAATCGATTCTGGAGATTGTTCAGCTGGTCAGACAGCTCGCCACGCTCTTCGCTCCAGTGCATCTTTAACATCGTGATGCGCTCTTCTTCCTGCTCCTTCTGGCTATTTTGTACAGCAGAGAGATCGCCGCAGCGGGCATGTTCCTCCTGGAGTTGCTTTAGTTCTGCCTCAACTACATCCTTTTCCTTCATGGTTGCTTCCAGGTCATTCTTTAGCTTGCGGAGCAAAAGCGCAGTCTTCTCAGAGTGCTGGATCGTAGCCTGGCGTTGGGTCTCGAATGTCTCAAGGCGTTGGGTGTAGCGGCTGTGGGTCTCCTCGAGATCCTCCTCCAGTATCAGAGCACGTTCTTCAGCTTGCCTGACCTTCTCCTCCATCGATGTGGTATACTCTGCTGTGCCGCGGACACGAGCCTGCATGATGACGTCCTCAGCAATGATACCCTTCTCACGCATGACATCTTTCAGCAATCCCAGCTGCACCTCATGATCTTCCAGCTCCTTGATCTTGGCCTCCAGTTCCTGCTCGGTCCTGCTCAGGCCGTTCTTGACCTCTGCGGCACTCTCACGCTCCTGAGACAGCATCCTTTGGAGCGAGATTGTTTCTGCGCGGGCTTGCATCGAGAACTGCTCCAGTCGCGAGATCTCAATCATAGCCTCTGCCAGCTCAGTCGCGGACTTGGATGCCGACTCCTGCGAGAGTGCATGCAATTTCTTGAGTGAACCCAGCTCGTGCTCCAACTCTGATACTCTGGAAACAGTGCTGAGAATGGCAATGCTGTCATGCTTGCGCTCTGGCGCCTTCTCGGCCCTACCACGAGGGCTGAAGGCTCCAAGACCATCCTCCACCAGTTTTCTGAGTGTGATGACTTCGTCCTTTGAGACCTGCCATCTGCTCTCCAATTCCTCGACCTTGGACTGCAACCGCTCTGATTCGCCCTTGTACCGGTTGACGTCGCTTGACAGCTCCAATCGCAAGCTTTCCAATTTCTCAATCTTGAGAGATGTCTCGTCGGAACGAGCCTCGGCGCGCATGGCCCGTTCATTGGCCATAGAGTAGGCCATTTGTGCCCTCTCGAGAGCCTTCTCGTGCTCCTCAATCTGCTGCTTCAGGCTCTTGACCTTCTGAAGCAAGCCCGACGACTGCGACTGGTGTCCCGAGAATCCAGCTTGGGTTTCGGCCAGCTGACTCGCGTACTCTCTCACCTCGGCCTCGGCCTTCGTAGCACGATTATGCAACGAAGCAAGTTCGGCAAGCGCGCGGGTGTGAGCAGCCTGGGACTGGTCTGCTAGCAGCGCGGAGCCTTGAGACCGCTCATCAGCCGCGATACGCGACATTTTTTCTTGCTCGAGATGTTCTTGCGCTTTAGTGTACTGGGTATCCAGCGCCTCGAGTTCGTTGAGGGCACTGGTCAAGCGCTTCTCAAGATCCGCAGCACGCTCCATTTCAACTCGGGCTAGTGCGTTGGGATCCTGCTGAGCGTTCGACATCGACGACAATTTAGCCTTGAGATAAGCAGCCTCTTGTAGCGCACCTGTCCTAACTCGCTCGGCCTCTTTGATCTTGGACGATGCTGCTTGCGCTTGAGTTGCAATCGACATCTGAGTGGATAAATTTAGAAGGATAGCATTAACAACAAAGCACAGCCCGCTATCATAGTGTCCAGCCAGACATCATTGAAATTGACTTTACCTTGACAGTCTTGAGCTCCTCCTTGACTTTGATGAGTGCCTTCGTGATCTTGAGCTGCTGTCCCTCCAGCTCTCCCCTCTCCAGCTCCTTTTCCAAGTCCAACATTGACAAGCGTCGGTTTTGGAAACTAACCGAGTCCTTCGTCTCCTTTCTGTTGGGTGCAAGAGAATCCCTGGCCAGAATCACCTCGGCCATAAGCCAGTTCTCTCGTTTTTTCATCTTTTCCAGCTCCTCATGCTTGGCCTTGATCTCTTGCTTCAGCAGCTTATTTTCGTCCTGAACTGCCTCAGCACGGGATTCGATCGACTTGATCTTGGCCGTGCCCTGTGCCGAGGTACGTGCTGTCGAATCAGTCGATAGAATTGCTGAGGATGGAGCGGGGCCAATTCCGAGACCAAATCCAGAGTTATTCGAGCCACTAGATCCACGAGCCGCAAATCGACCGGACGCTGGTGAGGAAGAGCGATCGAGTGGACCTGGAATGGGCGTCGATGACCCAATTGAATGAAGTGGTGGCGGCAGTGGTTGAGCCTGGTTGGACTTTTTGTCCGCGCCAGGAGGAAGTGGAATAGAACCCGACACAGGTGGCGAAGGAGTTGTTGGAGGCGGTGGGAGGTTGCCGCGCAGGACGCTGGGTGAAAGCAGAGGAGCATTTGCTGGGATGCTTGATCCGCCTGCAGGGGCGACTCCGCCGGGAGGCGGAGGGGGGACGTATGAGCCCGCTCCGGCCTGAGCGCTCTGGGCTGCTGGAGGAGGGGGTGCAAAGGCAGTGATGGCTTCCATTGCATAGGGATTGATATCTTCAGTATTGCTAATGGAGCCCGAGGGTGGGACAAAGTTCATGGTGCGGCGGTCTTGTGGTCGAGATGCAGTTGGGCTACCATCGCCTGTACTAGAGAGTGACCGCGACGAAAGCGGAGGACTAGTTGAGGAAACATTGATGACCCTCAACGGAGATGGGCTTGCCACGCCCATACTTGGGCTGGTGGGCATCTGATGCATTGTCCTACGATTAACGCTAGCGCTGTTGATAGGACTGGCGGTACCAATGACGGCGCCACCGTATCCTCCCTGAAAGTCGTCCCTCAAAGTCTGGCGGCGGGTAGCGATCGACAAACCATCTGCCTGATAATCGTTCATTGGGCCTGAGGTCTGGATTCCTGCGCTAGCTCCTCGAGGCGGTGGTGCACCAAACGTGGTTAGGGGCCGCTGGCCAAGCTGAGGATTTATCAACTGGCTGGTTTGCTGTGAGATAGTGAGGCTGGATGATGAACCTTGACGATCCATGGGTCCGAATGCCGCGGGGGACGTAGGTCTCTGAGTAAGGCGGCGATCTGGTCTGTCTGGTCTTTCAGGGCGATCGGGTGCACGCTGCTGCCCCGAGTTCCTGTCAGACTCATATTCACTAGAACCGGGCTGCTCTTGCACGGAAACTTCGCTAGGTCGGTTCGAAACAAGTTTCTGAGACGATGCTTGACGGGGAGGAATCATTGTTGGTCCAGAGTCAGGGAAACGAATCTTGGCTGTAGAAGCCATTATTGTTTTTGGTTAGTCTCATACTTTCCTATGTGTAGAATGCATTGATTCGCAAGGTATCATCGTATCATTATAGTCCGCCATTGCACTTACGAATCTCAAGATAATATATCAGCGCAGAGTCCTCCAGCTTGGTCTGCTCTGATTCTCCGCCGAGGACAAATACCCGATCCTTGATTGTGCACATTGAGTGGCCACTTCTTGGACTAGCCACAGGTCCGACGTTTTGGAAGAGATACCAACGACGCTCTATTCCATAATACAAAATACTTGTTAATAAGTCGTCCTTAACCTGTTGGTACCGTAAGAATGTATCCTCAATGCTGCTCACCATGAATCTTGAAAGCGTAGGCATCGTTTAGTTCAGTCCCATCAGGGCTGTTTCCGCCGAAAATATACATGATTCCGTCCGCGACAGTGCAAGCGTGTCCATGGCGACCCGTTGGAAGATATCCAGAAGCTGGGATGGGCGTCCAGGTCAGGGCCCAGGGATCAAAACACCATATGTCGTTGTAGAAATAATCTGCATCGGCGCCTCCAAATACGTAGATCTTGCCCTCATGTACGCCCGCACAATGGCCTGAACGAGCAGGAGGCGACTCTGTCTGCGGCTCGAGCTTTTCCCATCTTGGGTTATGTGTGACTATGGGTGTCATAAAAACAAAGAGGAAGGGTGTCAGGGTCCGAACTCTTTTGCTAGGGAACACTAGGGCAAGCGGCCTTTTTGGGTAGCCAGGGGATACATACTTGATTTCATGTCAAAGGCTGCGATGTCGTCCAGGTAGAAATTATCGACCTGACCGCCAAAGATGTACATGGTCGTCCCTACACTGCATCCTATGTGTGAATGGCGGGGCGTGGGCAGGGGCCCCTTGATTGGCGGCTTGTTCCACTCCTTCCTACCCGTATGCAGCACATGGAGACTATCATCACATTGACCAGTCATCGAGTCCCAACCGCCAAAATCTGTTGGAAATGAATTTGAGAAATACAGTTAACGTCGCTTACTTAACCTGCCCCTTTTTTGTATCACCTGAAACAACTGTCCGCAAAGGGGAAGTGCTAAAATGGATCATCGACAGGATGTAGAAGACATACATATGATATACTGGCCAATATTTACGGCGGAGTGGCCGCTCTTGGCCATCGGGGGATCAGCGCCAGCAGCAGCAACTGCTTGACACTCCAGCGACACTAGTGGCGAGATGGAAAAGAAGAACACATTGGAAGAAGTCATTAGCAGAGAACAGTTTCGTTTCACCTTTTTGGTTGATGACACACGCATATGCGCAAGCATTTGGGAATGTAGCCTAGGTTGTTTGTTTATACACCAATCTTGAGGAAAGAAACCTCCTTGGAGGGAACGAGAGAGCTCATTTGCTCATCTTCACTTTTATGAGCCCAATGTAACGCTGCATTAAACAACAAGACCATCCTCTTAGCGGCATTCCTAGCCATACATCCATTTAGCTGGGAGCCTCACTCCTCTAGACCGTATGTCGCCGTCAACTCCAAGAAAGCAAATTGCACATGCTTACCAGAGTCAATAAGAAAGAGATCTCCCTTGGTCGTTCCGCGTTGACTGCCACCATACAAGTAAATATCTGTTCCATTCACGGTTATGGAGCTCGTATGCTGAAATCGTGGGAACGGATTCGTCCCCAAGATTCGCCGCTGGGTCCAGAACAACTGAGGTGTGGCCGGAACGGCCGCCGGATTTGACCCTGATGATGCGAATGTCGGACTGTGCAGCTGTGTCGGTGAGGGCGGACTATACATAGGTGAATATGTTTGCTGTGGTATAGGACTCATGGGACTCAAAGGCCCGTTCCCTACAGGCCCTCCAGGTCCAAAAGATGGAGAAGTGCTGTGTCCATTATGATTATTACTTCCACTGTTTGGGACGCCGCCTTGCATGCTGCTGCTGCTGTTGTTAAAGCCATGGAGGCCATTGGGAGAAGGAGGGGGTCGCTGCTGTTTCACGCCCATATTGCTGCTCTGTTGGTTATTAGTCGAAGCCGGATCCTCTTTTTTCTTGTTCGAAAAGAGACCCATGGTGATAGAAGATAAGAACTAGGCAGAAGGGAGATAAAGTGGCGGTAGTTTGACGGCTCTGAGCCCAGGTGCAAGACAAATGGCGGGTGAGGATAATGCGCGAGGGATGTAGTCGTTCAGGCAAGAATGAGAGTGGAACAGAGACTGGGCATGCCTCGGGTGAACAGTGATGAGTGTAGAAGTGTAGAAGAGGGATGAGGAAGGATGATGAGGAAAGAAAAGTGATGAAAGACGAGTTGAGCTCAGCGCGGAAAACAAGATGTTTTCTTTTTTCATAAATTGCCTTTGTACGACCTGAACCATTCAAGGCGCGTACTGGTCTGTATGCATCGGATATCATGTTGAACCACATGTATTCAGACAAATCCTTTCCTTTTGTCTTTGTTCCCAAGATACGACACGCAGCAGACCGGGGAGCCGGATGGCCACAGCAAGGTCCAGGGAATCTACATGTACTCAAATCCACCCATGCACGGATGCCCATGCGTCTCTGCATGTGTGGCCTGCATTGCATGTAAAAGGCAAGGCGGGGTTTATTCTGAAGTATAACTTAAGAATCCAGAGCACTTTTCCATGCGCGGCTGCAGTAGCCCACCTGCCTTCGGCTTGTCTAGCCTGGAGCTTTTCTCCCCCATTTTGGCCAATGCCGATCGTCGGTTTCATGTTGAATTCCCGCCACCAATTTCCAGGAACATCATTCAATGTCGCCGTAAGCAAACTTCCTTCCCACAGATCAGTCTTTTTGCATTACTTTTTACATTACTTTATTCTTGTCTACGATGCTACTTCAAGCACCTCCACGAAACAGAATCTCAACAGCACCGTTCACATTCCCACCAGTGGCCAGCAATGCCCGGATGTTCTTGGCTGCATCGTAGAACCCCATTTCATTCAACTGCTTCAACTGGATCTGGAATCGCTCTTCGGGAGGTTGCTGTGTCTGGTGAGGAGTCGTCCCAGTCCTGGCTCCCATGGCTCCCATCTGCTGTGCCCAGAAGCTGGCCGTTGGGTTCGCAGTCGCTCCTGTTCCACCGAGTCCAACAAAGGGGTTGAAAGCGGGCATCCACGCTGCTCCCCCAGCGCCTTCAACTCCAGCCGTCGCAGGATTTGATGCAGGTGATGCCGGCGTGGATACTGCACTACCCCATGGGCTATATGTGCCTGCTCCTGGACTGCCCATAGTGCCACTCATTGCAAGCCGGCGCAACATTTCGGGATTTGAGATCATTTGCATAAATTGTGGCGAGTGCAACATCTGTCGAGCCTGAGGGCCCATTGCCTGTAATGCTGGGTTCATTGACATCATTGACTCTAAGACCTGCGGATTCTGGAGCATGGCGGACATGTACTGCGCAAAGTTTGGGTCCTGCATCATTTGAGACATAATCGCGGGATCCATGCCCCCCATTCCTGGCATGCCTGCCATACCGCCAAATCCACCTAGTCCTTCAGGTCCGCTCGCACTACTACCGCTCGGAAGATTAGTCCATGGATTTGGTAATGCTCCTGTGCTGGGTGAATCTATTAGGGTTTAGTAAGGTCAAGGTCAACAAAGCAAATATTCGTTTCACAGTGCAAATTTGACAGCAGAATGCCTCATACCTCGAGTCGCCGAGGTCTGAGATGCAGGGTGTGGTGCTATCGTTGGTACTGTGGCGGCGGCTGGTACTGTAGTCGAGGTGGCAGTAGCAGTACTACTGGGCGGTGCTGCACTCCGCACCATGTGCACGGTGTGTCCCTCAGCAATGTTGTATGTCGCAAGCGTATCTCCGTCCTTGAGGACTCTACCAGAATAAATCAGCCTCATACGCTCCGCAGGCGTCTCGCAGTTCTGTCCCACTTTAGCCTTGAGGCTGAGTACTGTTTCTGAGGTAGCGACAGAGATTACATATTTCCGATCGCTGGATGCCTTGATGTTGATGGTGATCAGGTCCGACATGGTGGAATGAGCGCAATCTTTCTTTTTTTCAACAGGAAGAAGTGAAGGAGCTGAGGGAGGAATATGAAGAGTGGAGAAGAATGAAGAGACAGAAGATCGTGAGGTCCCAAGAGCTTTGAGCAAAGGAGAGATACGACCAAAGAACTGCTTCAAGCTTCAATACCCTGGGCGAAGGCACCTGGTACCTGAGGGTCAAGTACGTACAAAGTTAGACTCTCTTACGTATGCCGGGATTGGTCCGATCGCTTCCTGCATCAATCGAGCGTGGTCGCACAAGCACGCAACAAGAAACTTGTATCACTCTCCACAGACGTATACGCACTTGCCTCGTACGCACTTTGTTTTGAGCCCAGCACTTGCTCTTTTTTTTTTTTTATTTCGTTCTGAGAAGCAGTTTAATAATTGATCCAGAAATCAAGCGGGAACAGAGATCTCATGGCATGCCAGTGGTCCTCCGCCCCAATGCGCTGCATCGCGTTAAGCGTGTTATTTCGATCGAGGATCAGCTCTCCCTTAGTTGGATCATAAGGCGTTGAGAGCGGCCATTCCTGAAAACTGGTCAGAACCCAATCCCGCATGACACTGGGCCGCAACGCATGATCGATGTGGCCGCCTTGCTGTTGCGACATCATAATATCCTCTTGAGATGGAGCAGGCGGCGGATCATACAGATCAAATTCGATCGGGATCTGAGCGGCGAAAAAGACCATGTTTTGATACGCCTCAGGATCATCGGGGCTTTCCTTGAACCCAACCACATGCTTGAAGGCCGTGTGCAGTGTGCGACGCACAGAGTTAAGTGCCTGGGCTTTCAAAGGATGCTCTGAACCCACCATGTTCTAGTGACATTGAGTACGGCAATTGCAACAAAAAATCTGTTCAATAATCGGCTTCCAATCTTCCACCAAGCAAACAGAAAGAAAAAGAAATAAAGACATGCTCTTAACGCATACATACCAAGGCGAGCACACCATCGGGTTTCATGATCCTTTGAATGTCCTGTAATGCCTCCAGAGAAAACAAAGATGGTGGGACACCACCACCCGTAAACACATCATGGATTATGTAGTCGTATTTGCCCTTGGGTGCATTCTTGATAAATTGTCGTCCGTCCTGAATGAAAAGCTGGTGGGGCTTTGGCCAATCGAAGTACATAGACGCGTAATCGGCGACAACTGGGTCGATCTCTACCACATCAACAAGCACACCTAGCTGAGTCAAGGAGCCTGACGCGATGCCTACTCCCAACCCACTAGTATGGTTTCGTGGTCGCACGGATGAAGAGATGTTGCTGTCAGTTCGATTGACGCATTCCCGGGTTTGAACCTTATTTTGGGGTGCGATCGGTGGGAAGAAGCTGTTCAAGTCCTTACATTTGAAGCGCTATTTCCTGCTGACTCCTCTCACGATTCTTGATCAATCGGACAGCTAGCCGTTTATAAGGAACGCATTAGTTGCTATACTAGATCATATGACCATGACATGTCCTTGTACACGTCTGTCCTTTCCCATATGGCAGGCATCCTCTTACCTTCTGGGATGTAAAATGTGCCAAAGATAGAATCGCCTGTTTCTGCATACATTCCACCGATCAATGAATGTCCAGCACGCATAACTCGAATATGGAGGTCGTTTCTCATGGCGTGCTCGTCCACGACACTGATCCATCCAGTAATGCTTTCATTTCTTGCCAGAATCGTAAAGTTGCCTGTGGGTGGATTGTGGGCCTGTATTGCAAAGACAAGGACATAGTAAGTCAATAAACCCTATGGTCATAAAAAAAACTGCTCTTTCCATTCTTACCTTAGTCACACTAGCCTGGCACTGAGGGTTTCGCGTAGCGTTTTGAGCGGCCATAGCCAGGACAAGCACAAGCGGGATGAAACTCATCGCTAGCGATGCTCGACTTAATGCAGTCTTGGGTTTTCTCCTGCTCTCCAATCGTTCGTCCGGTAACGCCACTTCTCCATGGATAAATGTCAACACTAACGAGACAAGGGATTAACGAGTGTTAGATCCGATTTGCAATCGATAACGAGTAAGATTGACATTTTGATATGAGAGCCGCAATCAGATTTTTTGTTCATTACTCTTGTGAAGTCCAGAAATGGCTGCCACCAAGATGGCGGATATATACACGCGGGGACAGTTCTGACCCTGAGGCACCATCTGGAACACAACCAGTGTCAGTCCCAAGATCGACCCTACCTGGATCAGCACGCAGCTCATCCATGTTCTCACATGAACGCGCTCATATGAACGCAGAACGCACGCCAGTGCATTGGTGAATCCCAGTAACGCAAGCACGGGGTAAGCGAGGAAGAGTTGCGTCAAATGCGGCCCTCTCCAGGGTCCAAACTCTCCACTGTGCTTGAACATGGCATGGGTCGTGAAGAAGGAGCTGGCCAAAAACAAGGCACACATGTCCAGAGACACAACGATGCCCTTTCGAAGTTTCGCGTCCTTTCGAAGACCAGCGGCTGCGATAGCCGCTTCAGAAATAGACTGCGTATAGGCACTGTCGTGAGCCGCTTTATCTCCTGATGACGACGATGATGACGGGTGGCTCCTGTCCGATCCTGCGAAATACGTGTAGATCACCGCCGGCACGACTCCCAATCCCACGGACACCATCGAGTACTCCAGAAACATTTCCTCAATAAAAATGCTGCCGTAAATGGGTTCCATCATGTTGGGCGCCACGCGCAGGGTCATGCCCGCAACCAATGGCGTGAGAATGATAAGGGACGCCCGAGTGACGGTAAGGAGGAGCTCCAAAAGCATAGTCTGTGAATGCGGTGGTTTGGCGCCAGTCTTAGCGCTCGGCTTCGCGCTGCCGCCATCGATGGTACTCTTTTCTGAGGCTTTGTAGGATGCTGTGGAAGAAAGCGAGGAGGAGGAGGAGTAAACTCGCTGAGCAGTAGTTGAAGAGGGATCGGCGCCACGAGAAGACGAGGAAGTGTGAATGACCGATGAAGACGATGAGAATGCTGTCGTCGAGTCAGTGCTCTCGCCCTGCTCCCTCTCACTGGCGCTGGACTGATTCCCGTGCTTTCGTTGCTTCATCGTGTGGTGCTTTGAGATGAAAGTGAGATGAATTGGATGAGTACAGTCGAGATGGAAGGGACAGCCTTTCAGAGTGGTCTCCTTCAGCCCGCAAAGGTACCTGAACCTTGTTTTGACATTTGTCTGACAAGAGCCGTTAAAAGTGCAGGAACATTTTGACCGCAGCCATGCATAGCGCCTGACAGCAGCCGTTGACACGCATCCCAACTCCAATTCCACCTTCAATCATTACTTGCACACTCATATTCAACAATCCCCGGCCTTCCAGGGACACGCTCGAAGAGACTCTCTATAAGAGTGCTCCTACTGCATGACACAAGTTCATCTTTACGCCATAAGATAGATCTGTAGTGCAAAGGGGCGATGTCAGGAGATGGTGCCGTGTCTAAAGCCCGAAACCGAGATATTTCCTCTCAGAGTCAGACCAACCGACGCTTAAGATACCCGATAGCAATGTAGAAACCTCCGTGGAGGGCGCTGATGAGCGACTGTCTATTCTATCTATCTGTACAGGGCCTGCGGACGTCGTTTCTGTACTAGCCTCACAGTATCATCGATGCTCCTTCTGAGAAAAAAAATTCCCCCCATCTGAAGATCGACGCCAGCGCAAAAGCACGCAGCCCTTGTCTATTTCAGGCTCTCGATTTTACATTGCCGAGGCATAATATAACGATGCACCAACTCAGAAGACGGCTTCGCCATCATCTGTGTCGCTCTTTATTTTCAATCCCAAACAATAGCCCTGAACTGTTTCCTCCTTTACTTCACTGGCACTTCCTCTACATCACGCCTAATCTCACACACACACTCGCATAAATTGCTATACACTCCCTTAACGCTCGCAATCGAGTAATTTCGCTCACCCACGCGAAACAGCAGCTCTGTGACCCACCGTTAGCACTATGCATCCGCTAACGCAAGCTATGTGTCTAAGGTGTTACAAGGTTTCCACACCCTGATCCTGTCACCTTCAGCGCTCCTGCGAACCTTGCTGCTCCTGTACAAACTACATTAGTAGGTACTCTCTATTCTGCTGCCAGACCCGTCCTTTGCCTTCTAAGAATTCATTCCATGGACCGCACACGAATACTCTCGAGCGGCCTACTAACTGGCACATTTACCTCCACTTTTAGGGTGACTTGACCGGCTAAGCAAGAATGTCCGAGGTTAGGCTCGTTCCCAGCCTGAGGACGCAGACAAGTCCGTTACCATAAATGGAAACTCTGCACAATCTTTCTCTCTCAGGCTGGGATAGAACTTGAGTTATTAGCAGGGACCAGAAAAAATAAAGGAGAGCAATTTTTTCAAAGTCGAAAATAGGCTGTGAAGTGGTTCTTTTGCATGCAAATTATCTGCCGCACTGAAATAAATAAAAAAAAAGTAGGCGTGCATGCCCTGAAGCTGCCTGACAGATTTGAACGGTGTCTTCGGGAAGCTGCCTCTTGCGGTGCGCCGCCATGGAATCTGAAATAAGACACTGTCAGTCGGAGATGCAAAGGCGGAAAGGTGGGAGTATGAAGAAAGGAGAGAAGAGCTGAGAGAGGAACGAAATGTGTGAGTCGATAGCATGCTTTTTTTTTTTTTTCCGGTCCCTGCTAATAACTCGAGTTCTATCCCAGCCTGAGAGAGAAAGATTGTGCAGAGTTTCCATTTATGGTAACGGGCTTGCCTGCTGCCTGCACGTGATGGCGTCCTTAGGCTGGTTACGAGCCTAGTCCGAGGTCCCAGCAACCCACCCTCCCGGTTCACGGGATAAATTAGGCAAGGTTCCGAAACCCATTCCTGAGACCCACATCAAAAAGGGGGCATTTAGGGAGATCTACAGATGGAATAGGTATGGGACCATGATGGCCGTGAAGAGCATCCAGATTGAAGCTGCCCACAACACTGACATTGAGAGAGAGACGAAGATTGTATCTCAGCTCGCACACAGGCATATCATCCAGGGCTATGGCGTGGAGCAGGACGGCAACTATGTGTACATCATCACGGACTATGCTGAAGGCGGCAACCTCATGGGTGCTACTCCGAAACTGGACTGGGACAGCAAACGAAGGATTGTGACGGAGGTGGCTCGTGGTTTGGCGTATCTTCACAACCAGGATATCTTGCACAGAGACATCAAGGGAGACAACATCTTGCTGACGAAGCACAACGAGGTCAAGCTGTGCGATTTTGGGCTGGCTAAGATCATAGCTTCGGCTACGCGCTCTTCGACATACACACAAAAGGGAACCCCGAAATGGATGGCACCAGAATTAAAAGTCGTGAAACCCGAGTACTCAACCAAGTCTGATATCTATACACTCGACGTTGTGATGGAGGACATGGTAAACGGAGACGCGCCTCTAGACTACACTGCACTCATGACACGATGCCTTGACAAGGATCCGAAGAAGAGGCCGACGGCAGAGGAGATCGCGGATGCGTCCCATATTATGCTCGCAGTTTACGACAATGCTGGCGGAGGTGGAGCGGTTAAGGCAGCTCAAGAGGAGTCGGCCGAGGTGGAATATGAGCTGGGACTAAAGTTCTACAATGGAGACGGAGTCAAATGCAATCGAGCCGAGGCCGCAGAGCGATTCAGGAGGGCAGCGAACATGGGACACGCGATTGCCCAGTACCGCCTGGCCATGGTGTACAGCCACGGAGATGGTACTCTGCGAGACTGCACCAGAGCAGTAGAGTGGCAGCATAGGGCCGCGAACCAGGGATATGCTCCGGCTCAATCGTATCTTGGTTTCCTCTATCTTACCGGTGGAGAAGGTGTCCCGCAAGATTATCGGAGGACTTTAGAACTATTTGAGGCAGCAGCTAACCAAAAAAAAATGACGCGGTCTGCACCGACTTGGGCTGGATGTACCACAGTGAATCTGGTATGACTCAGAGCTATGAGAAAGCTACCACATGGTATCTGGAGACCGTAGAACGAGGATATACTGTAGCGCAAACCTACTTGGGTATATGCTATTTCCACCAACAAAATTTTACCGAGGCAGTTAGATGGCTATCAAAGGCCGTCGAACAAGGAAGTGCAGACGCGCAGTACAGTCTGGGTTGCATGTACGACCGAGGCCAAAGTGTTGAGCAAGATGATCCCGAGGCTGTGAAGTGGTGGAACAAAGCTGCCAAGCAGGGATTACAGAAAGCGCAGTACAACTTAGCTCATTCGTGCCTGAAAGGGAAAAGTGTTCGTAAGAATGACCTGAAAGGCATCAATTTGTTGCGAGAGGCGGCTGATCAGGGCTATGCTAGAACTCAATACGAACTGGTGGTCCACTGGTCATCCTTTAAGGTCTATGGCACTCTTGCTGTGTTGAGTCATAAATACATAAATTGTTGGTCTACAGAAGACGTGTCCTAGCAGGCATGACATTAACTGGCCATATTACATCTCTCCTTTTCAAACACATACACACATACGCACTCTCTCACTTTATTCCTGTCTTTTCTCTTTCTCCTCGGCATTCCACACATAGTTCCCTTGTAATTCCTTGACATTGTCCGCCTGCGAAGAAGGTTTACTAACTGTCTTGGTGTAAAATATTCAAACACGGCCCATTGGTTCCATTAAGTTTCTAACACTGCTTTCGTCTGCCTAATAGACAGTGCCTTATTTGCTACATCACCAAACGCGTTCAGCGAGATGGAGGGAATCATATTAGGAAAGAAGATAGGCCACGGAGGACAAGCAGAGACACCCAAGGCCAAGTATGGGATAAAGGATGTGGCGGTCAAGAGGTTCCTAGACCCGAGCACGAGGACTACAGGCGCGAGGGAGCCATCTTCAAACAAGTGTTAAACAGGTATAGCGTCCGATTCTATGGTTTTCGAAGAGACCAGCTGGTGGTGGAGTACATCGAGGGTGGCAGTCTATCACACGCCATTCTAAGTGGTGCTGTCTTGGACTGGGAACGCAAGATGCTGATCGCGAAGCAGGTCTCGTTGGGTCTGGCCCATCTCCACTGCCCCACATCCACTGCCTGGACATCATCCACTGCAACCATCAAGAGCGACAACATCCTCCTCAATCAGTACGGAGATGCCAAGGTATGCGGCCTTGGACGAGCGCACATGGTTGTTCAGGCAGGCGAGTACGGTACACTTCCATGGATGGCACCCGAGCGGTTCAAGGACCCGCCCCAGATCTCGCCCAAGTCCGATTTCTACGCTCTAGGGATGGTCATGTGGCAGATAGCTGCCGGGTGCAGGCAGCCGTACGAAGTACACGACCCAGATGGCATAACAATGTGCATTATGGAGGGCTATAACGAGGAGATCCCAGAGGACACACCCGAGGAGTATGCAGCCTGCATCCGTAATTGCTGGAAGCAGGAGCCGAAGGAGAGGCCAGCAGCAGAGGATGTACTACCGAATGTACATGATACACCGCAGGACAACGGTATCGATGTCCTCAAGATCCGGCAAGGTGAGAACGCGACTATAAGGTATCTGATGAAGGCTGTCAGACAGGGCTACCACTCCTCTTTTCAGGGAAGATTTACTAAACCGGTACGGTAGTGGAAAAGGACCTTTCCGAAGCCATGGAATGGTGTCTCAAGGCAAGCGACAGTGGGGTGGCATACGCTAAATTCAATATCGGCAAGATGTACCAAGGTGGCGTTGGCGTGGAACAGGACTTTGGCAGGGCTATGGAATGGTATTTCAAGGCAAGCGATACAGGAGACTCGGACTCCAAGTTCAGCATCGGCTTCATGTTGCTCGCTGGCCTCAACGTGGAGCAAGACTACGCCAAGGCTATGGAGTGGTTTCTCAAGGCGAGCGGCGGTGGATCGGCTGAGGCCAAGTATAACATCGGCCACATGTACCACAAAGTTCTCGGCGTCGACCAGAACCACAGCACGGCCATGAATAGTATCTTAAAGCAAGCGATGCAGGAGACTCGGACTCCAAGCTCAGCATCGGCCTCATATTCCTCGATGGCCTTGGCGCGGAGTAGGACTACACCAAGGCTATGGAGTGGCATCTGAAAGCAAGCGAAGGTGGGTCCGCAGACGTCAACTACAACATCGGAACCTTGCACCTTAATGGTCTTGAAGCAAAGATGGATTATGCCATAGTCATGAAGTGTTCTCTAATGGCAAGCGATGCTGGAGATACGGAAGCCTAGTACAATATCGGACTCATGTACCGCCATGGTCTTGGCGTAGAACGGGACTATGTTAAGGCCATGGAGCGGTTTCTTGAGGCAATCGATGGTGGAAACTCTGCTGCAAAGAACCAGATAGGTATTCTGTACCGTTTTTGTCGCGGCGTGACACAGGATCACGGAGTGGTATCTCGGGGCAAGCGCTGCTGGAGTGGCTGAGGCTACATTCACAATTGGCAACATGTACTATATGCCAATCGGCTTGGAGCAAGAATCATAAAGCTATGGAATGGCATCTCAAGGTGGCTGAGAAGCTACACAAGTAGAAATATCCACGAATGAATGCGAAGAGAAGAGCTGCGTCTATCTGATAGAGCATCTTCCTCTGCAACCATAACGATTCCTGCGTACCCATACTCTAGGTGACGCTACTGAACTCAGCCTACAATCATTTTTCTCTACTGGGACTTGGGAATATTCGATGTATCTCCATAGGATGATGCTGAGGGCAGTTTAGGTCAAGTTAGAGGCGACGAGGCTGCAGAGGCTAGTGAGAAGGAAGGTGAGAGCCGAGTGAGGACTGATGCAATAAACATTCGTGGACTGGGTCAAAAAAATAACAGCTGTGCTCTTTGCATATTTGAATGCCCAAAAATTTAATTGTTTCAGGTTGCAGCAGTACACGTCCTGGTTGGTGTACAATTGACGTGTTAGCACAGCATGTCCAACATTGATTAAATTGAAATGAGCCCATTTAAATCATTTTGCTTTGCCGCCTCCAGCAGCGAAAGCAATGGAGGCGGTGCCAGGGGTGTTAATTGAGAGGCGATGTCAGGGGTGTTAATTGAGAGGCGATGTCAGGGATGTTAATTGAAAGGTGAGCTTTTCTGGGGCTGGACTTGGTTCAGGAATAGATACAAGTCCCCACTTGTGCTTGCTTTTTCTTCCTCTCTTTTTCTTTTTTCTTTTTTCTTTTTCTTCTTCCCATCTCGATAAATACCTTTCCTACACACAAACCTACTCTACATCAGCTACAACAGACGATTCTCACCCACAACGTAAGTTTAATATCTTGGTAAATTCTGGATGTCGTTCAGCGGGAACTTTTACTTGGCCTAGTAGTCTTCTAACACAGCTCGCTTGTCTACTACCTCTCCCGATGTTTGTTCACTACTCAACGCCATCTCCACCAAAACACCAAGAATATTCGACAGAATGAAGCGTATAAAGCTGGGAAAGAAGATAGGTCATCACGGAGGACAAGCAGAGACATTCAACGCCAAGTATGGGATAGAGAATGTGGTGGTCAAGAGGTTCCTGGACCCCAAACAAGAGGATTGCAGACGTGAGGTGGATATCGTCAGGCGAGTGCGCAACAAATACATCATCCAGTTCTACGGTGTGCAGGATGACATCCTCATCATGGAGTGCCTCGAGGGCGGCAGTCTAACACACGCCATTCTAAGCGGTGCTATCTCGGACTGGAAACACAAGATGCTGATCGCGAAGCAGGTCTCGTTGGGTCTAGCCCACCTCCACAGCCTAGATATCATCCACTGCGACATCAGGAGCAACATCGTCCTCCTCGATAAGTACGGAGATGCCAAGATAGGCGACCTTGGACAAGCGCGCATGGTTGGTCAGGGTTGCAATGGTTTCGCGCTTCCATGGATGGCGCCCGAGCTGTTCAAGAACCCGCCCCAGATCTCGCCTAAGTCTGACGTCTATTCTCTAGGGGTGGTCATGTGGCAGATGGCTGCCGGGAGCGAGCAGCCGTACGAAGCACACACTCCAGATGGCATAACAATGTGCATTATGGAGGGCTATAACGAGGAGATCCCAGAGGACACACCCGAGGAGTATGCAGCCTGCATCCGTAATTGCTGGAAGCAGGAGCCGAAGGAGAGGCCAGCAGCAGAGGATGTACTACCGAATGTGCATGATACACTACAGGGCAACGACTCAGATGTCGTCAAGCTTCCGCAAGAGGATGAGGATGAAGATCTGGGGTATCTGATGAATGGCGTTAGGCAAGGCTACCGGAATGCATACTACCTACTGGGAATGATGTACTTTAATGGCAAAATCGTGTCCGAAGGCGACACAAAGGCCGAGGAGTACATTCTAACGGACGGCAAGTTTAGAAAAGAGGACGCTAAACGCGATCTCAGTCACATATACAATGAGGGCCGTGGCACGGAACAGAACTATGCCAAGGCTCTGGAATGGTACCTCAAGGCCAGCGATGCTGGAGACCCAGATGCCAAGTTTAACATCGGTCACATGTATCACCGTGGTCTCGGCGTAGAGCAGGATTATGGCAAGGCTATGGAATGGTATCTCAAAGCAAGCGATGCTGGTGTGGCAGATGCCAAGTACAATATCGGCAATATGTATGACGACGGTCTCGGTATCGAGCAGGACTACACCAAGGCTCTAGAATGGTTCCTCAAAGCAAGCGACGATGGAGTGGCGACGGCTATGTACAACATCGGTCTCATGTACCTTAATGGTCGAGGCATGGAACAGGACTACACCAAGGCCATGGAATGGTTTCTCAAGGCGATCGATGCTGGGGTTACAGCGGCTACGTACAACATCGGTCTCATGTACCTCAATGGTCGGGGCGTGGAACAGGACTACACCAAGGCCATGGAGTGGTTTCTTAAGGCAAGCGTTACTGGAGCGACAGCGCCTACGTACAACATCGGTCTCATGTATCTCAATGGCGATGGCATTGAGCAGGACTACACTAAGGCTATGGACTGGTTTTTCAAGGCAAGCGATGGTGGATCGGTAGACGCCAAGTACAATATCGGCCTCATGTACCGCCATGGCCTTGGCGTGGAGCAGGACTATGCTAAGGCCATGGAGTGGTATCTTAAGGCAGGTGATGCTGGGGACCCAGATGCCACGTCCAACATTGGCTATATGTACCACAAAGGCCTCGGCGTAGGACAGGACTATGCCAAGGCTCTGAAGTGGTACCTCAGAGCCAGCGATGCTGGAGATCCAGACGCTACGTACAACGTCGGTCACATATACTACCATGGTCTCGGTGTGGAGCAGGACTATGCTGTGGCGATGGAGTGGTATTCCAAGGCAATGGATCGTGGCTCGACGATAGCCAAGGACGTGGTCGACTACTTGCATCAACATGGCCATGATGAGGAGGATTACCTCAGGGTTAAAGAGTGGTAATTCGGCGCAAGTGATACACGAGACTGAGGCGCCAATTACAGCGTTGAATAAATGTATCGGTAGTTGTTGAATGGTAGAAGAAGTGACATACCATCTACTAGTGGATGCATGCATTTGAGGAGTGGTCGGCAGCAAGGATAACTCCGAGGCAGAGAAATGGCTCAGCAAGGCTATTAATGGAGGGAGTTCTATGGAATAGGGCGCTTCAAGGATATTGTTGGCCAGCAGCCACCGAGGGTACGCAGGATTTGATATTAGGTTTTGGGGTTGTGCCTGTATAAAAGGAGGATCGAAGCCAGCGGTCTTTTGTTCCTTGTTCCAGTTGAACAAGAAGACCGTTGTGCTGATCACTCGCTACAGTGTGCGTAGTTGTGCGTTAGACCCTTGTATTCAGTGTGGAACACAAATTATTCGAGCATTCAGATTGGGAGTTTCCTTACTCCATACAACTGTAAAAGAACTATCTCCAAGCGCAACAATATTATAGGGTAGGCGAATAAATTATGGAGGTAATGCAATGCTGTATGGTTTATTGTAAAGAAGCAAGGACGTTTCAGGCGCTGGACACCATAATGAAGTTTCGTCCACGCGCGAAAACAACAACTCATTAAGAACCCCATTTGTGTTGTACCGTTTGCTGCAATCAGCTTCCTGGATGTCTAGATGCAGCCCATCGCGATCTTTTGGAATTTTGCTCGAAATCGTTTAACGAGCTTGTCTGCCATCAGCTGAGCTGAAGATGAGCCCATTCTTAGCCCATTCTTAGCCCATTCTTGTTTCATACTTGCGTCGTATATCTTTTCTCTTTTTTTCTTTCTCCTTTTCGCCACCACTACTCCACCAGCCAAGCTATGCCTCCAAAGCGAGATAGAGCAGTGGCTACGAAAGCGAAAATAGCCACGTCCAAAAAGACACGGAGGGCTCCTGCACTCTTCAAACGATCTCGGCCCAGTGGAGACTCTGACGACGACGACGACTCGGAGGAAGAGATTGAGACGGCCAAGGATTATCAGGATGCAGTGCGGCGTGTGATTCTGACCTCAACCACCAACCGATACGACGATACCTTGGAACAGGATCAGCTGGCGTTTGCTGCCAGTCTGATGATGCCGGCTACGGAGCTACAGCAGGAGGATATCATGTCAATGAGACAGGATGAGGTAGTGGGACAAAGCGAGCGCCGAATTGTGTACAGCCTGGGGACATTTTGCCTCCATGCGATCGCAAAGGACTTCAAACACCTGGCCACGAAAGCTGATGCTGCGCCTCCAGTCCGTTATGATCCGCAGCAGCAGCAAACCCCACAGCGCTTGGTGCGCCAGCAAGAGCAATGGGAAAGGCGACGGAGGACAGGGGCTCATTTTCGGAGGCAGGTACAACAATTGCCTTTCTACTTGTCCATAAAGTTGTTCAGGATCCTGAAGCATGCGAGGCCGGAACTGCTATCGACCAAGCTCTGGACCAGTCTGTTTTTCCCGCCCGATTTAGTAGATATCGTTGGTGGAAGCGATGAAGAACCAGGCGTAGTACGAGGAAATGATCACATCACAGAACTGGATCTCGAGGGCTTGGTTTCTTCTCAAGTGACCGACACCGCCATCCGTAGTCACATACTAGGCACTCTTCAACTTGGACCACAACTTGAGAGGATTAATCTGAACTTTATGGATAACCTCACGGACAAGGTCTTGGCACAACTGGTCAGTGCCTGTCCTCGATTGACGCGACTCTCGCTTAAGGGATGTACCAAGGCAGGGGATTTGACGTTGGCCAACTTGCCGCAGGGATCACTTCAAGAACTGAACATCAGCTTTGTGGCGGCGCCAACGGCCAAGGGAATCAAGCGGTTGATCCTTCAGTGTCGCGAGCTGAGAGTCCTCAAGATGGCCGGGCTTACGAATGTGAAGGATGCAATATTCCTCGATATTGAGAGGGAATTAGCTGTCGAGATGAAATTTGCCTCAGCAATAGACGATGGAGGGGACGGAAATGAATTGACCGGCCCGTCGCCGCTGTACGCACTTCAAACCCTTAAGGTATCTTCGACAACGCTGGGAGATCGCAGCTTAAAGATTCTGCTAAACTTTTGTGGGAAGTCTCTAAGACGATTGGACATCTCGGCTACCAATATTACTCGCGTTGCACTCATCGCCGATTATTGTGTTTGGGAGGAACCGTCGAACGAGTCCGACAAAATCAAGGCGCGAATGGCGGCTTCAAGGCACCCGTCTGGATCTGTCTACACGAACTTGGAGAAGTTGAACTTGACACGGCTGAAGATCGCGTCGGCCGATAGCCTCCTGAAGCTTTTCAAGGCTCTGCCTCCACACAGTCTACACACACTGCTTCTGGGGTATATCAGCTGCGCGCAAGTGCCCTTTAGCGACAGCCTTCTCTATCAGCTCTGCCCGTACCTTGAATCCGAACGTGCTAGTAATACGGATCTTGAAACTAGCATTTCTCGTGAGGAGGCACCTCCGCTGCCCGCCATCTATCCTGATCCGTTTACACCTGCGCCTGAAGTGCGTCCCGAGTTCCATCTGCATACACTCTCGCTTTTTGGAAACGCGTTCATCGGTCGATCGATACAACTGGACTACGGCCTGCACTTGCTGCTCAAACGGCTGTCCCCGTTTCTCAAGCGTCTGGAGCTTGGATATACCTACTGCAGATCTGCTATTCTCGAGGGCCTAATCGAACCCCAAGAAGAGACCGATCCCGGTGCTACCCTGTTGGCAAAAAGAGACTATTTTTCTGATAACGTTATTCTAGAGGAATTGGGACTAGACGAGACTCACATTGACGACGAAGCAGCATTAATCGTTTCTCGGTTCCGAAGACTCAATCGACTGTCACTACAAAATACGCGTATAGGCAAGGAGGCTGTGGAACAGATTGTGAGGGCATGTCCTCTCTTAGCTAGTCTGGATCTGACGAGCTGTCGTAGTATTCCTCTGCTGGATCGACGAACACTACTGAAGGATGTGAGGGAAGCGACAGCTACTAAACCAGGGGCAAAGTAGCGGGGGATGGGATTTGAGTGGACGAATTCCAAACGGCTTCGGGTAACCCTTTTTTTATGCATAATAGAAAAGGCAGACCAGCCTTCGATTCTCATCATCATCTTGTTGAATTCTCTTCCTCGCACACTGAGCAAAATACAAAATATACTATCCTGATGTAAGTGGCAGACCTTGTACCCAAGGTTGCTTCTCGAGATATCGCAACGAAGGAATTGAAGAACAAAAAGATGCCTGTGTCGAACTATCCGATTCTCTGGTGGACTGCACCTTTTCCATCCTTTGTTCAACCTAGAGTCCTTAGTTACTGAGCGATTGTTGGCTCGAGTACATGTTTACTTTTACGCAGGACAGAAATTCTTTGCAAGCAGCCATTGTCGTGTTGTTCGATGGATCACAATTGGATGCGGGCGATATACCTGCATTAGGAAGAAACGTCTCAGGCCTGGGTGCTCAACAGAGGTATGTCAGACACCTCTCCTGGCTTCTTCACGAACTCTCCGTCGCTTCATTGACATTCAGATTGGTTCCGTATAATGCTCGGTCCACCAAGCGGCTCGGGGCGTAGAAAGTCGCTCTCTTCACCAGCACCATTTACGCATATCTGGTCCTAAGGCTTCAATTCTGACGTGGTTGAGACACTCTTCCAGCCATCAGACATAGCACCTTCTCTCTCAGTCAGCGGTAAAAGCTTTTTCGAGACCGACACGTTCCTTGAGGCTGTGACAGTACCTCCGTTGGTCGACTTGGCTGAGAAGAACCGATTAAGAGCACTCATGAAGGATCAGGGCGGCAGAGCCCTGGCAGTGTGGATAGTAGGCTACGACAATGGTACTGATGCGCCGATGAGACGCAAGGGCTCGCTGAGCGGCCGTGAAAGCTATGTAGAGGCACTTCTCGATCTGATGGATGTGGATATCTACGGAACCTGTATGAATAATACCGCATGACCAGCTCATAACGACTCTCAGAGTATGTGATACCTTATTTTGTTTCATTTTTTGTGCCTTGAAAACCTTGAAAACATGGATGTACAAAGTAGTGTTTTATCTATACCCCTACACTAGAATCACTTACACTCAAAGAAATCATGGCCGACTACAAGCTTGTGTTTGCTTTGGAACGATACAATTGCCAGGACTATGTTATAAGCACTCTAGCAGATGCCTTGACTGTAGGTGCGGTTCCGATTGTGGACGGGCCCAAGGACTACAGTCGCTTTTTCCCGACAAAAAACCCACTTGTTCGACTGAACTCTTTCATCTCTCCGCAGCTCCTGGTCCGAGAACTGGACAGCTTGGACAAAAACGACGCCCTCTACCTCGAACGACTCCACTATAAAATCGTTACAACAACTAGAAAGACCAAGATTTCGCCTTCGTTCCGGGAGGCCTTTGGCAGAGTGAGGGAAACGAGAGCAGTAGACAAGAAGAGCGTTGTCGCGTGGGGTCCTAATCGATATAGTGCGTATTGCGGGATTTGTCGACTCGCACATGACCTTTCTTAAGGCATTGAAAACACACCAACCGTCTCAGGAAGCTGTGAAACGGAACCGCGATATCTATCTGCTCAGGTGAAAGCGTACGACGAATGCCTACAATAACAACAACAACAACAACATCCCTTCTCGACCCTAGAGACAAGACCAAATGAGAGCTTAATAAATGTGAAGGTCATGTTTGGTAAACTTGAGGCCGGCTTCGACCCACCTTCGACATCCGAGATGCTCCTTCTTCAGCAACAACAAGCCACGAATGGCAATGCGACGTCTCCGCCGTTCGAGATGTTCTATTTCCCGGTCTTGATCCTAGCCACGTCCATGGATGCGCGTAGGATGTGTTTTTGGCCTTCGCGATATTTGTTCTAAAGCAAGGTTCCTGGGGACGGTCGGGAGGCGCGGTTGTTGGAGAGGGTGATGTTACGCGAACTGGGCGAGAACCTGTTGTATGAGTAGCCTGGAAGCACATGTTTGTAAGTAAAATCGCGTCGTAGCGCGTAGGATACAGAGACCGTGCGCTCGTCCGTGGACAAAGACCACCCAACATTCGAAGGGAACCTGAAGGTTGTCAGGATTCATTTGTGTTTCTTCATGTTGCACACTGCTCGTGTCATGTAGATTGTCAAGCGCTCTGTTGCTCCTTGAATCTGTGGATAGATAATTTCACCTTTTCATCCTCATGGATGTATGCTCCCGCCATGTGATGGACATGATTTCCCCCCAAGGAAATATGACAGCCCATGGCGATATGTCCTTTATCTGCTTGGACATGGTCCTGGTCTGCAGAGAGAAGCGTTCCTTCAGAGCATGGTGTTTCCCCCCACCCCAACAGAGGACTTTGCTAGGCTTTATTTATTTCCGGCATATAATACGCTGCATGAGAAAGGAAACAGAAGGACGGATGCGCATGTGCGGGGCGCCACTACCGCAAAGAAGAGAGGGCATGGGCAACCTTGTTCCCTCTTCACCTTACTTTGTAGACAGCAAGTTCTTTTCTTCTCTATCCCCGCTCTTGCAACTTTGATCGCTCATCCGCCCACTCGTCGTCATTTCACACTTTCCATCACAGCCATCACAGTCATCACATCCAGCCAGCCAACCATCTATCCATCTATACATCGACTCAATCGACTCTCCTCGGTTCTCGATAAAAAAATACCATCTTTCAGAAGCGAGACGCCTTACTTACCACACCCATACCTTCAATCACTTGCTTATCTCACCCCACTTCCCTGTCCTCGCACGGCCTCAAGTCCATGGAACGCATCTCCTCAGGACCTATCAGACGGCCCAGCAGCATCTACAGCGGATCAGGTCACTTCCCAACCTCGCCTGTCGGCAGTGGTGCACCCGTCCCAGTCGTTTCCCACGACGACCAGTTCTCAAATAACCCAGAGGACTATGATGTGCGTCTTCCAATTGGTATGCCAAATACACCCACCCCCTACCCAGCAGCACAGCAGCTTTAACAACCCATCCTCCTCTATTAAACATCTGTATTCGCGTGTGTTTAATCAATTGGTCCCGTCTTCACGTCCGAGAATACTCACGCTGGACCAATATCTCATTTCATGCTTTAAGGATATGGCTCCTCGGCTGTTGTGTACGATGCCTACTACAAGCCTTTGAACAGGCGAGTCGCCATCAAAGTCATCGACCTGGATATGTTTGAACGAAACCAGATTGACGAGCTTCGGAGAGAGACCCAGGTCATGGCTCTATGCAAGCACCCCAATGTCTTGCGTGTCAATGGGGCGTTCGTGACCGAAAGCAAGCTGTACATCGTTACGCCATATCTTTCTGCGGGTAGGTCTAGGCCACGGCCAAACAGTATTTTTTTCCGGTCTTTTTGGGAGGAGCATGGGTGACCATTGGAGGTGTCAGACGAATCACTCCTGCATGAACGTTCAAGAACTAACGCGACGTATCTTCGTTTTGCCTTGCGTCTTTATTTTGATTTGCATGTTTTGTGCAGGATCATGTTTGGATATCATGAAGACTGCCTACCCAGATGGCTTTGATGAGATCTCGATCGCCACCATCCTGAAGCAAGCCTTACAGGGATTGGACTACCTTCACAAGAACGGGCACATTCACAGGCAAGTTGGGTCTCAGGCTGTCCCAACATGACATCATGCAAGGAGATGGACAGAGTGAGATATGGTTTAGCAACAATACCCTAACATCTCATCTTGGTATGCCGCTTTGCACACAGGGATGTGAAGGCCGGTAATCTTCTAATGGACGACGATGGATCGGTACTATTGGCGGACTTCGGTGTATCCTCGTCACTAATGGAGAACGGAGACAGGCGCGGCATGAGAAAGACATTTGTTGGTACGCCTTGCTGGATGGCACCAGAGGTCATGGAGCAGGCGGGATACGATTACAAGGCCGATATTTGGAGCTTTGGTATCACTGCGATCGAACTGGCCACCGGCCATGCACCTTTCGCCAAATACCCTCCAATCAAGGTACAAAAACTTGGTCTTATTTCTTGTTGTGCGTCGATATTGCCGTTTGTTTTGATATTTCTAACGTGTAGCTGCTTATGCATGTGACAACAGGTCTTGATGTTAACTCTCTCGAATGACCCGCCCACACTGGATCGCGAATCAACCAAGCACCGCTATTCCAAACTGCTCAAGGAGATGATCGACTCCTGCCTGCAGAAGGACCCTACCAGGAGGTAAGCATTCGCACTTGTCCATGTTTTTGTGTTACCAATGGACACTGAGTCTGAGCCCGCATGTGTGTTCGTTAGACCCTCGGCCGAAAAACTGTTGAACCATTCATTCTTCAAGCAAGCTAAGAAAAAATCGTACCTCGTGACGTCTCTGCTGGCAAATCTCCCACCTCTGGAACAGCGGCCTCCCAAGAGTAAGTTTACGCCGCCAAAAAAAAAAAAAATACTCAGGATGCCTTCTTTTCAAGGACGTCTTTATTAAAATCTCCGGCTTGTGCACTTTGCTCGACGTAGAAGCCCCGCCAAAGGCTGCGCTTCCACAAAAGGGCGTTTCCTGGGATTTCGACGGCGATGACGACACGGATGAACCTGTCCGTCGACCACGTACCGTAACGTTTGAAACGTCAAATCGGCCTGTTTCGACCGCTACGACGGACTCAATATCCTCATCAGGTGCGGGCGGCACCCCTGTCCTGGAATCGAGACCTCTGGAAGGGTATTCTGAGGATGGAATGTCGCCTCAGAGCGCCACAACCGTTTCAAGCCAAACTGGCGAAAAGCCTATACGGAAATCGCGCTTCGTTGTCGATGGTATGGCATCTCCTCCTCCGTCGTATAATGCAATGCCTACCAGTTCCATACAGTCGGATCACAACCTACACGGCCTCGGTGTATCTTCCAATGGTGCTGAACTAGCAGGTGCGCCCGAGATTAAGAGAGGGCGCTTTAGCGTCAAAGACACGCCAACCATTTCATCCCCTTCGCCTGCAAGCATGAAGGCTGCAGCCAGCGAGGCGCTCTTGTCGCCGTCGCGCAGCCTGTCGCCTTCGCCCATCGAAGGTACTCCGGATGGTGTGAACATTGGTGGGCCACTTGACATAGGATCAGGTAATACAATGAGGACGCGATCTGATTTTCATTTCCGGCATCCAGCTTGTGGCTCTATTCATTTATTGATGAGTTTACTTTGCGCAACCTCTAGAACGAAAATCAAGGTTTGAGGTCCATCATAGTCCTGCTCCTCCAACATCTGGTGCCTCGGGTTTAGTAAATGGGACCGGTCTGCATTCGCCTGTGTTGTCTGCTACAAACACAAGAGATTCGTCACAGACAAGGGTGTCTCGATTTAGCGTTGAACCTAGCCAGCCATCCCAAGACACTAGCGCAGTGCTTTCGACTGTTGGAACACCCAATCTCTCACAGGGCAAACGCAGTCGCTTCCAGGTGTCGAGTGTCGATGAGATATCAGCAGGCATGAATAATCTATAAGAATTGGCCATTAAATCTCTCAAAAAAATTCTCCAGAAGTGCTCATCATGTTAAGCATTCGTCCTGTTCTCGCTTTTGTGCAATTAGGTGTGGATGCAAGTGGATCGATCAACTCAACACCCGACACGTCGCCTTCAGGATCTCTATTGGCAGGACATAGCGATCTTATCGATGCACAGGGCGGCAATCCGGTCTATGCGCACCTGGAGACCCTCTATCGCCAGAACGAACAGCAGCGAGCCATTCTCGTAGAGCTATTTGCAGGATTTGGAATGAAACCCAGCCAACCTGCCAGCATGCCGTCTTCGGGTGACAAGAGCCAGCCTGTTCTTTCTGAGAGCTCAAGTGCCGGAGCAGCCGTGACGACAACTGGAGGATCAGTTCACCGTCAAGATACTGCGTATGGTATGGAGAAGCAGCTTCAACTGACTGTCCGTGAGAATGAGAGTCTGCGCAGAGAAAACGAGGCCCTGAAACGAGAACTTGATCGTCTGCGTCGAGGAGGTCTTTGAGGCATCTGGGGCATTTTTTAGAGTTGACCATTTGCCAACGAATCAATAAATAAAAAAAACACTGCAGCAGGATTGCAGATGTTTAAAGACTAGCAGCCACTACTTTTTGTATCAACATCTTCTTTTCCTTTTCATAACTAAACCGATGGTCGACCGAACGCAACTCTCTGTCCTCACGTTGAACTGCTGGTAAAACACTAAGACGATCGATTGCGAGAGATGGACCGCGTGAGGAGCAGCTCTGTCACTGACAGAACTTGCCTCAAACACAGGGGCCTTTACTTCCCATCAAAAGATCGCCGAGACAGAATGGCAGCTATCGGACGCCACCTTGTCGATGCCTCTCCTGGATACGACATCGTTGGGCTTCAAGAAGTATGGCTATACGAGGACTTTCTACTCATTCATGGCTTGGTCAAAAAGTCGCTACCGTTTGCGAGACATTGGACTAGTGGGTTGTTTGGGTCTGGATTGGTGATTCTCTCGAAGTATCCGATTGTGAGCACGTCGTTGAGACGATTCGTGCTTAATGGAGATCCGTTACCGAACCTTCACGGTGACTGGTTCGATGGCAAGTGCTGTGCGAGCACGGTGATCGCTCATCCGACAGCTGGAACGATTGAGGTCTTCAATACACATGTAAGGGCCGGACTTTACTATCAACTGGAACCGGGATGTATGAAAATACGCTTATGATGTTGACCATTATCATTGCGTCCTTTAAAACGGCCATATGCAAGATGCATGCGACGTATGACCCTCCTGGAACTTTGGATGTGTATCTCGGCTCCAGGTTGGCGCAGGCTTGGGACATGGCGGTGTTGCTTCGGACTGCAAAGGCTCTGGGTCGACATGTCATCGCAGTAAGTACAAAGGGGTGAGCACAAACACACATGAGCGGTAAATATCTGACTAATGGCAGCCCTTGTTCGAACAATGCCTCTTTACTTTATGACAACAAACAAAACAACTTCGTTAGCTCGGGGATTTCAATAGCCCTCCGGATAGCCTCGTTGTCCAGTTACTCACACGATACGGAGGTGTTTGTGATAGCTGGGAGTTACTGCACCCTCGTCCACAGAATGGTGGCCTGAAGGGCCTCACAGCCGAGGAAGGAGCTGCAGTCCTGGGGATCACTTGCGACACGCCTCTGAACAGCTGGACGAGCCATGATCCATGGATAAATCAGTTGACGGGGGATCCGATAGGCGAACGGCTGGACTACATCTTCTTCGATAACAGCGAGGAGATACAGTGCATGCGTGTCGATGTTGTTCTGCAGGATAGGATTGCCGGGATAGGGGGGCCTACGGCGCCGCTGAAGAACGTGAGCGACCATTTTGCTGTTCATGCGGTGTACTCTCTCAGTTTATGGAAGCCGCCTGTTCCTCAAACAGGAGAGCAACATCATGTGCGGCAGGGTTTGTCAGAGGAGACGACTGAGGTGTTGGAGCAGATTTTGGTGGCACTTGAGCAGCACCTGCTCAAGGCTCGTCACAAGCGCGCAAGGTTCGCGTTTGTTCTCACGCCATTGCTTGTGTTGGCAGTGCTTGGGTTGATCGCAGGATTTGTGTGGATGGACAACATGTGGGAAGGAAGGGAAGGTCGAGTGGTGTGGATGGCGTTTATGCTGGTTGGAGTGAGCATGCTATCGTCGGGTTGGGTGGTATGCATGTTCTATGGATGGTTCTATGGAGGAGAGGCGGTCTCTGGGTTTGTGAACACAATCCAGGAGGTTCGAGACGCGTTGGAGTAAACACAGACGTGTATAGGTTGAAGGATGCAGGAACAAGAAACACGCTGTTGTGAAAAAATTAATGGCTCAGGAACCAATGAGCTGGTCAGGAACGGCTCAGGAACGAATTTTAAGGTTATTCGGCGTAGGACTCTTTAGGCAAGAAGACAGAAACAAAGAAGTTGGACCAATATGCGAATTTAGGTTGCTAGCACAACGACAAACAATGAGAAACATGATGGGAAAGAACCAGCACGCGGGTTGATACTCGAGTGGACCGGACCGCAGACAGCAATGCATTCACAATCTCATTCTTAGAGAGCTTTGTTGTTGATCGAGAGAGGCGGGTGTTTTTTATTATTTTCACTATTTTACAGGCCCGATAGACTATTTACATGGTGGGCTTCAAGTGGAGGCTCTCGACGTTGTTGGGATCGCCGCGCTCGCCAATCAGGCGAGAGGTGATACCATGCTGGGGGTCATCGATCTTGTGATGATGATGGTCAAGGGCGTGTGCGCCAGGGGCATGGGTATGGGCGGCTCCGGCAGCCGAGGTCTCACCCTCGCGAGGGAAGGTGGTGGGGGCCAAGTTGACACTGGGCTGGGCAGTTCCGTAGGCCACATCGTGGTGCTGGTTGATAGACTCGGTGTGGGTGGTGGGTGCAGTGGAATCGTGATGGTCGTGATTGCCGGTGACCTTGTGGACCAAATGGGAGGCCTTGTCCTTGATGGTCTCCATGGCGGAGGGCTTGTGTTCGGTAGTGTTAGTCATTTTTGAGGGGTGGTGGGTTGGAGGTTTTGTGTTTGAGTGTGGGGGTTGTTGGAAGAATGAAGAGAAGAAAAGAGAGGAAGAGGCGAACCCTTTTATATATGTGGACCTGAAAAAAAGAGTTAAGTCGCTCATGACCAAGGACGATGTGAACCTATAGGATAGAAGTGTTCGGGATGACATCGCTTCTCGTGCAACTGAGACTAAGAAGCATCATCAATAGTTAAAAGGGTTCGCGTGATGTCACTGTGATAGGACGAAGAATCCATTTACGTCCGTCATGCATCTTTCGCCTGCTATTGTACATTCTTTTTTCTTCCTTAACATACACAACTCTTCATAAATATATTTTATCTCACTTCGCAGGGTCAATCTCCTTCCATACTCTCATTCCTCGAAATAAAGTACCATATTCCTCGCTCGTATAAACTAACCATGGGCATTGCAGGCCTGTGGCCCTTTCTAAGAAAGAAAGGGTATGAGCCCGTTCTTCGCCATCAGTCCTCCCACTTATCCAACCTCCCCCAGTTCCATTGATCGCAATTCGGCGATTCGGGCCGATATCTTTGGGTCTTTTATGCCACCGTTCGCTACGCCTATTCCTCGCACCCTATGGAAGATGCTCACCGCATTGTCGAGCGAGAGATACTGGAGCTTGGGACCCAGACGAATTTGGTCCTTTACCTGGACGGCCTTCCTTAGAAAGAAAAAGGATCCATTCAAGTGCACCGAGAGATCCTTTCGCAAGAAAGCTGTTGAGCGCGCCGACAAATGTCTGCGTGAGCTCGAGGTTCGCGTGGGTAAAAAGCTTCACGCGCGGAAACACCAGTTCATCGACATCAGAAAATTTTGAGCTCGGTCTTCTATTGGTCCCTAGACGCTCGACGCGCCTTTGCCATGTACATGCGCAAGAAACAGTGGACGATCGTCGAGTGCTCGACCGAGGCAGATCTCACGATAGGCCTTGAATGCAAGCCTGACGACATCATTGTATCAAGAGACAGCGACATGCCCATGTACAAGAGCGTCGAGACTATTTGGCGACCCATTCCAAAAGGAAAACCCCTTGTGTACGACGTTCCAAGCGTCTATGCGACTTTACTTGGTATCGTATCAAAAAACGACTACAGCCGCAACATCCTCTCTCTCGGGAGTGCAACCAACTACAAAATCATCAAAGAGTTGGATGGAGAAGGTAAACAGGTCAATCAGATCATCGTGTATATCAATGATCCAGGAAACGTATTATCAATTCTAACGTCTTGGCAGTTTATGGCTTGCAGACACTGCGACGATGACGAAGCATTATTTGGCACATAGTCAAGTCATGCGCAAGAATATTGTCCAGGAGATGCTTACCACTTCGCGGAAGGTTTTTATGGATCTTTTACAGACCCCTGTGCGGATTGGCTCACCCCCTTCGTCCTCAGCTCAAGCTGCCATGACCTATGACAGTCTTCGGAAGCAGTTCGGCTGTCTTTCTCAGCGGTGCTCCCAAATGGAGAAGGAGATGCAAGGCGGAGAGAAGGTATACACTGCCTTGATTTGTAAGAATCCCCACCTGCATGAAGGCATGCATAAAATTAACTCAAACTTATTGTGATCGCTATCAGCTTTAATAACTTTGACAGCGAGTCAACTAATACTAAGGCTCGGCGAGACAGGTCTTCGCAGACCTTCAACAGGTATCGTACGATTGATCACTCTGCTCCAGACCAGGCAGAGGCTGCGAGCGAGGTGAACCCTGTCCAGCCTCGTATCAAACCCCGCAATACCGACCGCGATATTCTGTCAAACAGCGCACTCAACTCAAGGAACATGAACCGCCTGAAGCAATGAAGCAGTACACATGAAATGCATGGAAGAAAACACCCGAGAATCCCTTGAATCCCGACGCTGGCTCTTTCAAGAAGAAGAGGGGAGCGAAGAAGCAGAAGAAAAATAAAGAAGATTATGCCAAAGCCAGTAAGCGCCTCCACAGGAAAGGCTGAGTTACGGGTGATCATGATGTAAAGGAGGAGGAAGAGGAGGAGGAGGAGGAGGAAGAGCAATGGGAGGACAAAGATGATGATGACCCAGGGCACCAGGACTCAGACCATCTATGCTTCCATACTGTGCTGCTCCAGCATCTCTACACAGATGACCCCATCATTACGACGAGTGTAGTTGGTAAGCACGTCCAGCAGTTTGTCGATCAGGCTGCGGATCTCGGGCTGCTGCAGAGAAGGAACAATAGAGCTGCAATCTTGGCTAGGTCTGTTGCCTTGTAGATATCCAGTGAAATAAATAAAAAAGGCAGAATAAAAAATTTGTGCTCTGTCGCTACATATATGCCAGTAGAGGGCAACTGTAAGAACGACAATACTAACATTGACGATCCGTCTATAATAGCTAAAAACTTTGAAGACGAAGGATCTCATATCAGATGGGACATGTACAAAGATCGACCAAGGCATTCCGGCGATCGAGAATTTCGTGCTTTCGAGCCAGTCCAGCAAGAGTTATCGTCAGACGGCTCCGCTAACAGGCACGAATCAGCCTTTCATGTCGTTCTCTGAGCGTGAGCTCGGTATCCTGATTAGACAAAATGCTGCGCTGAAGAAAAAACACCAGGAGCTAGTACTGGTGGACTATCAGCACAAGGACATCATTCCTGCCCAGTGTGACCTAACCGATTGGCTTGGGCAGAAAGCTCCTGGGCTCCTTATCACAGAGATGCTTTTGAACGTCGGCAGGCGTGAGCCACGTAAAGGACCGAGAGATTACAAGTATTCAACGTCCGTGATGGACCTGAGCATGATGCGAGAACACGATCAATCCATTCGGTAGGTCAACTTCGACTCTATGACTTACGAGGGACGCGGCTATGTTCACCGAGGTTCCATTCAAACAGGCAGTTTCCGCATCCGCCTTCATCTGTCGGCTTTCAAGTTAAACGATTGCAGTCAGTCAGATACAGACGACTCCCGCGGAATATCTTGTCCCTTTAAACCACATTCACAGCCAAGGAAGTGGATTATTACTTGACCGAGGTTCGAAATATAGTGAAGACCCAGCAGGATGTCATTGACCTTTGGGGATGTGCGCCAGATCAAACCAAGATCCTGGGTCTCGATCTCGGGCAAGCCTTTGTAGTCGGAGTCAGCGAGTTGCTACCAAAGATCGGCGATCCTGTTCGAGATCCGCAGGCTATGCTGCTCAACCTGTGGCACTTTCATGCACCGCGATATTATGGCAGAGCACAACATTTGCAACGTCATTCTCAGCCATTTACTCCATCAACAGCGATTGCTCTATCTGCAGCTAGTAGAGAAGGACGGGCACTACCCTTGGATGCAAGATGCAAAACCTGCGAGAACAAACACAGAAGCCAGGGACAGTAGCAGCAGCAGTGGCGCAGCGAGGCATGAGCAAGGACAGGGACTAGCTGGAGAACGCAAGTGAGCAGCCTCATCCTTGGAAGGGATGGAGGCCCCTGGCACCAAGCGACTATAGACTATGTACAGTGACGTATTTGAGTTGTTCCTTTCAGCAGGTTTCTCAGACGTGGACCTTAATTGCAGGACGCAGGGCTGAGTGATCCGTGCAATTTTAGAAAGAATAGTCCAGTCTGGTTCCGTATGCTGTAATGGCAACATGATCTTTCGCTACACGGTGTGTAAACAGACTCATGGAAGAGAACCGGATAACCGGTATGACAGACTTGTTCACATCCATCATTCAAACCGCGAAAAATAACAATGTGCTCCTTAACTTGTTCTCAGAAGGCTTGCCAGCGCGGGAGGATGCATCACTCTATCACGCGCAAAGAAAAAAATAATTTGCAAACGCATAGCAAACAGTAAAATGTATGCCTACTCGACGGAATGCTGTGCAGGATGCCGGGATGGACGACAGCATAGCCTGTCCGGCACGGAGAATCCGCCACAGTATCTAGGCTTAGTGATGGACACTAAGAAGCGGGTCCTAAAATGGGTTCAGGATGGGGATGGTATTGTGCGGGACATCTAGCCGCGACTGTACGTAGAAAACGCTAAGGTCATATTGACACACGGCGAACATTGGTTTGTTGAGGTAAGAGTAATAGACTACGTACTTTAATGATCCAAACTAGTCAAAAGTCTCATGTCACGGCTGTACTATACTACAAAAAACAAAGGAAGATTAGGAATATTCCATCCATCGCTGGAGCAGGCAGGCTTAACGTTAAAAGTCTTAGACGTCCATACACGTATGTGTACGTGAACGCGTTTGTCCGCAAGACGCACTACCATCTCAATTGGGGAAGGGCCTAGCCTGTTTTCGGCAAAAACTGTCAAGGGGATATTTCATAATGCCAAACCCATTTGCATCAAACTCAAAACTGGAGTCAATGGAGACTTCGGTGGGGGTCTTGCTGACAAGAAAAGCTCCAATGCAAGCCCCAAAGCGAGCGTCAAATGGCTTATCAAAATACCAGTATGGCTGTAGTGTAGTGCGGGTGAATGTCGCAGGAAATCACCGACTAATGGGCCTGTTTGTAAAGCACTTTATCCCGTTCCTCCGAGGATATCTTTTTGTCACATTTCCCGTGCTATACCAGGCAAATTCATTGCCAAAAATAAAACAGCGTGCCAGCACTTTTGTTGAAGCAGCAGGACCGAATGGGGTGTTTGCTCTTATAAGTAAACTCCACCTTCGTCTTTTTTACACCATTCACATCTCCATCATCTCTCCTTCTACTCCTTCTTCATTCCATCCAAAGAAGGAACGTTAATACGAAGGCCCTGTCTCTCTTTGTCTTTCTTTGCCGTTTCTTACCCCTCTGCCAAAAGTCGACCTATCACACATCCACTCGCTTGTTTATGTAAAATAAGGCACTTCCCCAAAAAGAGAATCACCGCACCCTTTATTCCTGCTGGACATCGTATTCCTTCACATATTTAGAATGAACTCCTCAGAACCAACACAGAACCGCCGCACAAGCACTGGCAGCGGGTCTGACCAGACCACCAACGCTGACTATGTCGCCAGCAAACCTACATCCCTCAGGAACCGCCATGAGGTCGACACCTCTCCCAGTTCACCTCTCACTACACATCCAGAGAAAAAAGTTACGCTTCGCTCAATGACTTCCCTCCGCTCGACCCTTCCCAAGACCGATGGTCCCATCATTGGTCAAGAACACTCCCATCGACAGCTGTCCCTCCTCCAGTGTCTCAAGGCCATTCTTTTCGCTAGCAAAATCAATGTCATGCTTATCTTCATCCCGATCGGTATTGTCGCCGCCAAATTGCACTGGCCCGACGTCGCTGTCTTTATTCTCAACTTCTTGGCCATCGTCCCCTTGGCAAAACGTGAGTTATAGCAATAATTCCCGGTATTGGCGATGAAGAACATTTTATATCTCTTTTTAGGGCAATGATGCTGCATTCCTCTCAACCTCTCACTCCTTTTGTTGATACGATTGTTATCAATGAGCTGTTTATGCCGACAAGGACGGCGGGCTTCGCTGCGATATGGCTCATAATGCACCATGATTTCTACCCTTCATCCAACAACAAACAACAATGGCTTCGTTGGTTGGTTTTCTTTGGAGGTTGTGCAACTGAGGCTGAAATCCTGCTTTAGAGTTACTCTGTTTGTGGGTTCAGAGCTCAAAATTGTTTTGAGCCAGTGAGCCTATATTCGACATCGGCTGAGGTGTTGGGGTCACAACAGCTGGACACCCATTGACCCACAACTCCTAAACTACATTTCTCTCTTGTCACGATTTGTTTATGCCCCGTGCCTCTATCTTCTCCGTGTAGAACATGTTCAACTAATCCTCCTCCTGTTCATCTATCACTGCTGACTAATAGTTCTTGGCTATGCGACCGAAGAAATCTCCCTCAGACTTGGAGAGGTACGTCTCGATGTTCGGCAAGCCAAAGGCATGCGCTCGAGGCACTCATACCTTGCTATTGCTCCCCTCTTCATTATTGCTCACCCCCTCGTTCTCCTTGCCAAATTTAGAACCTGGGTGCCCTGCTCAATGCCTCGTTTGGTAATGCCGTCGAACTTATTCTGTCCATCATCGCGCTGAAGGAGGGCAAGATTGCTGTTGTACAGGCCTCCGTCCTCGGCTCTGTTCTTTCCAACTTGTTGCTGGTAATGATCCTTATCCATGATGCTGCGTTGATGCCACGTTTATTTGGCGTGTTAGCACAAGATCTTTAACGCATACTATATTGTCTGAACTTGCTGTCTTTTTCCCTCTCAGGTCTTGGGATTCTGCTTCGTCTTTGGAGGTTACAAGTACAAGACCCAGACATTCAACCAGACCGCTGCTCAGACCTCGGCCTCGCTCCTCTCGTTGTCGTGCCTCTCACTCTTGATTCCTGCGGCTTTCCATGCCACAACCACCGAGATTGACCAGACTGTCAACATCCAGCATCTGTCCTACGGCACCTCGATCGTGCTCTTGGTCGTCTATGTGCTGTACCTGGTCTTCCAGCTCAAGACCCACACCCATCTTTACGCCACCGACAGCTCAGAGGAGGAAGAACCCATCCTCCCGCTCTGGCTGGGCATCGTCGTTTTGCTGATCATTACTGTCATTGTTGCTTTCTGTGCCGAGTTTTTGGTCGGTTCCATTGACGGTCTTTCGCACTCCTGGAATATCAGTCCTACCTTCATCGGTCTGATCCTTTTGCCCATCGTCGGTAACGCAGCCGAGCACGTCACTGCCGTATCCGTGGCGATGAAGGACAAGATGGACCTGGCCATCGGTGTCGCTATTGGCTCCTCCATGCAGATCGCCTTGTTCGTCACCCCATTGATGGTTATTATCGGCTGGATCATCCATCAACCCATGACCTTGTTCTTCAATACCTTCGAGACCTGCGTCCTCTTTGTGTCGGTCCTGATTGTCAACTACCTGATCCAGGATGGAGAGTCCAACTGGCTGGAGGGTGTCATGTTGCTGAGTACATATCTCATTGTCGCCATCGCCATTTATTTCTACCCGGCTTCTGCGGTCGAGAGCGGCGGTCAGTAAGCGGCATTCCGTTGTGGACAATTTTGAAGCGCTGCTTTCATGGGCGGATTTATCAGACGAGCTTTCACGTTTTGCAGGAACATTGAGGTCTTGGGTCTGCGAATAAGGGTTCTAGATGGTTTCCGTGACTTGAGGATGGAGACCCGCGCGCATTGAGTGCGATAGTGGGCCATATTTAACGACATTTAATATATTCGCATAAATAATTATCCCATATTATTGCTGTCTCATAAGAAATGCAATTTAATCTGGTGTAAATGACATTGAGGTTTGCAGAGGAAGGTAAGTGTCGGTCCCGGCAGTGTGGATTCGTAATCGCGGGGCTCGTGCGCAAAGGTTCTGAAAGGACGCAACCTGATTCGCTTTAGGTATTACTCCATTGATCGTCTGTCTTTTCTGAATAGAATGATTGGTTTTATTGATTTCTTGTTTCAATTAGCCCTTGAGGTCTACCTTCCATGTCAAGGTCAGTTTGGAGACCGTCTCAAAAGACGCGTTCTTGATGAGGACATGAGTAATGACTTCACTCAATTCCCGGTCCTTGATTGGAGCAACAATGGAGCTTGCGGTCAACAGTCCGCGGGAGACTTTGATATACTATCGGTTTATTTTTGTTGTGTTTTCAGATTATATTAGTATATCAGCGCTTTTGGTGGCGATCGATAAGAGATAACATATGAGCTCGTAAGAACTTGCGCAAGTAAATTACCTCTGCATTGATGTTTGTGAGAACGACCCGATCGTTCTTGCCGAGCAGAGTCAGGAGCGCCAGGCCCCCTACTGTCTCGCCAAATGTTACCAATGCCGCAGCATGGACACATCGAAATGGGTTGGAGACTGATTTTGTTTCCTACGAGTTTGTATGGTCAACAATGGGGCACGGCAAGTACAAAAAAGAACATAGTCGGTAACGTGCACAATAAAGGCTTCCTCCTTATCTTCCCTCTCTCATGGCTGCATGATACCAATGATACATCAATGTCCCAAAGATTTTCATCCCTTCTTTGTCAAAGCCCTGACCTCCCCCTCCAATGCTCAGCAGTTTATCACATTTTGTTTATTTGCATACCTTCATGACGCCACACGCTTTACCCTTGCGCAATTCCGTGATACGAAAGTTGGTTGACCTGGCGTAAGGATTTGACAAGCCGACGATGGTCGAAAAGATCCAAGCCCGCAGTCGCATTGGCAGTACATCGACTCCGTGGAGAACATCCCATACTTGTAAGGGATCCCGCAGAGAACTCAGTTTTTGTGTGATCACGTTGGTCAACATTGTTAGACCAATGAGGACCATGATGGTCGCCAGACCGAAGAGAGCAAGATTCATGGGGCTGATGGACAGTTTTGTGGGTAAGGTGCAAAGGATATGAGCGCAAAATTCAGTGATGGTCGATTTTTTTGAGTTAATGCAATAAATTAGAGAGCGGTGTTCAATGAAGCTAGAGGACGAAGAGGAAAAGACAGGTCGATAGTAGCGTGAGCATCTGAGCGTGGATTGAGAGGTTACTAAATAGTAACGTAGATGACAAAGAACGGCAAGGGTGTGCGTTCAGTTTAGGGATTCGTTTGAAGACTGGGCCGGCAAGCGGACACGCGATTAAGACAAACACGTTGCTGCAGCATTGTCCAACCGAATGTGCTTCAAACATAGCAAAAGAAAAAAGTAAGCTATGAGTAGGAAGGAAGTGAAAAGAGGAATATTCTCATTCATACCTGCAAGAGGTCGTTGAGGTGTGTTTGAAGAGATGAACAGAAAGTAATAGCAGAGAGTGTTGGGGGAATGAGAATGAACTGGTGTGAGATGATTGGCAAAATGAATGAGGAGTAAAACAGCGGAGGAAACAGCTTTTTTAAGGAAGCGTTCTTAGAGAAAGGCTACATGTGCTCGGTACCTGAGTTTCTACACGTGCCAGGGGTGTATCATCGGGAATAAAGTTGGTTTCAATGACCCGAATGTGGGTTGACCCGCAGGTGGACCGCGCTCTTGCTTCCCATTTGCGTCTCCGACCTGCTCTTCGGCCTTGGTTATGGTTTCTGCCTGAACGACCACAAGACCATCTTCTTAGAAAGCAGCTGTCTCTGAGAAGGCACAGACATGCCAATCATCCTAATAGTGGTGCGCAACAATATTTCCTCTTGCTGAGTCTTTTATTTGTCAGAGCAGCAGCTCTAGGATGTTGACAAACAAGTTATGACATAGGGATGCTGCGTTCTTTGTTGTGAATGATTCTGGAATGTGATGAATGCGTTAATGCGCCGCTGTGTGTAATAAAGTTCCTGTGAAAAATGTTTATGCTAGAGTAGATGGTTGTGTGCACATGCTTGGGTTTTGAAAATGAACGGATTTCGGAACTTCTCCAAATGGTCCTTTGAAAACAATTAAAGACCTAATGGCTGTCCTTGTGGTCGATGTGACTCCATTCGTCGTGAAAAAAACCGAGCCCTCCATCCTTGTTCATGGATGCGCCGCGCGTGATGCTCACTGTGAGAGAACGAGCGAGAAATAACAAAAGTCATCGGTTACTATCATTCTTACCCCATCTACAACAACAAGAAACGCCTCTGTACCTTCAACATCGATCACACTTTACAGTAAAAGTTAACACTGTATGCGAGCAACAACACGCTGCACAGTGCCGTAGGCCCTGCGCGATCGTAGTAGCGGACCTCACGCGGGGACATCATTGCCGAGTCGACACTGTCTCTAGCCTTTCGTGGTTCCACAACAGCATTTCCTTCCGCCTCTGCCGCAACCGCACCGCATGTACGATTATGCTTAGCTTGCTTCTTCGCAAGTTTCACTGCGAGTCGACGACTCAACGATCGATCTCGTCGATGAAAGATTGCAGCTGCATAGGCCAAGGAGCTCATCGCAACAACCAAGATGGATACCCCGATATAGAACCCGAGCGACCTCACGGGTCCAAAATTGCACAGGGTAAGCGCCATGGAACCCAGAAGGATTCCCAATTTGATCCAGTTGATGAACGTGCGCTCGTTTGAGAACAGTGCCATACGGTCATTATTTCCACGATTGCCTTTGCCCTGTCCCTTCGCCTTCTTTTTACCAAATTGTCTTGATTTTGGTCTTATGGAATACATCTTTCCATCCGAGTTCATTGAAATAGACTGATGCTGCTCTGGTGCCTCCTCCTGCCGTAGTTCTTCTGCTGGATTATGCAAAGTAGTGTTACTGTTGGTCCCAAAGAGAGTCGAGGAGCTGGAGTTCAGCGGCTTGGTGTTTTGAGCCGACAAGTCGACGCTACTGGCAGTGGATGAGCCCCCAATGGCACCTCGCGGCGTACTAGCGCCTTCTCCTGCTCCGCAATAATTGTCAAGTTCACTATGACAGTGAGCCATGTTGGAGGAAGGTGCCTCCGTAACGTTCTCCAGCAAAATTTCTTCCATCATCACAGAAATGTGCGGCTCGCGAACAGAGGAGTTGTGGGTGCACATTGCTAGAGATTGCCTTTGATCGCTGTACTCCAAGGAACCGGTAGTGGTTGCAGATCTAGGTCCACTGAGCCCTCGAGAGGGTTGGCAGTGATCCATATCAGACGGATACAGTGGCGACAAGCTAATGCATCGGCGATGTTGGATGCCAGGGAACCAAGACTCTGAACATGGCGTCTCGGGCGCTCCGACTACGGTTGAGGCATCTGAAGAGACTGAGTCTGGTTCCGATAAGTGCATGTCGCCCAGCGACACATCATGCTGGAGATTCGATGCCTCCAGCTCTCGTTGCTGCTGCTCCCTCGTCGCTGGAGGCTGATAGGTTGTGTATTGGGACGTCCTGTTGGCAGCAGTGTAGAAAGATTGTGAAGTAGGTGCTTTAACCATCGGAGGAGTAAATGGGGGAATAAGATATGATCACTAATCGTCTTGGTGTCGATCGGGTCTACGGCTCGTAGGTACTATGGTTGGCATCAATGTTGAAGTACAGTAAGGCCGTTTAAAGGTAGGGGGTGTTCGGACGGATATGTCTGTCAAGTTAGCAAATGAAAACGACAAAGACACGAAAATGGATCAAATTCACTGTGTTGTTGATGGCGATTGCCAGAGTTGCTACTGCCGTCAATTGGATCCCGCCATGCGACAAAAGGATTGCCTGTCCTAGAATCCATATAATGATCTCTATCGGCACTCGTCGTGTTGGTACTTGAAGCGTATGCTGTACCTTGCTGCCTTTCATGGATGAAGTTGGTATCTGACGGCTGAATGGCGCTGCTTCAGAGAGAGAGAAAAACCATGGCTGAAAACAGCAAAAGAAGAGTACGAAGAAAAGAAGGACCTGAAACTCATCTTAGCTTACACAGTATGTATTAGAGATAACACGCGGTGACAAGGTAAGGACCTGTCGTGTGAGTGGAGATTATTGCAGTGATGAATCCAGGAGAACAGATGACAAACGCGAGAGTTCTTTTTTTTTTTCTGGTCCATTGGCGAAGAAACTTCCGTCCGAAAGCCATGTCAAATTAACTCAGTGGAATTTAAAATAATGCGCTTCATGAGAGCAGGTCGTGACATGACGTAAAGGAACCAGGAGCGTGCATGAGCCCATAGTGTCTCCCAAAATCAGAGAAATTAGAATACTTCTGGTAGTAGAAAAGGAACGAAAAAGACACGCAGGCGTAGAGTTCATGTCTGTTATAAAGAATGCGGGAGTTCATACAGAAGTCAAAGTACGGATGTCAATTCAGGTACAGGACACAATATTGCGGACTCATTCTTGCTCCTTTTCTATTCTAAAATGGACCGCGTCGGTTCGTGCGGCGAATGTCAGTGTTCCTCAACGAGGCTGCGTTACATGCGGGTCGGAGCTAGCATAGATTCATTTCATTCAAATGCTAGCGTGGTTTCTAGACCAGGATCTAATTGTCAGCATAAATATAAGTTAAATATTTAAATACCATGGCTGTAAAGGCACTCGCGGCATGTTCCAAAGTCTCCGTTTTACTCATGCTTAACATGCCAGGAACCTGACCCCTATTTCTCCGTATGCCCAGCCAGGGCTCAGCGCCTCGGAGGTACATGTATACACGCGTGTATGTAGCCCTAGCGTCTGCCGTCGATAGATGGAGTTGCACACACAAAGAAAAAGTATTAGACTAACTAGTCGCGTAGACAAGTTTGAGAGCATTCATGTCTGCCCTATCTGAGAAAGCATTTCGACTTGAAAACTCCTCCTCCCCGTCGATCTTAGAAATGGGCAGAAGGATATACCATAAACATGATAGTGAATGCCGCAGATCTGCAACGTGCTTCTAAAAAAAAATCTGTCGCTCCTTCCTGCACAGGGAGCCGAAAAAACAACGACGGTTCAGATGTACAGATGAACAATTGTCCATTATTGTTGTCCAGTTAAAGAGATGTATCTATCTCTTTTAGAGGAGCAGATTGTAATTGAATTGAGCACCAGTTGTTTATTCTTAGCCCACAGCACGGTGCCCGCAGTGGATGAGTGAAAGTGATGCAAATAAACTGTAAATGGCCACAATAGCAGCCCCAATTACCTAATTCACCACTTGTCCTGTGTGGCAGTGGTAGATTAGTCAGGGTTACCGGACGGGCGAGAGCCAACTTTCGTCATGTTCACCCCAAAGTTTGTGCGCACATCGATCCACTTTATCGAGCCATTTCTTTTCTTCTTGTCCCCGGACAAAAATATCAGGCAGGATGTTTGAAAATCTATATCGCGGATCAGATTCTGCAATAGATTCGATAAACCACAGGGACCTTGACCAATTTGAGGCACATCTCAGAGGGTCATCCTCCAAAGGCAACAACATCGATGGTATTCAAGGTCAATGGATTGTGAGAAAATAAAGAAAGAAAATTAAATATGAATTAGCAATGAAATTGGTGTACAGCTATGCCTTTTTGCCATTTCATCCCGCAGATTATTCTGTAGAGAAAGAGAGAATGTTTACCATCCCCGACCGTAGAGCGTCGTACCATGTGGCAATCACACCCAATCTGTCCAAGGAGAGTGTCCGGTGTAGCCTGGGTTCCTGTGAAAAACGCTACAAGTACGCCGATTTGCGCGATGGTGCTCTTGTCTCATGCCCTATGCCTGTGTTTTCTTTGTGAGCCCCAGACTGGCCAACTTGTCAGTCAGGGTAAGGACCAGGCGAACCTTGTTCAGGCGCAAGCGGATCTGGTCACTTTCCCAATTCTCAGTGCTCTTTAGTAAGTCAATGTAGCAGACATCAGGATCTTATGAGCATGGACTATACAGTGTACATCAGGACGCATGGCATCATGGCACCATAAAGTATCCCCTGCTCTGGGCTATCAAGTCTGTTTCCTTCCTTTCTTATTCGTATCCTTTTCTACCTTCACCCTGCCTGCTTGTATCGCCTCAACCATTCCTCAGGGATAGGAGAGAGAAGGAGAGAGAAACACGGTTGCTGTAGTACATCCATCCATTTTAACGCTTTGTTCTCGCCATTGACACTGCACATCATCGTCGCCTCTCCTGCCCCTGTTTCTGCTGTTTTTACTGCTTTTACAGCTTAATTAAAAATAACCTCTCCATCTCCCTTTTTGGCATATTCATTTCGGCCGTTGAACACCTTCATTTCATCTCTCTCCTTCTCCTCTCCATTTTCTTGCATCTCCACCATTCCTATCTATTTCAACGCAGGATCCGATCGCCTGTCCGCACACCCTCTTTTTCTTTTTTCTTTTGAGTTCTTCTCGCTCTGGTATTTCTTTCTTGGACGACTTGTGGCATTGCCAATTTCTTCTGCAAGCTTTTTATTCCATATTGTGTCCCCACTCTCTACACAGTAAGCCGACAATGGCAGTCTCTCCTTCGTCACAATCGCTCAACCCCCCTCCTATTCCGCCAGGAAACAATACGGCACCACGCTCGACCATATCCGTTGTCTTTGTACAAGGAGGGTCGACATGTCTCTTGCGACCGAACACCGTCGTCAGAGGCCATGTCGAGCTGAAGTTGATCAAGCCCTGCTATGCTGCGGGCATTCGACTGCGATTGAGAGGTAATTTGCAATTCCATTCATTCGAATCTCATGGTGCGCATCTTATGCGATGTAACTTGGTGGCAACACTTTTTAGGAACGAAACAAGCGGCATTTCGCACTCTGATTTCAGGGACAAAGAGAGGGGAACAAAGCGGCAAAAGTGTTTTACTATAGGATTTCTAGTAGTTGCAGGCATATACCTCCTCAATTCATCAACATAGTGTCAAGGGTAGCTCATTGCTGGCGTCGTTGTTTATTTGAAGGCAATGTCCGTGGGTCCCACAACAGTAATATCATTATTTGTTATTTCATTTGTGGTGAGCAGATCGAGCATTGCCCTCTGTGTCCTGCGTGTCGAGTCATGAGCATGCGCCCGGTTACATTGCATCCCTCGTGCTTATGTTCTGTATTGATTGCTACACCATCCTCTGTGCCACGCCAATTGTACTTTGCCTCCATCCTCTCTCCCAAACATGGGTGCGTGCATTGACACGGCGAAGCTCACTCCATCCTTTGTTTTTCTATTCTCTTCTGCATGGGCTATACCCTGTTTACAACTTATCCAGCCGAGGAGAGTGCGATCGTCCTCGGCCAAGAGTCCAATGGCGACTCTATCCGGCAGAAGTATCACCAGACCGTTATCACTCTCTTTGACACCGAGGTCATGGTCTCTGGCTCCAATCAGAACGATAACGAGCTGTCGAACTGGCAAGAAATTCCTATCGGATCTCACATCTACCCTTTCGCTCTCAAGGTTCCCAACGTGAATTTCCCCCCTTGTATTCCTGTAAGTATTTCGTCCGACCAAGATGAGGCTGTGCACAAAGGTGCTAACTGCGGCTCTCTTGACCATCATTAACACAATTATCGCTGCTAATATAGAGCCTGGATGGATTTTCTATACGCTACGTATGGACAGCACATGTAGACGGACCCTTCGAGGCATCACTATCCTCAGAAGAGATCCTCTGTCAGTTTACACCCAATGTCCTGGCCCCCAAGCCCATGGAATGGACCTATCATGATGTTGTAGGTGCTGTCGTCTCGAAGAGCAGCACACATCAGCTTCACAAGCAACCTATGGGTATTGCGGTCGCCATCAAGATGCACCAGCAGATTTATGTCCCTGGTATGACAGCCCTGGCTTATGTTTGCTTCATCGGTGTATCGCCTCGTCAAAGGTTGCGAAGCATCATGTTAAACTAATTGCTGCGCCCATGTGTTTCTTTTCTGCTTATGGCATCCAGGCGATCCATTGTCTATGGCCACAACGCTAGTAAATAATGGTCAGAACAAGATTGTAGGGCTAGACGTCATTCTCCGCAGGACCATCAAAGGTACATTCGCAACATCTTACGCCAACCTCTGTAACCAGGCTCAAGTTGAGATCATGTCGAAAGCCGTGGACTGCAAAGTACGACCAGGCGAGTCAAATCAAGTCGACATCTTGACTACGATTCCACCAATGGAGGCCTATTCCATCCCCACATTCGAGTCCAACTTCCTTAAAGTGTACTATGAGCTCCTCTGTGTCATTCGAGTCAAACGATCTGTCTTTGCCGGCGGAGACACGAGTTACCAATGCGTGATCCCCATCCCCATTGCCACCCACAACATCGATAACCCCATGATCACAGGCCGCACCCCTCGTTGGACAAAGAGCAGAATGCAACCCTACTTCTTCGAGCCTACATGGGCGGATCCAGTGGGCGATCTCCATGCGCCTGTAACAAACGACAACGATACCATCAATAATACCTCTAGTGTTACAAGCCCTGGCGACACTCCTACGGGCATCCAATCACCCGCATCTGCGTCTACGGCCTCGCTTTTGGGTTCTCCCGGGGCAAGTTCAAGCGCGATGCATGAATTCTTGAACAGTGGTTCCGCCGAGCTGCATCGCGAACGCACCCTGAAGAAGAGTTTAACCAGGAGCAAGAGTTTGAAGGATATTCAGTCCGCCAGGTTGAACGGATCTTCCTGGAGAGCCGAGCGGGACCAGCTGCTGAGCCAGAGTCGTGAAGCAGGATCTGTCGAGAGCTCTGGCACTAGCAAGCGATCCCCGCCATTGGGACCTAAGAGTCGATCATCCAATGAGGACAAACAGGCGCCTTCTGGCCCGAGCCCAGCAATGGATAGCAATGGAAATGTAGCATACACGCCTCCACCACCGTCTACCTCTCGATCTCAAAGGAATGCGAGCAATAATCTGACGCCAGAGCAGCAGGCTGAACTGGCCAGAAAGGCGAGCCGACGCATCCTTCCTAACCAAGGAATGTATACCAACGAGGGGACCCTACCTCCAGATTACACTGTGAATAAAACCCAGAGCCAGGCTACCGGCAGCTACGCTAATGGCCACAACAACAATACCGAGGGCGAGAGTGGTCAACACCAAGTCAGCAACGGCAGCAGCAGCAACAATGCGTCATTCCCAGTCCCATCATCTAACGCCAATTCTAACGCCAATTCTAGTACCAATCCTATCAACAAAATCCCACCTCGTCGCAATGCGTCCCTCTCACAAAAGGCACACCAGCAACTTCAACAGCTTCAACAACAAAGTAGCGCTGGCAGCTATGGCAATGGCAATCTTGTCGCAGAGCCGGACAGCATTGAGTCTCATTCGCGAGGAGGCAGCTCTATGGGATATAGTACAAATGCTCATAACGACTCGAATCACCTAAGCAGAGGACGATCCAATAACGGCAGCTCGGACCAGGGGCAACATCGCTCTGGCCAAGAACAGCCATACTCATCTGCGGCACTTGAAAGGATCCCCTACCAGCACTCGCTGCCTGCCCACCAGCAACCCCCGGGCGTGGTGTCCCCAACGTTAACAGCCTCTCCCCCTTATGCATCCATGGCAGCCTCGGGAACGAATTGTCAGCTGGAAAGAAGTCCTAGTCGGAGAGATGGAGTTGTCGCAGGCGACATTTTGCCACCACCTCCACCCTTCAACAAGGCTGCGTCCTCCGGAACACTTACGGAAGAAGGAGGACGACACCACCGGCGCACCGGGAGTAATGCCAGCGCGAACGGAACAGCAAGCGCCAGTCTTACAAAGATCCCGCCATGGGAGCGTGTTGAAAGAATCCATCACCAGGACTGGTTCCGACCAGGACCCCACCAATCTGGAGCACTACAGACGTTCGACGTTGCAGGCCTCACGCTCTCTCAACAGCAAGCTGTTCCTATCCTTAAAAAGAGTTTGCAAAGGCCCATGGAAACAGTTCAGTCCATAGAGGTCGAGGAACATCTTCGATAGGCCAATCTATCTTTAATGCCATCCACTTTACCATAATTAGTTCTAATGTTTGCATTTTATTTTACGCTCAACTAATGACCATGACCATAAGAAAATAAAACGAGAAGAATGACTACAATCGATTGGTTCATGGATGGATGCTATGTACAGGTTACTGTATTTTGCTTCATGGCACCCTCGTGGAGGGTTCTCTCTGGTCTGCGACGGCTGGGAGATCCTGATCCATCCACTTCTGTTCCAGTTCCATTATTTGCTGCTCAAAGAACGCTTTAAAGAGTTGAAAGAAGATAATAGGGCGATGTTAATAACGGGGAGCGACCCATTGAACCGAAATCTGCTATAATTAACAAGCTCTAAGGGCTATCCTGCGTACCTTGTTCGCTTTCCTCTGTAGATGCCGGCTGCTCGTTCAAGGGCACCGTGATGGCTAATAGTAGTATGGGTGGAAAACGTGGAGCTGTCAGCGCTTTCCTGGTCACTTTGGCATCGCAAGTAGGCTTTAGTTCCATGAATGAACTTACAGTCATCCGGCAGATCTTCAGACTCCCATTCCGTCTCGATGTTGATGAGATCTGCATCGCGCCAGTGGACTTGACAGTATTGACTATCGCTCATGACTGAAGTGTTGAAGAACAAAAAAAAAAAAAAGAACCAAGCGGTCGTCGCTAAAAACTCAATTTGAGGAAAGCATCGTCGCCAACGCAGGGCACGAGCTCGCCACGTCCCCAAGGCACTCAACCGGGATACGACCATGGACATTCGAAGCCTTCAGCATGCGACTGAGTCTACCTTCCTGGGAGTCAGCCTTGATCCTCAGCCATCGCACTAGCTCCAGAAACACCTCCGGATCATTATTATTGTTCATTCCTCCTGATGCGGCGACGGCCACAATATGAAAGACATTTTCCTGATCAGCATTATGGTCATCGATACTAGCGCCATAGGAGACCAAGAGCCGGGCGATGGCGATGTGATTCTGTTGTACGGCTCGCATTAGCGGAGTGGCACCGAGCTCGGGGGTTTTGGCGTCGATGTCGGCGCCGGCGTTCAGGAGGAGCGTGCAGATCTCTTTGTTGCCTGCCCTGCTCGCATAGTGCTGTTGAAATTTAAGTGTGAATAACATCGGGTGATAATGATGCTGGTATAAAGAGGAAAAAAAAAAAAAAAAAAAAAAAAACATACCAGAGCTGTATATCCAGCGGTGTCAAGAGCATTGGCAGGGGAAACACCACGGCTGTTGCCTTTGGAGAGGATGGTTTGGACCCGAGTGAGATTGTTGCTAATGCATGCGGCGTGGATCGATCGACTGAATTCGATCTCGTCAAGGTTCTCGGCGATGGAGCTCGGACTGTGGTTGCAGATATGTCCCGGTTGGCCGTGGTCGGTGCATCCTTGCTGTGGTCGCGCCATAATTATGGGTACCGTGCCTGGAAGTGTGATAATACAAAAAGATTGTGTCCAGCTGTCGACCGGATCTCATACACACCTTGACGCCGTTCAATAAGTTATTCGCACAACTTTACTGTGTAGGTGAAAGGTTTAAAAAGTCATTTCTGAGAACAAGCGAAGGCATAAGCACAGCAATTCAAGTACTTAATCTAGCGGCGCACACCTTCTTCGTGCCGTGGGCTTTGCTCGACGACATGTCCCTGCTTCTATTCGGAACCTCTTGAATCAAATCGAAACGCGTATCGGCGTATCGTGCTCTCGCGCCCAAGCAGGCCATGTCAGTCTGAGTGTTGTTTTTGCGTCCAATTGAATGTTGAAAGTGCTGTTGAACTCGCTCGTCCTACATACTTTCCAGCGGTTCTTCTTGAATCCATGTCTAAATTCTCATTTAATGCGTGGAGAGCACTATCGGTTATTATCTCTTCTCGCGATGACATCTTCAGTTGGCGATATGAGGGGCCAAACATATCAAACGATTACAAGTCACATTTGGTGCATTTTTGCCAGCCCTCGCCGCTCACAACCGTCGCGTCGCCAATCTTCCTGACCCTCCACCTTGGAAGCACAATTGGGAACCAGACTCGTACCATATCCTCTACGCACGGATCCGAGAGTCCGTTCCGACTCGTCTTCCTGGATTGCGATGGCCGGCTGATCTATTCTGCTAAATAGCTCACATAGCTACAAGAGGACACTGCCCTGCCTGCATGGAGTTTAAAATGGAAAGCCGTATCCGGGTTAAGAAAGCGAAACGAGAGAGGCTCTTATATTAGATCGTAATGATTTAAAGCAAAGATCCGTAGCTGACGGTGAATGGTCGCTACCGAACTTGTTGACGTTTGTCACAGTTTGGTTGAGTTCGTTGCTGCACTGGTGTCGTAGATCCATTTTTCAAGTCTTTAGGTTGTCGCCAAGCTCACGAATACTATGAGGGAAGTGATGGCTAACGACGCCACATGGGCAATCCGCTCTGCAAATAACAATTAATACACAATCTTCATAAAACAACGACCTTTATTGTATTAATTGCGTGTATATTGGAATTGACAAGCTCCTCACGTCTCAATGGACCACGAGGAAGAATGTACGTAGTTAATGCAGCTCTGTCCTGCAGCTGCGGAACAAACATTCAAATGCCATAACGAAAAAGTGGGAGTGCCTAGGCGGTTTCAAAGTCAATACTGGTCCGGAATACTGTACCTTCGATCCACTGACCCCTGTGCGACGGGCCACTATAATTCCGGACCGCATAGTTGGCGTTACATGGCCTCCCTGGACGTGCATGAAGGAACAGAGTTCTTCTTCGCAGCCATAGTTGAGAGTAATATAAAAGAATGAACGATGAAGGAGCAAACAAAAGTCTTCGACCATAAGAGCCATGAGAAAGATTGAGTCACTGTACCTTCGATTCTTTCTTTTTTTATTACATGATACCAAGTTCTACAGCACGCCTAAAGAGTAGCCTTTGGCAAAGACCTCGACGTTGTTATCCAAAATCTTGTAGTGTAATGTTAATGCCGGCCATTCGTTCTCCTTGACTTCTCCAGCGCGCTGTCGAAGCAGATATCCAGGACCATGCAAAAGCGAAAGCTGTACTCCAGCATTGGTAATATGAACCAGATGTTAGCGAACGACGAAGCAGAGTCTTGGAGTCGATGATCCTGTCAAAATGATAAATACAAATCACTAACCTGGCCGTGGACGTCCCTAGATCCACCACTATCAAGGCCTCGGACGTCGATAATATAGTCTGCCTCGTAAAACACGCCCTTGACAAGACCATCCTGGCTGACCTCCTCTGCCAGGACTGCATCCGCGTGTACAAGTGTAATAAGACTTCCGTTGACCTACAGTCAATGATAGCTATAACTATTAGTTCCTGTAATCCAAACAACCGGTATCCATGAAATAACAGATGAGTCATGCATCTGTTGCACACACGCAATGAATTACCTTGGCGACAAGGAGCTTCAGGTACCGGACAAGGGCGAGTACATCCCGACATGGCCATCCGCAGTTCAACAAAACAGAAAGATCGTCCAAGATCAAGCAAAGTTGCTTTCCTTGTCCATTGCCATTGCTCTTTGAGACGGTGTAATTGATGAGATCCTCCAGGGCTCTGTAGAAGTCGGATAACTTTGGGCTATAACTCAATACTATAGGAAGTGCCGCTGGTGTAGTTGTTGCTGCTGATGCCGCTGTTGGCGGCCTTGATATCGTTGATGTTGGGCTTGATGTTGTGGTTGATACCGATGTAGATGTTGCCTCTGTTGACGGTTTCGTTTCGGCCGCTTTTGGAAGGAACTCTTTGTTGGGTACAGCATAGTCCGTAAGCTGCGTCAATCCATCCACAAAGTGAAAGTTGCCCTTTGTCCTTGCTGCCGTTAGGTTGACACCCTAAACGAATTGTTTCCAAGGATTATTTGGTCGTGTTCTAGTCAGTCAATCGTTTAATTCGAGGTACACACGCGTTCTCTACGGTTTGATTTGTCCTATCAACCAAAATATCAGTTTATGCCTACAAGTTTACGTCCGACCATGGTATAATGGACCAGGATCCCTGCGAGACCGACGAGGATGACATTGTGATCAGCCTTGATGTAATTTGAGATAAAGTGGTGGAGCAGAAAGTTCCCGTCCGAGGCCTGTGTGTCGGAGATGGAGAGGAAGATCCCTGGCGGCAACAGAGGTGCATGCGACGAAGGCAAATGAGGTTCGAGCGATGCGTATCCCATGGCGAGTGTGAGCTGGCAACAGGTGGGCGGTGCGAAGCGATAAACAACAGGGAGTGCTCTGGCCAGTCACTGGTGAGGGGGATGGAGGTCCTCTCCCACATACACCCTGGGGTCTCCTGTCCAGGCCAGCCAATAGGAGCCCCTGCATAGGATGATGAGGTGTGTTTTTTCCCGCCATTGTCTGTGAGGAGGATACGCATGAATCCGCGTAGCATTACCGTAATAATAATATACACGGCCCTATGACGAGCAGGGGGCCTTTTTTACGGCCCGTGGTGGTAGCCCGTTGGTATCTCATTTCTGCTTAAAGAGAGAGGTGATGGATCCCGATCTGCTCTGGGCGACCATCCTCAACTGCACTTAGCACGAAAACCCCATTTGTGCATTCTTCTATCATTACTTCATCCTATCCTTCCTTATTATCGCTTCCTGACCAATACTGCTTACTGACTTTCATCCCACCCTCTCTGCGCCCAGCACTCCCGTCGCTTCTCGCCCCCAACCCCACTCGCCTCAAAACCATCATCCCCTCACCATCACCAGCGCTCGTACACTCTTAAAGGATTTATTTGATCCGTAGGATACGCCATTTTCTATCTCAGCGCGTAAATCCCATTTCATTGTATATAAACCAACACTCCCTAAACGGTCCTTTGCTGTTGGATTTATCTGATAGCAAGCATACCCGCTCCGCAAAGCAACACCCTATCTATAACGCACCGCAGATGCTCTTGCTCGTACCTTCGCAGAAGACAGAAGACAATGGCACCCGCAATGGGTCCACATCCCACAACAGAGTCCTCGTTGTCCTGCCATCAGACACGGATCTCAGCTCCAATGTCATTGTTCCTGACACCGCCATCACAACCACCCTTGGAACAAACGATACTCTCGATACCATCTACGACTTTGCAATCAGTCCGTTTTCTACATATAAGCGCGACTTTATAGATTCACCAAGGAACACCCGCGACCACCTGGGCATCATGCAGCTATCAAGACCAGCACATCGGCCTATTCAGCAACCAAACATCCATCAATCATCAGAATTTCCACCAGAAGACCAGTTCAGTCGATCTCGCAGGCATTCTCATACAGGGCATGTTGAGACACGATATTCAAGACCGTTCTCGTTCACCCAACCGCGCTCAAGGTCACGTCAGTCCCTTTCGCAATCGTCACCTTATCACACCCAACCTGTCCGGACACCTCGTGCCTTGCGAAGCGCATTCAGGAAAGCGAGAAAAGACCAGTCGCCTCTATTGACATCAGCGAGTTTCGGCTCGGATTATGCGCTTCCAAGCATGGCCATCGACTCAATGGACGACAACGTAGGTTTTCCATCGAAACCCTGTAGTGGCCACAATTCCTTGTCCCTAAAGACGGGCTACAGCGAAGGTTCAGGAGATCACTTACCGATGGCGGATGGAAGAGCGAGTTCAGTGGGCGCAATACAGTCGGGTTTATGCAGAGCACACTCTGCAAATGCTTTGACTGTGGCACAGGACAAAATGGACCAGGATCCTGACGTCAATCTTGAATTAAATGAACAGCCACGCACGGGCCCCGATTGCGCATGGCGCCTCATTCGCTCGATTGCACACCCCGAATCAGCCAATGCAGCTTCTTCAAAACGACATGCTCGGGAATCTAGTGAAATTTCGGATGTAGGCGAGATGTCTGACGAGGAATCGAGCGCGAGCAAGGACTCAGAATCTGCAGGGAAAGTTGTCTCTTGTGTCATTTCAAAGTCAACAGGGACAATGGACCACCCAACACAAGGAAACGGGATTGTAATGGAAGGAGATGCTGAACTACAAAGTACCATTGACGCCGACATGACGATGATTCTCGGGATGGCATCTGATATGGAGCTGGTCATGCCGACATTCGACGACGACTATCTACAGGACCTGAACGACGACTCCGCTCCAACTCGATCAAGCAGAAGTTGTTCTGCCTCTGCAGCCTCATCCGCTGAATCACATTCATCATCGACGACTGCGGCCTGGCTATCAACTCAGTGCTCACTAAGATCACACTCTTCGACACCCTGTGCGGTATCTGTGGAAGTTGGACAACGGGCAGATTCAGTGCCTACATCTCCTGGCATATTAAAAGCCAGAGAGCGAGCACATTCTCCTATTGTTTGTCAGCAGGTCCTGGATTCATCCCCTTTGCAAAGTTCATCGAATCAGTCAGTCGCGCAAGAGGATGCCTCTGCCATCGGCAGCCATATCAATAGCTCGAGACATTGTCATGATAATCTGAGACATAATTCCGATACATCTAATATGGACAGAGCGTCTGCCAGGTCATCAACCTCCTCTCCATCTTCGCGTGGATCATCTGTAGTAGAACAGCCCTCGTTATCATTTTCATCCTCGGTTTCATCGTCGTCGTCATCCTCTTTAGTTACCACTGCAAGTGAAGAGCGCAAGAGCAAAGGACCTATTTATTTTAAGCCAACACATCATATACTACCCGAACAACGCGTTCCTGGCGAGCACCCACAGCAGAACCTTATGGTTATTCACTCAGGTCAGTGGACATCGGACAACAGGGATCCTGCTGGATCTAGGCCATATCAATCTCAGTTTCGGCCAGGATCATCTTTTGTACCAGGAAGTGGCGGAAACCCTATTTTTCGTATACAGGAACCTTCACCCGTATCCCCACCATCGGTCCTGGATAAAGGTGCGATGATGACAGCAAATAACATTTCCATGATCACCGCGAACATGAGCGTGCTGACCCCTCAGGAGGTTCAGGAAGATTATTATGCACGACGGACACTTCGAATGCAGCAGCAGCAGCAGCAGCGTCAACGGCGAAGGAGTGCTGCGGTGGGGTCGAGCAGTGTGGGAGGGTTGGGGTTTCGGACGGAAGGGATTTCGTCTCTATGCCAGAGGCGCTTTTCAGCGTCTGATATCCAGCCATTCGAAAAGCCGGTTGTGCCAGCCATTGGAGCGAGTCCACTGCCAGCTTCGTATTACATCCCTCCAAGTGCCTTTCGGACTGAGGCCGCTGTGGCGGCAGAACAGGAAGCTGAACGGAAACGAAAGGAAGAAGAAGAGGAACTCAAGGAGTCGTTCTTGGTGTTTCCATCGCCCACTTTGTCCTGAAGCTCTAGCTGCTTTTTTCCAAAAAAAATAATAATAATATATATATATAAAAAGATGCAATCGATTGATTAAGGTTTAAACTATGGAACTGACAAATTTGGAATCGTGGGAAGAATGATCGGCTTCCTGCCCTCCACATGTCAGTTTAGGCATTATACTTTCCCACAATGATTGATTTGGATGATTAGTGACTGTTGAGATTATCTTTATCGGATCTGTGCGCAGGTCGATCTTGGATGCTTTGAACTCCGAACCATACGACCGACGAAGTATGAACTATCACTTGGATGCGACTAAAAAAAAAATTACCACAAGATGGTCGTTGTGCTTGCCACTTTTTTGGACACCAAAAACTCCCCCAAAGAGAGAGATGAATCTCAAGAAGACAATGCGGACCTTCAGCGCGCGAAAGAGAAGGAAGGCATTATCAACGCAGTGGACAGGCCCAATTCATTTCACATGCTGGACAAAAAAGGGAAAATGCAAAAAATTCAAATTCATCTGGCCTCCCCCCTGTTTTTTATCACATCTATAATGTTAAAAGTAAAAAATAGTCTGTTACCGCATATGATACATTTGTTGCGGGTCAGCAGGAGATACTCGGGGCAACCAATTCGTAATTTGGTCGCTTCAGAGATCTATTGGATGTGAACCGTGGGGATTTTCCTTGGTTTTTCTATATTTTCTTAAAGAGCGCGAGGTGTCCATGAATTGATTGGGAGATATCGTGGACTGTCTGTTTGGATCCTTATAATCCATCAGCCCTGGCCGGCTGAGCTTCCCATCCTTCCCACCAACCTTTGTCATCGGATAGCGGGTAAGCTCGTTGCGGTGGATTGTGCGGGGATGCGGGGATTGGGATTGAGATCTAAAAAAAAGAGGTGTATTACCTTGTCACTCAGTGAAGGAGGCGAAAGAAATGCCTCTTTCTCACGCTTACTTTTCTGGCTATTTGCTCCTTGAGTGGCTATCGACAAGTGTAGCGCGTGCAGTTGGGCACAGAGGCATCGGACGTAATCGCTTTGGGGTGAGGATTGAATGTGCGTATGTATTGTGTGTATGTGTATGTATTCGTGTGATTTCCAGGTGGAGAAAGTACATGAACATACTTGGATGTTTGGTCGTCGGAGAGTGCGTGCGTTGCGGTCCGTTATCTCTCCATAGTTTGTATTGAATCGGGGACTCAATAGGAGATGTAGTCCATCTTTGTCCCTTCCTACGCACATGGTGGTAGTGGTCACCCTTTGAACGAAGCAACAACCCCTGGGAGACAAAGACCAGATAAAGTAAAAACTTGTCCCTATCATTTAGACACACACAAGAGATGTGGAAGTGTCCGAGCAATTGTCCTTTTTCACTTCTCTTTCTTCTTTCTTTTCTTCTTTCTTTGAACAACACCCGCACTCTTCTTTGTCCACACACCCATTCTTTTCCACACCTCCCTCTTCTTGCTTTCAACCAACATACTACCACCTTACACCTCCGACTGCATTGCACACTCTATACCCTGGTAATGAAGAACAGCCACTACAGATATATCCACACCCACATCCACAGCTCTTTCCCGTCTGCACTGCACTGCATTGCACCTCACCATCATCACCGGCATTCTCATACAATTGTCTTCCCCTCCTTCCCCTCAACGGCTATGCCTCCCTAGTCCTTGAATATCCACACCACACTCGACTTGCATGGTAGCTTGCTCTCTATCTTTGTCTACTCCCTGACATGACAATACACCGCACCTGCGGATACACACCACCACAACCACTGCCATCACCACCACACTCTGCCATTTGAAGACTTTGGAGACAAAACCTCCTTTTCTGTTTCGTCTTTATTTTTTATTATCGCCTCACACTCTCTGCTTCAGCTCGACCGAGGGTTACCTCACTTTGACGACTTCCAGGAGCAGTTCGTGAGCGCCGATGATAACCCACCCGTACTAACCATCTGGTGTTCTCTTTGTTCTCCACAGCTCCGTTGCATAATATTCGAACATGAGGCCACCCTTCCCTTCCGCCGCGCAGGCCTATGCAGAGTCCATCGACTCGGACACTGCCAGCCGACACCATCCGGATGCTCGTCTTACTATTCTTCCCCTTCCATCCCTTGCCGCGCTCTACCCCATCGACGACACCCGTCCTTCTTCTCCTCTCTCTCATAATCCTTCCCCCTCAACGCATCACTCCGGCGCCGCTACGGACTCTTCACATCGAAACCTACAGGTGCACCTTCTCCACGGGAGTCCTCAATCGCAGCACTATCCTCAACAACACCAGCAACCCGCCTATCAATCCTACGATAATCATTTCCAAAAGCTCTCCGTCCCTGTCCATCCTTCTTTCTCATCATCATCGCTCAAATCCGCTGCGGCTCCTCACATTTCAATGCCCAACCACACCCGGCCTACTGACAAACCAGCTTGCCCCGAATATATTGGCACCGGCATGGAGTCACTGCTGAATGCGATCGAAGTCCACCCCGCTCTCTCTACATCCTCTTCCTCTCGCTCCCCTTCTCCGGCATCAAACGGCTACCCTCATAGCGCTTCCTCTGCCCCAACTTCTCCATTTTCATCACCTTCTTTCACGGACCTTGGCGCGGACCAGGTCTCTCTAAACGACAGTCCACCAGCAGCTCACACATTCTCCTCCACCGGTGCTACTAATAAGGCGCGTATGTCTATCAGCAACCTGCTCGATGATGCACCCGAGGACAAGCGCCTGAGGCAGAAGCAACAGCAGCAACAGACGCGTATTATAAAGACAAAGTCGACTTCGCCGACCTTTAGCACCATCGATATTACCAAGCGCAAGTGGTCAAACCTCAGCAGCGCCAATTTTGAGGAAGAGCGCAATGCAAAGATCCGCCGATCCATCCAGGACCACGTTTCTGCGCACTCGAACCAGTCCCAGATCGCGTTCGAGAGCGACGTCAACCCCGGCAGCGTTTTTCCTCGTCAGGTCTTTGACACGAAGGACCCTTCGACGCGTTACCAGATGACGACCATCTGTTGTCTTCACGCATCCGTTGCACAAAAGTCCTATGGATCCGAAAAGCGCTTCTTGTGCCCACCTCCGATCGTCAACATCCAGGCACCGCATGGCGATTCCAAGTCTGCGTTGAGCAGCAAGCCCCAGGTCACGATGTCGGTCGTTTGCGAAAGCGAGAATAACAACTCTTTGGGCCAGCGTTCGACCCTGGAGGATGACCATACAGGCACATTCCGCTATCTCTATGTTACGGGCTCTGCCAAAGCAAAGTCATTCCAGCTCAAGCTTCAAGTCTATGGTCGTGCCTGCCTGCCCAACGGATTCATCTCGAACGATTCGATCCCCTCTGAGACCGAAGAGGGTGTTGTCAACACTGCGGATTTACCAGAGCCCTATGCTGTGTTTGACAGTGCGCCCATTGCCATCATCTCCAAGCCGTCGAAGAAGACCGCTAAGGCTCGCAATGTTTCGTCATGCATCCTTGCCGGATCGCTGGTCTCGCTCTTCAACCGCATCAACTCGCAGACAGTTCGCACAAAGTACATGTCCGTCCAGGATGGCGAGTTCTGCGCCAAGAGCTCGACCTGGTCCTCGTTCTCGGTGACGATCGTTTCCAATGGTCCAAGCAACCCTGCCCGGGTGGGTTCTCCAAAGTCCCATCACCGCCAGTCCGCCATGCAGTCGTCCTCGCCTATCACCTATGGCGCGGAGATCATCTTGACCGAGACCGCTACTGGTCTGCAGTCGGACCGTCTGATTGTTTGCAAGGTTGAGAATGGACGCATCCAGGAAAACGCGACCGGACCAATCTGTCAGATGCAGAAAGTCGCCCTCATGTCGACGGAGCGCAACAAGGATGGTGAGCCTGTGTACCTGAGTGCCGTCGGCAATGACCACCAGGTCGGACGTTATATGGATCACTCGACCTCAACCAAGACAATCTTGAAGTACCAGCCCTCGACCATGGCCGGCGGCAACACCGACATTATGAAACCCGGCAGCGATGACTTCCTGTGCTGGACCATTGTTGGCATCTGTACGTATATCTTTGTTAGTCCACATGGGAAAGCCTTTGCCTCTTTGACTTTGTGTATGCGATGGATGACTTACACATGAACTTGCCTTTATATTTTTTTTCTCCGACACTTTCTAGCCAAGTTTGAGTACACGTACTTTGAATCTCTGCCTGCGGATAGTGAGACCCATCACCCGATTACGCCTTTCCCGACACTGGTGAAGAACCCGGTCTACAACGCGACCTCGCACACGCTGGAGCTGGTCGTCTCCGACTTTTACTCCCAGATTGGCGACCAGACAAGCGAGACGCCCATGGGAGTCTGGTTGGGATCGCGTGGCCCGCTTTCGACGCACATCATCCGGAGGAATGTCTCGAGTGGGCCTGAGGTCAGTATGGATCAGACGACGCTCTTGGTGGATTTGCCGCAGGGCAAACAGATGGGTGTGGCCCTGGACGAGAAGACATTGTCGTTGCCGCTGCTGTTTGTTCGCCATTCGGACGGTATCACCTATAACTCTCGAGCGACCGTTGTATTCACCCGTCCTGACAACGGCGAGCGATGGAGCGTCAGCATGGCATAAATGCGGAGGCATCGAGAGCCGGTTCCTTTGCTGCATCTGTCACCAAGCTTCTTTTTTTTTCTTTATTGATATTATTTCTGATACCATTGCTGCTCTGCTCCTTTGCTAGCTTACCATCTGCTGTACTTGTTCTTTATTTTGTACCATTCTGCCACCATGATTTCCTTTGTATTATTACAGACCGCTCTTTCTTTCTTTTATTTGCTCCCTTTTCTTTTCTCTCTCTAGTATATTTCGCATGCTCATAATGCTTGCTCACTTTACGACAGCTGCTGGCCTAGGCGCTTCAAAAATATATATATCGCGCTCTCTTTCAATCATATTTTTTTTTGGAACACGAGTTACGAGCTACACCCATTGCGGTAACATAAAGTCCACCGATCTTTGTGTGTACATGCACCAGAGTGTTCTTTGATATAAATGAATTGCAACGATTGTCTACAATATCTCCATCCTGAAGGTAATCGAGTCATTGAAAATCGTTATGGTACAACAAAATTACATTATATTATTATAGTCATTTCCTACAGTATCGGTGTCGGCATCAGAGCATCCTTAGAATCCACCTCCAAAGTCTCCACCGCCTCCAAAGTCTCCGCCGCCTCCAAAGTCCCCACCTCCAAAGTCTCCGCCGCCTCCAAAGGCGCTAACGTCGTTGAATCCACCTCCGTCGTTCATGGCCGGGACAACATCCCCACCGCCATATTGCGCCGGGATAATATCTCCACCACCGTAACCCCCACCGTAACCCCCACCGTAACCCCCACCGTAACCCCCGCCATAACCCCCACCGTAACCCCCGTCATAAAATCCGCCGTGATGAAATCCGTCCGCGAGCATACTTCCTGCAAGCAATCCAGCTGCACCCCCTGTTGTTTTTGCGAAAGGAGAAAATGATAAATGGTCAGCGTCATTTCTCGGCTCAGCTCGGTACAGTTCATTTCAGCTCAGCTCAATATATCCAAAAGAAACGAAAAAAAAAAAAAAAAAAAAGACAAGCAGACAGGGAGATCGAGGAGGAGCGCACCGGAAGGGTCCTCGCTCCAGTCAACAAATCGACCAAAAAAGAAAAACTTGCCTGCAAGTGCTCCCATGGCAAGACCAGCACCTGATCCCATGCCTCCCATACGATTGTATGAGTCCGTGTAGGGCTTATATACTCCATTGCCATATTGCTGTCCTTGTTGACCGAACCGTTGACGCTGTAGTTCCTGGATTTGATAAAATCGGGCCATCTCCTGAGCATCGGCCGCAGGACCGTTCGGATGGGCCCAGGTCGTTTGTCCCGTTTGAGGGTAGACATAGAAGAGACGCTGTTTGTTCGGGTCGAATTGTGAGATCCTGTCATGATGTCGTGATGAAATAAACAATGTGTTAGCGTACAACTGCTGAGGAGAGCTTTTGAACTGATGGTTGATTGTTTGTTGAAAGCAAGGCCAGAAAGAGGTACTCACCAGCCTCGAGGAAGCGTCGAGGGTGGGAGCATCTGCTCGGGCAGCACGTAGGGGGTCTGGGGTTGATGTCCTGGACGGGGTCGGTAGACCGTGGAGCCGTTGTCGAGTCCTTTTGAACTAAAGCAGCCCATGATGTGATAATTAGAAAGATAAATCCTTGACTTGCTCTGTGTCGATTGACTTGTAAGTGCTGAAGAAGCAAATGGAAAAAAAAAATAGGTTGGAGAGGAATAAAACGAATGAAGAACGATGGGATGAGATGGGCAGCTTGCATGTCCTTGCTCCTCCTTTTATGGAACCCTCTTGCCAAAACGAGCAAATGACATCACGCTGTCGCCCCTTCCCGCACTTTTTGATCGACTTTGGTGGGACCAAACAAGAGGACACGCCATGAACAACGGAACCTTCCTTCCTCGTTCGTATTCGCTTCTAGGAAGACTTTCCACCGTCTTGGCATCAAACATTCTTCAGGTCTACCAGACACTCCCCACTCGAGAGTGTCGACATTTGGACTAGTTTTGCCGCACCGCCATGGCGCCTAGCCACACAGCACAGCCCCGATCGCATTCCTTATTTATTTTCAAATCCACGTATGTACGTACATACCATGCCAATGATGCCATGAGACTATTCATACTGTCATTTCCCACCATCACTTGTCATAAAGTCAGTTTAGCGCCCGTGATTTGGAAACCGCTTCGTCGCGGCCCTGTGCTATTTTTCAGCTTGGCGTCTGAGGAATCGGAAGGGCAAATGAAGAGACAGCAGGGTATAACAGGGGGGGGGTTACACTACTTTCCTGCTTAGCAAAATGATTTATCCGGGAGACGAAGAGAACAGACAAATGACTGTATTAAGAGTTCGCTCATTCAGATCGTTATCGATCGCAATAGAGAGCATCAAGATAATTAGCGGGTTGCGTGCATGCACAGAGCACATGTATTTTATCACGCCGCGTTAAGGTAACGCTGCAGCTGCCATTCAATACCATGCGCCCTTCATTCCGAAGTTCATCTATGAAACTGTTAAAGCTACCAGCTAGAATTGTCCCTAGTCCCAGGGTTTTGCAAGTCCTTATTGGTGAGCGCCGTTAATCATTGTTCACGATCCATCTTGACGATTAGACAGTTTCTGTGGTACAAATTACAGGATTGTTTATTACTCAGGGCTATGAAGTGGCACAATTCTAGAACGGTGAACCAACCATCCATGCGGGGCGGTAAAAAAAAGAGGGCATTAAGATTGTATAAGGTGTACTAGTAAGAGGTAGAAGAGACAATAAGGCGTTTATGCCTTGACATCCTCGAAGGCACCCTCCTGCTTCTCACCAACGACCTCATCACCCTCCTCAACGGTGTGGTCCTGGACGGCCTTGAAGGCGACGGGGAAGGCGCCGAGGACACCGACAAAGATGAGGACAACGCAGATGATGAGCTCGCCCATACCAGCGGTCTTGGGGTGCTCAGCGTTGTAGCCCTTCGAGGGGGCGTTACCGATGACCGAGGTCTGGACAACGGGAGCCAAGACACCTCCCAAGTTCTGGATGAACTTGTAGAAACCGGCGAAGCGAGCAGCCTGGTTGGTGTCGTTGGTGAGGGCACCCATCAACCAGTAGGAGTAACCCTGGTACATGGCATCAGTAACACCATAGAAGAAGTACAGGAAGTATGGTCCAATGTACTCGCCAGTGTTGTGAACAAGATCAATCATGTGGAAGTCAGCGGGGTTCTTGACCCACACGCCATCCTCCTGGATGGGGTTGCGGGGTCCGAAGGTGGTCTGGAAGATGATGCCTCCGATCCAGGTACCGAGCAAGACAATGGTCAAGAGAATGAGACCATAGCGGGCACGAGTGGTACGGGTCCACTGAGCGCGATCCAGGAACTTTCCGTAAAGGATCGAGGCGACAATCTGGGCAGCCCAGTACGACATCGAGTTCATGTTGCGGGAGCGGGTCGTGAAGTTAGAGCCGTTGACAGCAGTGAATTGGTAGGTGTAGAACCAGTTGGAGGTGAAGAACATGGGGATGAGAGCCAACATGCGCCAGTCCTTGAAAAGGGCAAAGACAGACTTGAGCTCGGAGATGGGGCTCGAGTACTTGATCTTGACGACGTGGGAACCATCCCTGCGGACAACCTTGGAGATGGGCAGCAAGAAGACAGAGATGAGGGCACCGATGGTCATGACGATCATGTAAGCGGTGTATGAGGCAGTGCTGGCACCACCGGCCTTCTCGTCATTCCACTGGAGACCGAGGGGGATAAGGTTACCGAGGACAGCACCAGTGTTGAAGATACCCCAGAAGATGGAGAAGTACTTGCCCTTCTCGTTCTCTGGTGGGTAACCCATCATGACGGCACCCTGGGCGCACCACAACCAACCGGCACCAATACCGAGCAAGCAGGAGGAAATGACGACAAAGACGATGGATTGGATGTAGTTGTAGGCAAGGTAAGATCCAACATAGAGGACATAGGTCAAGCCTCCGAGAATGAGGAGAACACGATGACCGAGGATGTTGAAGAGAGCACCAGCGAAGAGGGAGGAGAAGGCGAACACGAGGGACAGAGCGGTACCGGCGCGGTTACCGACATCGGAGTCCTTGGAGGAAAGACCATACTGACCGGTACCCTGGAGGGCGTTGAACATTCCAGGGCAGCAGAAGCAGATGAAACCCTAGAGAATAGTGCATAGCAGGAAGACATGAATAGATGGTCAGCGAGGAATGCGGATCGCTGCGGAAGACCATCAATGGTAGAGATAGGCCGCTTTATGTGAATAGAATAAGGCACTCACCAGGATGATGACCTGGGCCATGGGATCATTGAGCTTGATCATAGCGGCGGTTGAATGAGAGGCGGAGAAGGGGGGAAGAGAGGAGGAAGGCGAGAATGTAGAGGGAAGATGATTGAGAGACCTGAGGGTGAAGAGAAAAAAAAAAAGGGAAATGTGGATGTGAGGCGGCGTTTTTATACGGTAGATCATCCTTGAGCTGCGTAACGGACACGAATCGGCGAAGAATGAATACGGAATACAATTCATTCGGTGGAAGGGATCTCTAACAGTTGTCACTGTATGCCGCAGACGTGTACAAGTGGGAAAGAATGCAGTGCGAGAGCCCTCCAGTGTGCCGTTAAGTTAATCGCAGGTGGCGAGTAAACAGAAGAGAGTTGGACGAATGGAGCGAAGGAGGAAAGGTACGATCAAAATCAGATGGGCTGGTCCTCCACGGCAACCCTATTTCATACTTTAAAACACTAAAATAAGAATTCAGCCAGCCCATTTAGCCCTAACTTCCTTCTTTTCGTCCGCATGGCTGCATGGCTGCATGTCCATGCCAGCTTCTCTGTCTCTCTTTTTGAAGACCAACAAAACACCCTAGGACACTAAATCAGCATCGGTTCCAATCCTCGAGTCACCTTTAGATCGCACTCTACTGAATTTCGACTTGACTCGCTAGTTTCAACTCGCAGCATCATCCAGCCAAGCTGCCCAATATTTACATCTACATCAACATCGATGGCAGTAGCAAGATAGTAAGTGAACCTAACTTGTCCATTCGCGTCCATCCACCTGGCGCGCCCGCCCGCTTTATTTGGTCTTGGGCTCTGGTGTTGACTCTCCCTGTACAACGAAAAGAGTTGTTTCGTATACACATAATTAAGACCCTGCTCACCATTCGTGCTTTATCTACACTCCATCACCTCACCATCTCGTCCTCTCTTTGCCCCACACATCGCTCCCGGTCACAAACTACGAAGACGATTAACATGGTGACCAAACTAATGTTCGCTCAAGTACGAGATATCACAGGAAAGGACAGAAGGGGACCGCGCGCATAGAAAGGAGGCGGCGAGGACCAATAATTCCCTCCGCCCCTTCAATTCATTCCTGGTACGATCATTGACTATTGAATAAAGATTGGATATAGTTGCCATGGTTCTCCGTTGGGTTGCAGTTCGCCCTCTGAGAGGAAGAGAACGAACCGAATAAACAAATAAACAAATAGAGCATACTTTGTTTGCTCTTCTGATTGAATATCATCTGTTTGCGGATTAAGTTATCTGGTACTTTTGTAAACATAGTTCGTTTATGGTTTTTATCGGCCCCAATTAGGGAGAGAACGATGGGCATGGAAGGACCAGCCAAGTGATCTGGCTCATCTTCTCATTCCTAACTTCATTCCTATTAGAATAGTGTATGTGCCTCTTTTTTCTATGACCGATTTCTACCCATGGACGCTGGATCTGGGATTAGAAAAAGAAGCATTAAGTTCCTATACCGCCCTTTTAAGAGGCAGTCTATGACTGGATTGTTCTTTCCCCACATAGTCTGATATACATTTTATTTTTGCCATTTCGTCCCCCGCCAATATGTTCACGGAGCATCCAAAAATCTACAATCTATCGCATTTTATTATCCCCGGGTGCATGCGCACACATGTCCCATGGCTATGGAAGAGCTGTACCATTTTTTTTTTTTTTTTTTTTTTTTTTTTTTTGAAATGGCTGCAACCTACTGCGAGGAAGTGTATGGTGTGGTTTTCCGTAACCCACAACACATGCACAAGGTGTTTAGCAAATACAGAAAAGTAACACAAAAAAACAACAATAGAAGGTCCCTTTTGCAGTATTTCCCGTCCTGCTGGTCAATGGGGCGATTTTTTTTTTCTGTTTGGAGGAGTCTCCTTCTGCTCAACCATGAAACCAATGGAGGCGGCCGGCTGCTTTGTTTGTTGCTGTTCGTCTGTTGGTTCATGAGCGCAAACAGAAACACCAGAGGATGCTGCCAGCTTCGATTACGCTGGATGCGTAAGCCATGACCGGAGAAGGAATAGGGCTGCACAAAAGAGTCCAGCATAAACAATGAGGCGAGATAAAGCGAATCGATACAATTCGGCGCTTTATCAAATGGATCTATGAACCATAGGCTCATCCTGTGGAGGCATTAGCACAGGAGTGCTGATCCCGTTTTATGTTCTGTACCCTTGAACCATGGACAGACTCTAATGCTATAGGTCAATCTGTTATCTTGCGCCTCTTCGATTCTTAGTTGTTGTTTTTATTCTTGTGCCTAGAAAAGTATACGTAGGCTAAGCTTAGGAGTAGGATGAACAGTTAGGTGCTTGCCAGTTGGCACTGGGGGAGAGCTATTGTTGTCTTCTGCGCATGATAAAATGCTGATATGTTATCAAGGCATGGGATAGGGGTGTGTATGTTGCACAAGAGAGGAGAGTTTGAGGGTTATCAACCTATCGACGTGCATGATCTTTTCCAGTAGTCCGCATGTAAACAAATGAATATAAAAATACTAATGCAATGGTACATGACGCTCTCCTATGAAATGATTATCACACGCAACCAAAACTTAGGATCCCGAGGGCGGCGCAATAGCGGTAATATCCTTGCGCCCTTTGGTGCGTCCCCTGTTGGAAGCGATTGAATGTAGTTCACTGCGGCGCTCAGCAATGAAGTTACCATCGCAACGCCTCGGTTCTTCATTTGTTGCGAGGACAGGGCGTAAAACGGCCTCGTTTCAGATGTCAAAGTGTACGCACAATGAAGGGAAAAAGAAACCCATTAGAATTCGCACATGAACAAATGTATTCGATACCCGAATGCTTTCCGTGGATACAAATCAAAAGTGAATCTCTTCTCCAGGCCTATTGGCTGGCGGGAGAAGGTCAAATAGTGCTCAACAAGAGATGTCTTGATCAAGGTTTAATCGGTGGATTGTTACACGGGCAAGAAAACAAACAAGAAATTATGAGTGCGGGTTGGCAGCAGGTCATGTTTGCTGCAGGAATCTTTCCCGACAATGCATGACTTTGTTGTAGACCATGCAGCAGGCTGCATAGAGGGCATAGCCTACTGCCATTGCTGCTTCTTGATCTACAGGAGCATATTTTCTTTCGAGTGACTGATTGTTGGATACCGGCGATCTATATGGTTGACCGGCGAAGAGACGCTTATTGGGAAATCGGAGCCGGTTCTAAATGAGACCGAGTTATGGAGAAAATTCCTCATTACAGTGTCCGGGAACACAAATGTAGGCGACCGACCCTCGATGAAATGAACTTTCCCTTGAACACACTTGATTGACTCTTGTCAATGGTACGCCCAGCCTGGTACTTGAATTAAGGTCTTGGTTATGGCTTTTAGGTTCAAGATCAGACGAGTCCTTTGTGGAAGAATGCACACACATCATCTGGCGAGGGTCGAACCATAATCTACGAATGCAGAGCACTAGAGAGCAATCGTTTAATACCTCTGTGTTCTGGGGCTGGAAGAAATTGAAAAGAAGATAAATTGCCCGAACACGCCTGTAACACTAGCATATCCAAAGAGATTCACGCATAAATAAAACCATTCAGCTCGTCTCGTACCTTCTTGACCCTTGCTTCTCTAGGTTTTTTTCGTACCCCTCGAGATAATCAAGATCGTACCTTGGGCATGTACAAGGATGCATGACCATGTGGTTAAGTAAAGGTCTAGAAGCAACTCTGGCGTTTCTGATAGGACCGTTGACGAGAGCGATAATGGGATTGAATTCGCTTTGCTGTGGCACCTGCGCTTCTCAAACCTACATGCTGATCATAGACTACAGGTCATAGATCCCTTTAAGCGGTCAGCTCCTTTGAGTTGGCTTCTCGGGATGGATTAAGCGCATCTTGTTTATGGTACTCTTTTGTTTTGTACCTCTTTTTTTTTTAATCCGCTAGCCCGCACTCGCATGGCTATTTACACCCTCTGTTTCTGAACACCAATTAGACCACAGCAGTACCGGAGAATTTGCTGTTTGCTGATTTTTTTTTTTTTTTTTTTTTTTTTTGTCAGCAACCTGCGGGACACCAAGGTGAATACTGCAACATGTCTAGAAGACGAGTATGGTGTCCTTTCAATGGATCCTGGGCTCTTTCCTCAGAAAGAGCCCTCGGACAAAATTTCTAGACATAGAGTGGGATGATTTTTATCGTTCGACATTGCACATATACCGGGGGGACATCCGACATAGAGGTTATAACTGACTGTTGTCGACGTGCTTATCTTGAAAGGCTGTTGATCTTCATTCTCGTAGCGGTCACTCCTGAAATGGCTGGTGTCATGCCAACAGTTTCGAAGGCTGCACACACACAGTTACGCCGGCGGACGAGGAAGAAGCTGCACGAAAATTGGGATCATCCTTGCATCACTGAAGCAAGCTTAGGATACATATTAGCTCTATATGGTTTTCCGATCTTAGCATCAAAGCAGGCTGCCTTCTTTTCAGTCCAATCTTCATACCCATCGTTACAAAGTTTTAATAAAGATCATGTTTTGTGCAGGATACCAAGACCGAGGACAAATGAGACTATCCCGCTTTTTTTTTTTTTTTTCTGGCTCAAAATCCTTTCCCCTCGTTCAACCGTTTGGGAACGCGGACTTCGTTCGGTTCTGATAGATCTAAAGAAATGCTTCAAGGATCCTCGCGGCATAAACCTGAAGGCCACAATGGGACGTCTAGGACGTCGTTATGATTTTCAAAGGAGTTTGTGTGTGCGTATATCCAGCAGGGTGATGAATACCGGCTAGAGCTTACGCTTTAAATATCTCTTGCTCTCTTGAGTACATAAAGACTATCCAAAAACGGGCCAGGGTGTTCGAGTGCCGCAGAGATTATGGGCACGCATCTGAGATACCTGCATGGGGCAAGTTTGGTCATCTACCGATTCAGCGGCCACTTCCGTATGTCGCATTTTCCCTGATGATTCACGTTTTTTATCATTATTTTTAAGGACTGGCTGAGATCCAGGCATGGAGCAAAAAGCGAATATGATCCTCCCTTGGCCTTTCCACTGGGCTACGAACATCGAGGAAAGGCTTACGCCTAAGTCTCTCTTTTTTTCCTACATCTCGGCAATCTATCAGTGGACAAGGACGTGTAATATGTGCGGATAGGGACACAGTGCAAGTTCATTCACAACTCTTCATGTACACGATTTGCGCCAGCATCTCATATATACCAATTCATTTTTTATTGACGCCAGGTCCCCCCAGGCGTGCAGGCGTGCCACAGGCTGCATTCAACTTACTAGCTGTGACCACGTGGAGGGCTCGTTCCTTGTACGTACCCTCTATTGTACGTGTAGCAAATGAAATTGTCGCCGAGAAGAAGAGATGGGAAAATTGATAAGGATGGGCTCTCATTGTTGGTTGTCGTTTGATATGAATCTAAAAATAATGCTCTGGGCAAAAACTTCCCTGTCGACCAAAATGTGCCACGGATACATCCATTTTTGGAAAGCGTTATCTAGCCTGCGGATGGGGAGAGTACGGCCAAGATCTTATTATTTTTCTTTCTTCCTTGTGTAAACCACTCCATCAAACACGCTATCTCCGTTCCCTAAAACGGCTATGGTCTTTTAATTATTTATTTTTTGGGGGAAGGAAGGAGGGGGGGAGGGGGGAGGGGGGGAGCAGATACACTGAGATATGGTTCCTGAGGGGAATCATAATCTAGTTGAGGAGACCGTAAGGCAATCGCGAACTACGAGATAGAGACGCCTTCGATAGATTCACACGAGCAGGATAAATTTGACGCCAAACGAATGTCGCCAGAGAATCTAAAGGTATCGCCTTGGGTCATTGATGTCTTTGGTACTCACAAAGTACGTTTAATAAAAAAAAGGCTCCATGGAGCACCGAATTATTGCGAGCATTGACTACAAAGTTTGGACACCAACGCAATCAGCATGGTCATCAAGAAACGGTGATTGGTGAGATAAAATATCTTGTTATTTTTCTGGATCACTATCGATTGTTCGGTGTTGTAAATGCTCCTTGATTTCCAAGTTCCGAGGGTGGACAAATATTCAAAAAAGAAAAGGAAAAAGAAGCAACACAGCCGAGGTTAAACTGCGCTACTTCTTCCTTTCAGTGCCCTGGATGCTTAGCTCTGCTGTCATGATGAGGCCAGACGAGGGATAGGGAGCGCGCTCACCGCAGTCGACATCGTACATAGTGCATTAGCCATATAGCCATTATTGTCATAATGGCTAGCTTCACTGGGTCGGTGGGCAACGTTCTCGATAGTTCCTACGTAAAAAAAAAAGGTTTTGGCCAGAGGTTCATTTTATTCGGTGTTCCGTGTGAGGTAAAGTCGACCGCCAACTCTTTGGAAATGTTTTTTGAATACTGATATGGCGTGCCCTGCCTCACCTCTGTGGAGGAGGATTTTGGAATGCCGACCCTGTTGCTCAGGGCCAATGGCAGACAAAATCGTTGCCTGCTCTGTGGCAGTAGAGACTCTAATGTGAATAGCACGGTATTGTTGCATTGCGCCATCACTTGCGAGAGTGTTCTCACTGATAAGGCGGCCCTGTACAGTAAGGCACCGTTGCCATAGTCTATGCATAAAAGCTACCCTGTTCTTCACAGCCTGAAGGGTAAAACACTGAGCAGATTATGTCAATCCCCGGTTTGTCGATGCTGTATCTTTTTTTTTTGAGTCCCGAAGACGATTCAACTCCTTAACATCCGCCAAACTGACACTACTACAGGGGTCGATGACTCGTTCCTGCAGGCAAACTCCATCTTTCACAGAGCAAATAGTATGTAAAGAAAGGTGCGCACATCTACAGACACAAGGATCTTAAAAGGGTTTACTGATAACACTCAATGATTAGCCGTAATGTCGACTTCTTTTACCCATGATCCACAGTTCAAGAGGAGTAGTGTGCGGCATGAAATAATGAGACTTAATCTAGAAAGATTCATAGGTCTGGACACCCTAGTGTAACTGTAGCGGACACAATTTTCTGCAAGAATAAATCATTTATATAATGCAAATGGAGCCATCATAGGGGATAAACGACCGAAAGGGACAAGAGCCCACCTGGTTCCAAACCTCACACACGGTGGAATGATTTATCAGGATCCTTGTCCCACATGGACATACTAGGAGAGCGTATGGTGAGCAGCACAGTATCACAGAGCCCGTTATGCAAGTCCTGGATCCACTCCTTTACCCCACGTTTGTTCATTAAATGGGCAACGCGAGAGCATACTGCGTTATTAGTAGAGACAAGGGCGATAGAGCTACGAGCAGTGGACGGCGCTAATGAAGACTAGGATCGTGCAGGCGATGATCCAAGTAAATAATGAAAAAAAGGAGCCGATGGCCGTTCTTCCATCAGGAACCCCGTGCGATGCATGACTACAGGAGCCGGTAAGGTGCACACGATGTTTGTGTCTCGGTTACATACATCAGATAACATCTAGCCTTTACCTTGGCGACCATGAGAAGTTTTGAAGTCGGTCTTTGTGTCCTACTCCTGTGCTATTTCTGATCCTTATGCGCGCCTCCATACCGGATGCGATAATCGCGATTGTGGTGGAGAAAAAACTCTAGCCGAGACCCAAGATGCATTTTTATGTTACGCATACGGATATACATGCAGTAAAATGTTGTATGGGTTCACAAGCACACATGTTAACGAGTGGGGCTCTGGTATTTCTGCGCGACACAGAACACATATACCCGCATAGCATAATGAGCCGTACTCGCAATTGCATTTGTGATGAATGATATGATATCTTTCTCCCGACCAGAAATAGCGCTTTCTACATTCCTCTGCTTTTTGATCTCGCTGTGGGCACCAACGCCCCTTGTATGAATCAAACAAACAAATAATGGAGAACGACTAGGGTAGAGAATACAAACAGTCAAGCAAGGATAAAGTGGCCATTCACTGAAGAAAAAAAGATTAGGAGTTTGCAGGAACGCGCTAGTCATGAGTTGACCGCGGCATCAAAAAAGCAGGTCTACATATACAAGTTTTACATAGATTTATGCATTTTTTTTTATTTATTTTTTTAGCAGCGACTAGAGTATGCAGTTGACGTTAATGTGATAACAAAGATCTGTAGACTGATTGAGAGGCAGGTTACTGCATCTCTTTTAAGCGGCATGTAATGTTTCGAATTTTTCCTTCGCGCTAGATTATCCTTTATGCAATTGCTTTCTGTAAACGCTCCATATCGTCTGTTGCCGATGTCGATAAAGCATCATATAATACCCCTGTTGTACCCATGCCCCGCTCCATACGTCCCTATGTCTTCTTCCGTTTTAGGAATTCCATTCCCTGGGGTGTACGGTCAGAGTCATGAAATCGATAACCACTACGCCCCTATTGTGCCGCTATGCCAGTCCCTGCCTTATTTCTTTTTTTTTCTTCCCTAATCTTATGTGTCAATGCGCTTGCATATGCATACAGCATCAAAGAAGTAACCAAGCAAAATAATAAATGAAACGGTCATTGCTGTTCAAATTTGCATTTGGATTTGTGAAGTGCATTATCAGTTTTCTCAGATGTTCCCAAGGATCACTTGTTGTTCTATGTTTGTAACGTTTATTTTTTGATCTGTCAAAGTGAATCTGCGAGGACATGGAGTGATGCATCGGGATGACTGCCGGTTTAATGCTTATTCATGCTTGCCGGACACTCTGACGAACATTTGCTACTCCTTCGATCCTATTTCCTTTGAGATAGTGAGAAGCGTAAACAGAGCGCCGCGGGGTAGCATGCAACGCTATATGTCGTACATATTCATATTATTATCGCTTTACTAGTCTATAACGCTTGTATATTGTAGTACACGCGCTGTATTCGGTGCTGTCTGGGTTTCGATGCCTTGTTCCAGGCGATGTATCTCCTCATCTTATCTGTTGTCGGAGTACCATTTGCTCTGATGATATGCGCTATATCTTGCTGTCTGTGCAGTATTTGTAGGTGCAAGGGGTCGCTTTTATCACTACCCTGCCTTGCGATTCTTTGGCTGGACCCATATGCGTTTGATATGAATAGTGCCTGGGTAACAGTACTAGGGGCTGCTTTTATACAAATCATAAGCAAGTGACGGAAAAAAAGGAGTCGATGGTAAAGCGGATAATATTGATCTTGTAGAAGACTATCGTTGTCTAGGGAAGGGTGACTCCGTTATTCGTGAGTCCAGCGTCAACATCAGCGTCGTTTACGGTACATGTCCCTGCAGGGTACACGTCGTCTTTTTGTTTTTTAATCTATTTCATCTTATTCATCCCATATTTCACCTATTCAGTGGAGATGATAATGGTTTGTTGTGTTATGGTTGCTCCATCTGTTGTCCTCCACAGAAGCATCGTTGACGGGGTAAAAATATAAAAAGGCTGAGATTTCGGTTGGAGTCTGCGATATCAGTAATCTATCCAATTCAATTAAGAGGGTTTAGTGCTGATTTAAGGTTTTAGGCTGCCCTCATTTTCTTGGTCTCCGCCCGCCCAGCCCGTTTAGGGTTCTCGCCGTATCATTGGCTTTGACGGAGACAGCAACTTATCTCTAGCCAAGCAGAAACAACAGTTTTTTATCTTCTTTTGCCAGCACACGGAGTATTCTATCATCATTCAGTTCCGCAGGACTGGACTCAACCATCGTTCAACCCCATCTGCCCTATAAATAGCGACTGCCCATTCACCCGCACCTTCTCTTTCTTCTTTCCTCTTCTTCTAAAAAATCTTTTTCTTTTTTTCATACCCACACATTCTCTCCCCACTGTTACACGCACTATCTCTTTTCCTCGTCCCGTGCGTTTGTGCCAAAACAACAACGAACACTGCTTCTCTCTCTCTTGCACTTTCACTCCTCATTCCAACTCCTTTCTCCAAGGAAGAGCGACACGCCGCACAGCAACCCATACAAAACATGACTGCCACATCCTCACCCGCGCCTTCAGCAGCCCCGACCAAGAACGTCTTTCGTCTCCACGGCGTCAACGTCCTCAACAGGAAGAACGTCGATTCCATCTCCCGTCTCACCGCCCTCGAGAAGCGTCGCGCCACACACATCCTCGATGAGCGTCAACGACGAGACACCATGAATCAGCTCCTCGGCGAGCTTGCCAACCTCGTCCGCGAATCTGCAGCAGAGGCTCAGCAGCAACAGGAACAGGAACTCCAGCAACAATATCACCAACAGAAACAGACCAACCCCGACGGCACCGAAAAGAGACCTCCAGTCAAGTCAAACTCCATCACAACCCTCAGAAATGCCATTGCCGAAATCCGTCGTCTCCGTGCCTCCGCCGGACTCGAGACCCTCACTCCTCCCTGCGTTGCCTCGTCGACCGTTGCTTCTCCAAGTGCCTCGCGCTCTTCATCTCCTACTGCCTCTCAGAGCAAGAGCCAACAGCAACAACAACGACAACAACAGACCCAGCCATTACCTGTATTTGCTCCATTGGCATCTCAATACAGCAACTCTGGTTCCCGCCTTTCGACCCCAGTGTCCTCGCCCAAGGCCTATACCTGTCAGGCATCACATCACCAGCTCCAGTCGCCTCCTCTGTCGCCCTCGAGCCCTGCGCCTCACCAGTACTCCTCGGTCTCGCCTCCCACGATGTCTGTCCATCAGTCGAACCACGGCCCCGCTCCTCCCTCTCTCTTTGCTCCAAACTCCCCTGTCTCTTTCTCATCATACCAGCCCTCATCACAACAGCATCACCAGACCCACTACTACCAGCAGCACCACCCCCAGCAATCGTACCATAGCCACCAGTCCCAGTACCGCTCACCGTGCTACGAGTCCGTACAGTCCCACAGTCGTCCCTCCTCACCGACAATGCACTCGACCAGTCCTTCGTCCGCACCGTCAATGGTCCTGCCTCAGTCATACGTTCAACACCCCTCGACGTACCAATCGTCGACCTCTTACAGTACTTATTAAAAAAATAAGACTTAATACCAACTTGTTCATTCTGCACAGGAAAAAAAAGAAAAAAAAAAAAGCTCCTCAGCCAGATGCACAAACACCTTGTAATAAAATTTGTATAACATTTTTCGCATAAAAAAAGATCCCATGTGTTAATCTCATCATTTGCAGTATACATATCGTGCTGTCCATGCATTCGTTTTCGACCTATGCTTTGAAAGCCCGTTTGATTGTGTTCTTCTCGTACTACATAGTGCAGCTAAGTTGTCGTGTGTTTGGACTGGAATAAAAGTGCGATAACGTCAACTGTGTTTATCTTGCTGCGACACAACAGGGGAACCCTGATGGACTAATCATCGTACTTGGCACGCTTGCGCGATCTCACCAACACCTCCTCTTCCTCTTCCTTATCAGCTTCGTTCTCAGCGTGCAGAGCCTGCAAGGGTATCGGAGAGTAAAAAGAGATGCGTAAAATTATCAGATGACCGTTATATGCAAAAGGTACAATCTAAGGACAGTGAGACCGTCACCCATACAAGAACAAGCAGAAGTAGATCAGAGCTACCGAGATCGCATCGACTTACCATGGCATGACCTTCATCATGATCGTACATCATATCCGTGTCTCCATCCTGCGCCCCTTCCTCCTGCAATTGCTGCAACTGTTGCTGCTCCAGTTGCCTTTGCACCATCATTTGCTGCCGCTCTTCATCATACCGATCCTCCAGTCCAAGCTCACCGAGTCGCTGGATTTGGATTCTAAAGTCGCGTGCTGTACTCCGTCTCATGAACTGTGTTAGGTTGACCTTGGCCTTCTTGCTCAGTTGGATGACATAACGTTCGTACTGCTCCACTGCAAAGATTAGCATAGGGATCAGCTTAGACTCGCGCAGAATCTTGGCCTTTTGTCGCGACTTGACTACTCCGCCGACATGACTTCCTATGGCATCTCTTCGACTTGCCGCGAACTTTGGTGCCCTCCCATCCATGGCCTGATCCTTATCCTTGTCGGCTTTCTTTGTACCCCTGTGACCACCACCACGCTCCTGCGTCCTTGCCTTTTGTTCCACGTCGAGCATCTGGAAGTAGCTCAGGAACGAGTACAAATGTCTGGACAATTCCATACCTGCAACCTGAGTGACACGGAGAAAACCATGCGGTAGCTGGATGACGTTGTTTCCCGCAGTAGCTTTCCGTAGAGCTGACGACGATTTTGAGGCCGTGGATGATGAGGGTAGCGAAGACGGCGCGGAAAAAATGTTGAGAGGCATGGAATTGAGCGGCGTCAGGTATGACTTTGTCAAGGCGGTCAGTACTTTGTAGCATCGTTGGAGTACTCGAATCAAATGTTCTGAGGACGATTGATTGATACACGCCTGTGCAATGCGGGCCAGGACCCATAGGCAAATCTCGACTCTCCAACAAATCTCTGTCTCGAATTCTTGAAGTGATCTCTTGGCAAGGATCTGCGCAGCATTATTGGTGTTACGCTCTGCATCTGGCTGATATGGAGTCTTTGTGTCCGTGGGCGATAACAGTGATATCAATGGTGAGGAGGATCGAGGGTGATTTGCTGCCTGCGGCCGAGGCGCGTGCTGCTGTAGGCGATCGCCGTTTGTTGATTCCTTTGTGTTCCAACCGTCTGAGCCTGCCGTGAGAAAACAGGTTTGATAAGGATAGGGTGTGTACAGAGAAATAGGAAGGTGCATGTTAACGTTCGTGCTCTTTAGCACGCAGAGAATATTCAATCCCCCATAATCAGTAATCATTAATCGCTTCAATGTTATAACTGCAATTCGTCGAGAGACTACTCCGTGGACATGAAGCGCGAGGTGTGTAACAACCTTTCTTTCTCCGTGCTAGTGCGTGTCACTTCAGAACGCCCAATTGTTCGCCCAAGGGTCTCTTTCGCTCTCGATAGCGCAATATTGCCCTTTAACCGCACATCTGCATTGTATCGCTTATATAGCATCCATGGATGTCAGCGTTATCAATAGGATAAAATAAAGATCGGAACAAATTCAAACGACAAAGTTCTCGTCCGCTAGCCAACATCAACACCACGGGTGCAAAACGAGACTCGACATGCATGTAAATAAAGACGTATCTCCTTTTTATCGTCTTTTTTTCAAGATCTTATCGGTGCTTGATCGAACAAATTCCCCACGGCCATAAATAATAATCTCCGCAAGCAAGATTTGGCCGTATTTTCCATTTGAACTCTTTTGACATATCCTCTGCCTATCATTCCCCTTATCAGTACCGCAGTGCTCATCATACCTATGAACAAAACCTTCTTGTATACATCCTTTTTTTTTTTGGTCCGCTCACACCTTTAGCTTTTTTTGGCCTCTTCTCAACTCCATCCTCTTGCTCAAACGCCTGTTCATAATTTTTCCTTAGAGTGCATTTTGATAACGCATACCTGAATGTGTCAACCCGCAATATCGGAGTTTGGCTAAAGCCCACTCGAGCCCTTCAAGCGACCGGTCGACTTGCTGTAACAAAACCTCGGTGATAGCCCCTGATGTCCGCAAGGTGACAACGGCAAGGAGAGATTCAACTCCAATCTCTTGCTTTAGCCGTATCCATCGCATAGTGTCCTCGTCGACTTCTTCGCCTGGCGCGACTCCGTTGGGCAAATCGCGGAGGCTGGACACCTGAGGGCCGCTGTAATTCATGCCGTACGTCAACAGGACGTCGGCCGCGAGTCTAAGGCGGATTGCTGCTTCAGGGCAGTGAGAAATGGCCGAGGATGCGCTTACACTGCCAAAGCCAAGCGAACCCGACACCATGGGACGATTTACCGCAGGCAATTCCGCCCCGTTTTGACCGTTAACAGTTGCCAGGAGCTCTGCGTTCATCTGCGGGTTAGCGCATTCTTGTTCGAGCTGCAACATCATTGACAGAAGCGTCTTTGTAAGCCCCGTATCGTCCACAGCTTGGTCTCGACAGAATTTCACCAGCCAATGTATCAACTGGTCAAGATGACTCATCCCAGGTGCCACAAATTCCGCACTCACAGCCGAACTCGCTCTCGACAAGGCTGAGCTGTCTGCGCTCGCTTCTGCGCCATCTGCACCATCTGGGACACCGCTCGGTCTCGAAAGATATCTTGAAAGGATTCGGATCATACCCAACAACCCACCTGCCTCTTTCAGTAATGGTATGGTCTCATTGACAAATGATACCACAAGTTCCTGGAGGTATCGAACATATGCGGCTGCAAGACTGTCAAAATCGTATCGAATGGTTTGAGAGGTCGTCCAAGCAACAACCTCGGAAGCTTGTTGGTCATGCCGCTGGGCACCGTTGGCCTGAGGCAGCGTCGCAGCCAGGAAATTTGAGACGACTTTACGGCTGCAAAGGCTCTCGGGCGACCCAGGACTCATAGACGAGGATGGCTCAACACCGTAGAAGCGTTGAAGAGTTAACAAGCCAGCTGTAAGTGCCTCGATTCCGACCATCAATAAGGATTTGTTCTTGTCCTTGCCTTTGGCTCCGGCGGCCATGGCCTTGGGCCCATCAGGTCTCTCGCTAACAAGGAACTCGCGAACGAGCACGCTAGAGAGCCGTCGACAGTAGTCGTATTCACTGTCCTTCAATTTTTCTGACGATGTGTGAAGCTATTGTAAGAAGCGCATACGCATTAGACATTGCTTTTTCATACGCCATGCGATTGCAATAATAGAAAGACAATGGTTGCAACCCCAAGTAAACGTGCCTTAGTGAGTAGCGTATGGACCGTCGTGCTGATATAATATACAAAGTCGTCGTTGGATCTCAGCTTCAGCACTTCTTCATCTGGACTCTCCCCTTCGATCCTCCCCGCATACATGAATTCCATGAGCCTTGTCACGCATTCAAGCCCCAAAACCGAACTCTCCCCTAGGGGGCCAAGTTTTTTGTCTATAAATCATGGAGTACGTCAAAAAAGAATAAGCGTAACAGTTCGGATGAAACATATCAACTGCTTTTCCTTAGAGACTTACTTCGTGGCATAACAACTTTCTCCTTTACAATATCATGCAGCTTATGCATCTTGCTGAAGAGCTCGAGGATCACTTCGGATGATCCTATAGACATTTTTGCAGTCTGTAGGCTATAATCTGACAATCGGTACCGATCAGAGGCCACGCTCTTTCCAGTAGAGGATTCGCTGTACGACTGCTGGTTGAGAACTACGTACTCGACGGCAGATTCATAACAGCCTGTGAGCAACGTAGCATACATATTGTTGCGGGCCCCAATGTTGGTGGCCATGTTGAAGTCCGATGTCCTGTCCAGCTCGAAATCTTCCAGCCCAGCTCGTTGAAGACCTAGCACGATCCTGCCCAAGTTCCGATGGCACTCAGTTATCTGATGCTCATCGGGGTAAATCTCATCTATTTTGTGTAGCGATACAAGACTTGTTATTTCTATCATCGTGGCAGTTGACTGGGGCTTGGGCGCAGCAATCAGCAATCAAGAGGACACAAACGTACCAGGCGAGAATGACGTTCTTCTCTTTAATTTTTGCAGACCGACCAGCGAGCGCACGACACCGCTCATCAAATAATGGAGTGGCTCGACGAATGTCGGCTCTCCACCGTTCGTGGAGTTGCTGACGCATTCTTCCAGCTTCAGTGGTGACAGCCGTGTCCCTGTTGGATCGTAAAAGTGAACAAACTGGCAATGAAAGGAAGAAAACCTAAATGTTATTACGAAGGATAATACAGATGTTACATCGCCAGGCACGAGAACTTACGTGAGCTTGTAGGATCTCAAAAATGACGGGATTCAAGCTTGGGGCAATCTCTGCGAGCTCTATCAGGCCGATGTACAAAGAGTGGCGGACCTCGCCTTGTTGCCCCAGGCACCGACGTAACATTCCTGCGTGTACATAAAGAGGGAATACTATTGTCAGTACGTTTATGAATATTTTGTGTATACCAAAGTGAAGACTCGAGCCTTATTCAGATACCCAGGATTTCCATTGAGTAACGAGGTAGTTCGTTTTCAGAACTCTGGTGCGCTCCAAGTCTGCTGGACCCGCCTTGCAAACTTGGCTGGGATTTTGAGGATGGCTCCAATAGCAGAAGGAACCCTGACAACGCGACCTGGCGACTCTCCAAAGTTCTACGACATCATGGATTAGATATCAATCAGTTGCTACAAATTGGAAAAGTCTCGCATACATATTGTAGAAAGACATACTTTGAGAACAATGCCTTTCGCAGAATCAAAATCAGACTGTCGCGAAAGGGTCGGTTCAGCTTGGCCACATCCCTCACAGCGGCCATGAGGCGCACCGCTGTGGATAAGGATAGGAATGAGAGGTATTCAAGTGACTCCTTGATCCTTGGTAGATGCTCCTCCAGCGCCTCTGCACTATCCTTGACAATGCTTTCCAGCAGCTCAAGGAAAAATACAGTACTGGTAGACTTTGTAACGATCCTAGACATGATATGATCAAGGATTTCTGTTCTTGCGGAGGGCTGAGTCTACAAGGATGTAAGAATTATTCAGAATTGATTAGTATCAGATATGGCTCAAGGCATAGTCATGAAACCCAAAAATCAAATACCTTAAATGTCTCAGCAAGGATTGTAGCCCCAAGCTCGCAGCCAAATTCGCCCGGTGTCTTGGGAGTGTGCTTTCTCGTCGTGTCCTTATCTATCATTTCAAACGATTATTAGTAAATATACTCCGGATATGAAAATAGTGATGGCTGAGTACGAACCAAGCGTTACCTGAAGCCTTCCATATTGAGCTCGGTGCCATCGAATCCATGATATACACCCCGCACTGCACAATACTTGGCGTAAGCTGCTCCAAACCAAAGGGAATTTTCCTAATAACATTGCGGAACATCTCCAGGATAGGAGGTGGCGACATTCCTTGGAAATCTGGGTGAAATGTAGATATGATTGACTACGAATATTAGTATTGCTGTCTGTGAGAATGAGTGAATATGCCGAAATACGAAAACAGATGCCAGTCCGTACCAGAAACCCATGGTTCACTACGCATCCTTTCCATGTCCCTGTATGTGGACAAAATTGATGATTTGATATAGTCCATTACGTTGTTCTGGAAGCGGTGTATCTTTGCCATGGTCATAAGGCACGCCAGCGCGAAAGATGAAAGGTAGGCTGTCTTTCCGCCTTTCATATGCTTAAGGAACTCCGTGCCCAGCTCCTGATCCTGCTTGATAGCAAAGCTGAAATGAAGAATCACTGTGCTCTCGATGGCGCTTAGTTCCGAAAAGGCCAGGCGTGCAGCTCCTTTTGAGTTGTTGGATCGAAGACTTTAAATTTAACAGACAATAGTGGTTAGATCCGACTCCTTTACACCACTAAAAACTTTTCAGTAGCATTTGCCCCACTTTACCTTTCAACCATTGCCCCGCCCGCATTCAGTCGATCAAAGAATTCCAGTGTGCCTCTAATAACCAGTCGTTGGTGACCCTATAATCATGCAATATGTGATTAACAGCTGCCAGTGACGATTCACTTTCGATTCCACGCTCTACTAGAGCCTTGGAGTGATTCAGCCATACCTTGGACGACAAGAGTAGTAGATTGTAAATCAAGACTGGGAGATCAGTGGCATCGACGTGCTTGAATTGTTTCATAATCTTGACAATCACCATCTCAAGTTGTTTGCTTTCCATCTCAATATCCGCCATGGCTATCGCGAGTGGCAACACGCTTTTCTGGTTCCAGGGTGCGGTACAGATTCTATCCAGAGTAATGTCTCGAAACTCAGCTCCTGAGATCTCCTCCGAAGTATCTGATAAAAGGACTGAGTCAACACTGGCGGAAATCACAAGGAGTCTCGACAAGAGAGCAAACATCTGGGCATGGGGGTGTTTTTGATGCCGCACGACCTCCGTCATGGTGTATATGGATTGGACGAGCGCGCTCTGGTCAAAAGATTGTCCAACGTCGATAATCATGTTGGTGAGCTTTCCAGCGAGTTCGTCCACTTGAGCATAATTTGGTCCGCTTCCTCTTGATTGTGCCGTCGTATTCTCTCCGATCTTGACCAGCCTTCGAGTACGTGAAGAACATGAGTTAATCACACTATCCATAAACATCCAATACATTGGACTCGGCGAATATAATTTAGACCCACCATGAAATCGCCCCTTTCAACACCTGAGACCTCCTCTTCGATCCCTCCTCATCCTCGGGTGATGCTGTAGTGAAAATGACAGCAAATCGAATTGAGTACACCTCTTGCAATGTTTTTCCAAGATGGCCTTTGAAAGAATGGGTTGGTACCTCGCAATATTGCTCGGACAAGAAGAAGCCGGTCAGAATCTTGTTGATATCCGCCGAAAGACCATTCTTGAGTCAGGCTTTCCACAATCAGATCTGATATCTACGGCGGCAATCGAATCCGCTTTTTGTCAGTTTCTGCCTGGTCCTGACTGCGACTGCTAGTGTAGGCATATCCTTACTTGATCCTGAGATTCGAGATTCGAGTCGTTTTCTTCAAAGAATTGTCTTAAGGCAGCCCCTGTGGTGTCTTTGGAGTAAAGTTGCAGAATAGTGTCCATGTTGAATCCAATCCCATTGGTTGCTCTTGTGAGGACAAGACTGAATCTGATTGGCGTCTCGTTTGACAGGACCTTGTTTGCGTTTTTGGTGGCAAACGTGCGGTCATTGAAAGGTACATGAAACGCAGTCCACCAATAAATGGCTGTTTCTCGGTCGGTCAAATCCGGGGTACCAGATGCTGCAAACTATCGTGTGCCAGAAAATCCGCGAGCTGCTATCGCCGCTACCGCTGATATGTCTGTCAATGTTTGTCTAGCAAAGATAAATGGTGCTACATCACCTTGCATGTCCACGAAATGCAGATAGGAACCTCACAGTTCGTTTTTATTTTAGAGAAGGGTGCCCACGGAGAGACTTTTCCTGACAGAGCCATAGGAATTGAAGGCCGAGAGTTGGAGACAGACCCAAAATTTCGTCAGGTGGGGAAAATCCTGGTCGCGTCCTGCGCCGGACCAGTGTTGAGGCAGAGCGATCGGAAATACCCATTGAGGTCGGTGAAGGAGAGCGATACGATAAACCATCCTTCTCTCCCCTCTTTATCTCTGCCTCTTTCTTTTTCTCTCTTTTTCTTTTCCCGTTTCTCTTTCTCTCTCATCCCTCAGCCCCAACTCCCCACTCTTCTCATTCCTTATTCCTTCAACTGCCAGCTTTACGATTGATCGCCCTCGCCAGACCTGATCAACTTTCTTACCCTTTCCCCCACATTTTTTTTACCAAGACAACGATAACAACATCAACGATGGCTGGCGCTTCAAAACTCTCCCCTTTCGGCCACGCCATAGCAGGAACCGGTGGTGCTATGTTCGCACTGACATGCACCTACCCCCTCGATATGTATGTCGCAAGTCATCTTTGTAGTATCGGCTGACTGTGTAACAGAATGGATCACTCTATTCTCCTTCATTTCTGTCGCTTTATGGTTTATATATTCTGTCTAATCAAGTTGTCCCGAAGGCGCTACTCTTTGTGTGCTCGACTGTTACTCATGCTATCTTTTACTTGTATTAAACTAGCATCAAAACTCGTATGCAGGTTCGCTCCAAATCCGATGCCGACTCGTCCGATCCGAACGTCTATCTCTCCACCACAGATGCCGTTCAAAAGATCATCAAGAGTGAGGGCATTAGCGGTCTCTATGCTGGCATTCTCTCTGGATTGCTCGGCACAGCGTCACAAAACTTTGCTTACTTCTACTGGTACACGTTCCTTCGATCGGGCTACATCAGCAAACAGCCCGCAGGAGCCGCCATCTCGACCATCATGGAGCTGTTGATCGGTGCTGGAGCCGGCGCATTGGCACAGATCTTTACCATTCCTGTGGCTGTGGTCACGACTCGTCAGCAGACTATGCCTTTGGGCGAGCGATTGGATCTCAAGTCGACTGCTATGGAGATTGTTCAGGAGGAGGGCTGGACAGGTCTTTGGAAGGGATTGAAGCCCTCGCTGGTATTGGTCATCAACCCTGCCATCACTTACGGCATGTACTCTCGTATTCAGGAGTTAGTGCTGAAGGCATTCAGACGCAAGGATATGACCCCCGGTCTAGTCTTCTTGGTTGGCGCTCTTGCGAAGACTCTGGCGACTGTTGTCACTTATCCATACATCATGGCTAAGGTCCGTCTCCAGTGGAAGCCCTCCAAGAAGGACGCCGAGACCCACAAGCCGTATACTGGAGCCATTGATGTCCTCAGGCGTGTCTTTGAGAAGGAAGGCATCAAGGGATGGTACACCGTAAGTCATACTGTGCATATCCCCGTAGAGATGTTATTAGCACATGTTTGTGGCAAGATTCGGTATCTAACATTCCATTTATCGTCATTATGCAGGGCATGCAAGCACAAATCACCAAGGCTGTCATCTCCCAAGCACTACTGTTCATGGTCAAAGATCAGTTGGAAAAGTACACCATCCTCCTGTTCGCTCTGCTCGCCAGACAGAAGCATAGCAAGGTCATGTAAACATAGAAAGAGGGATAAAGAAACAGCTACTGCCTCTCGACATCCATTGCAAGCTGATTTGAAGTAAAGACAAGTTTATGAAACAGATTCAAATGGTCTTTTCAGCAAAAAAAAGAAAAAGAAAAAGAAAAAGAAGGTGTTCATGAATGAACCCTTCGCTGCTTTATCTACAAAGACATACTGCTACATAACATTTCGCGCTGGAAGGGAGGAAAATATGTGCCTTATTTATACGTATTTCTCTATTACGTGAAGATATCGTAAAAGGGGTTAATTCAGGCACGAAGTTCATGGCGCGAACGCGTTGTCAGCAGATCGACGAGCCCAGCAACACACTCGCTGATAATGCCCCTATTTTTATTACAACTGCCTACTGCAGGTGGCCAGTGTTATTGTTGTTTTATTGTAGCACGTTGGTCATGGATGCCTGTCAACTCCTCGACCAGGAACGCAGCATGCCAAGAAAAAAAAGATCATATTACCACTTTCTTCCCCCTTTTCATAACGCCCTATGGGTGTGAACAAAGGGCAAATCGCCACCAGTCGACCATGGCATCCACCCAGCAGGGGTGAAGTTCTCCTGTTAAACCATTCTTATGCCCTTTTCTTTCTTTTCTATTTCTTTCTGACTACCTCAACTGCTCCTTCCTGCCCTTTGGCCCACCATATTGCATACACGTTTTTTTTTATCTGCCTGCATGCCTTTAATTCTTGATGATACATATATCTCTTAATAGTAATACTCAACAACTGCAATCACAACTACAACCACAGCTGCAACAACCGGCAGACAGGGTGGAACAAAGTCGAAGCATATCTTGCCTACCTCGCCCATTCTGTGGATCCCTCATTCCTTTTGCTACCGTTCATTCATTCGCGTAGTGTGAGTAAGTTCGAACCCTGACGCGGCCCTAATTCACCAATAAGATTCAACAGCCACTTTCTACGCAGCCTGCTCTTTCTATGCGCCTAATACTCAGCAATGCTTTTCTGCAGACACTAGAGTGATAATCGCAATCTGAACATTCAAATCTAAGAAAGCACAGCTCGGAGTGTCCAGAGGCCACATCATGACACGAAAGACAGCATCAAAATCCGCATACGACCCCCCTCCACACATTTCCCTGCCTATGCCAATGCCAATACCGTCGCCCCGCCCCTCAACACCAGAGCGATCCAGTGGCAACCATGGTAGAGCATCTCGTCTGCTATCTCCAATCTCACAATCGAGGACAGTGGGACAGTATCCATCGGAGACCGTCATGAGTAGGAACACGAGGAAGTCCAAGACAGGCATTGACACTACCAGAGAACGCCAGAGACTGACAGTATCGTCGGCACTTTCGCCACCACTATCGCCTACATTGGAAGCAACTGCTACACCGTATGCTCCTGGAGAATTATATCCGCCCTTAATGAACAGTACCATTGGGCCAAATCGATCTTCACAGCAGTATTATCCATTATCTCAATGGTTACAGGCACCCTGGCTTCGAAACATTACTTCTCAGCTACCGGACATTTCCTTTCCGTCCATGTCGATGCCTATGCCTATCCATTATGTGTTCAAACCCAAGAAAGTCCAGCTGACGGATGGAAATTTGGTGCTGGATACGCCCGTTCCAACCAGCTATCTTTCTGCAGTTGATTATCAAACGGATCATGAATTTGAGACCATGCGCTACATGGCCGTGACATGCGATGCGGACATGGTGCCAGAGGGCCGGTACAAACTCAGGGCACAGAGCTTGAAGCGATCGATAGAACTTGCTATCTGTCTGACTGTCAATGAGGTATGAATGCCATGCAGGAAGAAAACGATCAAAACGACTGGTATGTGGATTTTGACATGTATTTATCGACGCTCATGCTTCTAGGAATCTCCGCAGGCGTTTTGTTTGACACTGCACTCGTTGATCAAGAACATCAAGCAGATGTGTTTGTCGACCTCAAAATCGAGGGCGCACAAGAATCCTGTGTGGATGGAGGAGGATTCATGGCAAAAAGTCGTGATCTGCATCGTGGCAGACGGTCGAAGGCATCTGAATCCCATTATTCTCAAAGTCCTGGCGGCGATGGGATGCTGGCAGGAGGGAGTGGCGAAGAACCAGGTCAACGGGAAAGCTGTGCAGGCACATATCTTCGAGGTAATGGAGCACGTAGAGCTTCTTTTTTTTTTTTTTTTTTTTTTTTTTTCGAAGCCCTCGTGTTACATGTTTTCTAACACTAATAGCCATGGCCTCTCTATCTACAGTATTCGACACAGGTGTCAGTGGATAGCAAACTGCGACTCAAAGGACGGACCATAAAAAACACCAACAAGCACCACTACCCACCTATTCAGATCGTCTTCTGTCTCAAGGAACGACACACCAAAAAACTGAATTCTCACCGCTGGTTCTTCAACGCGCTCTGCCCACTGCTCAAACCAAGGATCACTCTGCTCACGACAGCCGGAACAAAGATTGGCGATGGCAGTCTTTTTCACCTCTGGAATGCCTTTGACAGGAATCCACACACGGCGGGAGCATGTGGAGAGATTCGTGTTGCCAAAGGATTGCTCTGGTGGAAGGTTCTGAATCCGCTCATCGCAGCTCAGGTTTTCGAGTACAAGGTCTCGAGCGTCCTGGAGAAGCCATTCGAGAGCATTTTCGGATATATCTCAGTCATGCCTGGTGCATTGGTCGCGTATCGATATGAGGCGCTCTTGCCAGAACCCATCTCTGGAAAGGGGCCGCTGACAGCCTACTTTGAACCGGATTACCTTGTGTTTAGCGATGATCATCGGGAAGTTGGCGAAGTGCTGCAGTATTCGTACTTTGCCGAAGACCAGATCCTACCCTTTTTGGTGACGACTCGAAGGAATGCCTCGTACACAATGCAATATGTTCGATCCGCCTGGGCCGAAACTGAACTGCCAGCGGGGATTGGGACATTTTTGGGCATGAAACGCAAGTGGCAAAACAGGCGGTTCTTTGGACTGATCTATGCAGTGTCGCATGTCGCAGCGATCTGGAGAAGTGGTCATAACTTTATGAGAAAGCTATGGTTGACCTTGGAGATCATCTACCTGGGATGCGACACCGCCTTCTGGTTTTTGGCGCTGGTAAGGCATCTACTATGTTCTCGGATAAGAGTGTGTTGTTTTGATGCCTCGGTTCATTAACTTATGTTTCTGTGCTGAACATGGGATGATGATTAGGGGAATTACTATCTGGTATTTTACTACATGGCTCAGACGCTGGCGCATACATCGCAAATAACCGCCGGCAGCACTGCGTTCATGTTAACGCGCTACGTTTACATATGCCTCATTGTCGTTGTGATGATGATCTCTATGGGCAATCGGCCCCGAGGGTAAGATTGTCGGAAGGGCACGTACAGCCTTACAGAATGATGGATGATAAATCGCTGACAACCGCTTTTTTTTTTTTTTTTTTTTTTTTTATGCTG